ACTGTGGCGGGAAGGGTATGTAGGGGGGCTGATGCTGCTGCATGTCAGCTTCCCAGCAGCTATCCTATGGTCACGGTCAGTGGCTCCTCGTGGCTCAGTTTATGTAATCCCCAGCAGCAGGTTTGCTGAGACGCCAGTGCAACAGACATCAAGCCAGACAACAACACGCATTAAGACCCTACGTTGGTATGCGAGCTGACTGTGCAAAGGCTTATGTACTGCCTGGTGTCTGGGTGGTACGGATACCGAGCCAAAGTGAGCCTTGCATATTACATTAATGCTATGCAGGCTTGGTGCCCCACACCGGGGTAAGCGGGTAACCGTCCTTATTAAGGTGGAACGCAGCAGGATCCGGCCACAGCAGACAACATGCAAGTAGGTGAGCATAGCGGATTATAGATCACACGCACACCCTTACGATACATACGAGGGACACGAGGCTCCAGCGGAACTGCAATATGAAGGAGGGAGAGGATCACGACCACAGGCCTGAGAATGCGGCTCGGTTCTCTCCCTCGTTATTAAGGTTCGGGACTCGAGATAATGAGCCGCGGAAACACTGACCCTGGCCCTGAAAGATTCGGGATGATTCCGACAGCATGTATACTGTAGTACACGGATGGGGTACATGGTGGCTCTCGGATCACATGGCAACCAACCCGTTGCAATCATCAGCAACTCGGATCACTTTGCAACGCAAATAACCCTAACTGCACGAGACATGGATCAGCAACACACCCGTGCAACCTTCTTGAAAATCACTACCGTACTGTAATGGTCACGCCAACAGTAAGTTCAGGGCAAGATCGTCTGCTTGCCCTGTCCGTAGCAGATGACGTACTGCTCCTCATTGCAGTCACGCGCGTAGGGCCCACCAGTTCCGCGGGGGTCGACGAACGCGCAGTAGTTGCCTTGCTGCCCCCACACCCAGCAGCCCTGACCGTTCGCGTAGCACTCTTGGTAGGTGGGCTCTGCGCGAAGTAATCGGGAATGCAGGGGTGGGTATCCTTAGTGTGAGTGCCGTGCGCACGTTACCATCCGTTTTCTGTGCCTGGAACTTTATTCAGGGAAGCTACAGAGAGTGCCATGCATGCGCATAACAGTAGAAGGTGGCTACTGTAAGTAATTTATGTGCCTCACCGTACGCAATCTTGTCGCTGTACGGCACCATGTTGTACCCGTACTGCTGGCAGAAGTTGTACGCCTCGTTGTACTTGTACTTCTTGCCGGACACCACAATGTTGTACTTCTTGTGCTTGAAGAACTTGTTGGGCTTCTCTGCACGGCCAGGATACATGCGGATATGGGGACAACGGTAGTGGGTCGTCATGGGGGCACATGAAGGGGTTTCTGCTGCTGCTCTGAAACCCCGTGGCCCCGTGCTCTGATTCCCACGGCTCTACACCACCGTGCCGGATATACCTGGCTTAGGTTGGGCGGGGGTCGGTGGCGGCGGGGGAGACCGGATGGGCTGCCGAGGTGGCGAGGGGGAGCGCCGGGGCCGCTGCAAGGCAGGAGCGTAAAAAGGGGATTGCCAGGACAACGCTAGTCAGCGCTAGGCAGCGTGGAAGACGAAAAGCACCATTGCACTTAGGCCCCAATTGACAGACAACACTCCTTACCCGGGGCGGTGGTGGACTGGGTCGCTGCTGTAGCGGAGGTGGGGTTGGCTGTGGGGGTGAGGGCCGAGGCGGCGAAGGGCTTGGCTGTGGGGGCGACGGCCGGGGCGGGCGAGGCGACCGAACAGGGCGCCGGGGTGGCGGCGGAGAGGGCTTCTGGGGAGGAGGAGGCGGCGGAGGGGGCGGTGGGACGGGTTGCGGGGGCGGAGGGGGCGGTGGGGATGGCACTGGGGGCGGAGGAGGTGGCGGTGGCGGCTGCGGTGAAGGCGGCTGTGGTGTGGGTGGCGGAGGGACCGGTGAAGGCGGCTGTGGTGTGGGGGGAGAGGGTGACGGCGGAGATGGAGTTGGGGGCTGCAGTGAGGGTGGCTTGGGGGATGGCGGCTTGGGCGCTGGGGGCTTGGGGGATGGCGGCTTGGGCGCTGGGGGCTTGGGCGAGGGAGGCTTGGGCGAGGGGGGCTTGGGCGACGGGGGCTTGGGCGAGGGGGGCTTGGGGGAGGGCGGCTTGGGAGAGGGCGGCTTGGGGGATGGCGGCTTGGGCGCTGGGGGCTTGGGCGAGGGGGGCTTGGGCGAGGGGGGCTTGGGCGACGGGGGCTTGGGCGAGGGGGGCTTGGGGGAGGGCGGCTTGGGAGAGGGCGGCTTGGGGGAGGGGGGCTGGGGTGAGGGCGGTTGGGGCGAGGGCGGCTGTGGCGCCTTCGGTTTCGGCGAAGGCGGCTTGGGTGAAGGAGGGGCAGGTGAGGGGGGAGAAGGCGCCTTCGGTTTTGGGGCCGGGGCGGGCTTCTTCTCCTCGGGGGCCGGGGCGGGCGTCTTATCCTCGGGGGCCGGGGCGGGCTTCTTCTCCTCGGGGGCCGGGGCCGGCTTCTTCTCCTCGGGGGCCGGGGCGGGCTTCTTCTCCTCGGGGGCCGGGGCGGGCTTCTTCTCCTCGGGGGCCGGGGCGGGCTTCTTCTCCTCGGGGGCCGGGGCCGGCTTCTTCTCCTCGGGGGCCGGGGCGGGCTTCTTCTCCTCGGGGGCCGGGGCGGGCTTCTTCTCCTCGGGGGCCGGGGCGGGCTTCTTCTCCTCGGGGGCCGGGGCGGGCTTCTTCTCCTCGGGGGCCGGGGCGGGCTTCTTCTCCTCGGGGGCCGGGGCGGGCTTCTTCTCCTCGGGGGCCGGGGCCGGCTTCTTCTCCTCGGGGGCCGGGGCCGGCTTCTTCTCCTCGGGGGCCGGGGCGGGCTTCTTCTCCTCGGGGGCCGGGGCGGGCTTCTTATCCTCGGGGGCCGGGGCGGGCTTCTTCTCCTCGGGGGCCGGGGCCGGCTTCTTCTCCTCGGGGGCCGGGGCCGGCTTCTTCTCCTTGGGGGCCGGGGCGGGCTTCTTCTCCTCGGGGGCCCGGGCGGGCTTCTTATCCTCGGGGGCCCGGGCGGGCTTCTTATCCTCGGGGGCCGGGGCCGGCTTCTTCTCCTCGGGGGCCGGGGCCGGCTTCTTCTCCTCGGGGGCCGGGGCCGGCTTCTTCTCCTCGGGGGCCGGGGCGGGCTTCTTCTCCTCGGGGGCCGGGGCGGGCTTCTTCTCCTCGGGGGCCGGGGCGGGCTTCTTCTCCTCGGGGGCCGGGGCCGGCTTCTTCTCCTCGGGGGCCGGGGCCGGCTTCTTCTCCTCGGGGGCCGGGGCGGGCTTCTTCTCCTCGGGGGCCGGGGCGGGCTTCTTCTCCTCGGGGGCCGGGGCCGGCTTCTTATCCTCGGGGGCCGGGGCGGGCTTCTTATCCTCGGGGGCCGGGGCCGGCTTCTTCTCCTCGGGGGCCGGGGCCGGCTTCTTCTCCTCGGGGGCCGGGGCGGGCTTCTTCTCCTCGGGGGCCGGGGCGGGCTTCTTCTCCTCGGGGGCCGGGGCCGGCTTCTTCTCCTCGGGGGCCGGGGCCGGCTTCTTCTCCTCGGGGGCCGGGGCCGGCTTCTTCTCCTCGGGGGCCGGGGCCGGCTTCTTCTCCTCGGGGGCCGGGGCGGGCTTCTTATCCTCGGGGGCCGGGGCCGGCTTCTTCTCCTCGGGGGCCGGGGCCGGCTTCTTCTCCTCGGGGGCCGGGGCGGGCTTCTTCTCCTCGGGGGCCGGGGCCGGCTTCTTCTCCTCGGGGGCCGGGGCCGGCTTCTTCTCCTCGGGGGCCGGGGCGGGCTTCTTCTCCTCGGGGGCCGGGGCGGGCTTCTTCTCCTCGGGGGCCGGGGCGGGCTTCTTCTCCTCGGGGGCCGGGGCGGGCTTCTTCTCCTCGGGGGCCGGGGCGGGCTTCTTCTCCTCGGGGGCCGGGGCGGGCTTCTTCTCCTCGGGGGCCGGGGATGTCACCTTTGGTTGGGTTGACAGAACCGGCTTGTCGTCCGGATCAGCCCTCTGCACCATACATAAGGGCATTCATTCAAGGGAGGGGAAAGTCAGGGAGGGGCCTGAGCCAGGTAGTCTGAAGGCCTGAGTTGCAAGGCTAGGCACCGTTGAGTCCTGCCGCAGTGAGTTCAAGGCAGAATTGTCGCACGTAGCAGCCCTCGGTACGCAGACCGTATATAGCCCCCACAGACATGTGGCTTACCTTCTCCGTCGCTGGGTCTTTCCGACGAGCCTGCATCACGCCTCCGTACACGGGAGCCTCCTCCTGAGCGTTAACGCCTGCAGGCATGTGGGGGCGGAGGCGGGTATGCTTTTAGGCGGGATGTTAACGGGGATTCGCACGACTATTGCCGTGTCTTGTGCAATGTGCAATTGTATTATGTCCTATTTGATGCGCCCTATTTGATGCGTTCGCACACACTAACCTGCTGGTATGCTGCAAAGGGTTGCCGCCGCCAGCAGCAGCAGCAGGGTAGCAGCGCCGCCCACTCGGCTCCGCACGGGTGCCATCGCTGCTGCCACTCCGCCACGCAGCGCTAGCGGCTGTGTAAAGAGGTGCTTATAGCGGTTTGCTGAGTACTAGGCAAACGACCGTATACAGGACAGCAGCGGTTATTGTTGGGGTCTGCAGGTGGCTTAAACAGGCACTCCTGCTGCCTGGTGCGGGTGTGCCGCCGCTGGGAGCATGTGTTGTTGGAAGGCAGCTGAGTCGCCAGGTTATATAGATGAGCCATGGCGGGCTTATGCTGGGAAGATCCGAGTTTGTTATCTTTGTACAAGGCCGGGACAGCGGCAACCTTGGCGTTCGGGTTCAGTTCGGACGCACCGGATGGGCCGAATTACCGTTGTCGGTTGCTCAACCTTGGCGGGAGGCCAGAACATGACATGTGCATACAAGTGAGTGTGAGGAGCACTCGCTTTCGCTTTCTGACATGGAAGGGCAAGGAGCCAGCGTATTCCTGCTCGCACTGTTCGTACACAAGAGGTGGTTTGGTGGGCGATCGTCTGCACGCTGTCAGTGGTGTACCAGCGTTCGACTTCCATGCGCATACGCTATTTGAAAAATTGATTTTTTACAGCAGCAAAACGACATGAACATCGCCACTATGCGGTAGGCTTGTGCGGCAAACCAGATGGGTTCGCGAAGCTTTGCCTGGGCATGCTGACCATTGGGGGCATCCAATGGAAAACGACCCATGGGTCACAAGATTTGGGGAAGAATTCCGGTTCCAGGCGTTGGGCTCTGAGACGGGCGCAATTGAAAGACAAGTGCACCTTGCACGGACCAGAGGAAAGGGGGTGTGAGGTATCCATATCTCCGGAGAGAGTGCTGGGCCGCATCGCATGGACACGGCCCTGCATCAACTGCATGCCCAGGTGATGCTGCGTCTTAAGTCGAAGCGATGTAAACTAGGAAAAGGCGATAATTAGCACTATGACTAAAACAAATACCCTACAAAAGCAACCTGCTACCCAAGCGAAGACTGAGCCATGCACGTTCAAACCCCAACATAAGTGTCAAAAGTGTGCGCACGTTGGCTGCAACATCCTGGGTCCTCGGCGTAATAAGGCCTCCAATACATTCGCCCTTGACTACCGGGCGAAGTCAATAGTGATACCTGGCCACCTTTAAACCGCGCACCTTCACGGCCACATCATGGCTTGAAGCACCGTACGCACACCACACTGCATTGATACCGTAACGACTGCCGTACACATCAGACATCACCGGCCGGCTGCATGCCCCAGGCGGTGCCCACATTAATACCGCCGCATGCGCCGCCCACCCCCACCTCGCACCACTGCTCCTCCTGTCCCCCATACGTCCCACTCCATGTTCCATCCTGCTACTGCTACTGCCCCTCCTCCTCCGCCACCAGGGTAAGCCCCAGCGGCAGGTGATCAGAGCCGTACACGTCCTGCAGGATCCAGCTGTCGTACACTCGCCACTGCGTTGCAGGAGGGGGAACGGGAGCAGGAGCCGCAGCCTGGGCCCCCTCGCTCCCCGCCTCCGCCGCACCCTTCTCCCCGCCTGCTCCTGCCTCCCAAGGCATCAAGGAGGCGGAGGTGAGGAAGTAGTCCAGACGCCACCCCTGTTGGCAGTGGGGTAAAGAGGAAACAACTAACTGACCGTGTGGCAAGGCGTCATCATGGTTTGCAGTGGGGCGGCAGCAGCAGCAGCAGCAGGTGCGGGGAGCCCCTTTGGACCGCACGGCGGCATCAGAGGTTCAGAGGCCCATGTGCGTGCGCGACTGATTACAAATCCATGATCGCACCCAATCCGTGAGGTGCTAAGATCCCTCAACTAGATGAGCAAGCGAACATGTTGTACTGCCGTACACGCCTGCGTTCCCCCGCCCCGCCCCCAAGCATCCGCACCCGCGCCTCCCAACCCCACCTTGTTTTTCTCCCTGCAGTTGAAGCGGCGTGTGAAGTAGGTGTAGCCCACTGTGTTGGGGAAGAGGCGCCGGAAGGTGTCCACCAGGCCCACCTCCCCCAGCAGCAGCCGCCCGAAGCTCTCGCGCTCCTCCTGCGAGGGGTTGGAAGATGATGGGAGGGGAGAGGAAGGGGCAGGAGGAGGGATGCTGATGTGCACAAGGAGGTGTGAAGAGGGCAGGGTCGGGAGGTACTCCTTGCCGCCTGCAGCTGCAAGGGGCTCCAGGAACACCGTTCGCAGGGCATTGCCAGCACTGCTGAGTGGCGGGAGGTGGAGATCAGGGCACCAAAGGCCAAGGCAGTATGTCGTACTATTGCGGCAACTGCCGCTGCCGCTGCTGTTGTCACACGCGCGTCACCCACCACTGTGAAGCCCGCCGAGCGAAGGTTGGTCTTGGGCGCGTGGATGTCAATCTCCTGGTGCGCGCAGTTCAGGTCGCCCGTCACAATCACCTGAGGGGGGGTAGAGAGGTAGGGCGGGGGATGAGGGGAGTAGCGAAAGGGCGGCGGACGTTAGGAGGGAGGGAGTTGAACGCGGCGGAGGCCCGTTAGGCAGGGAGGAGTGAGACTGCGGGAGGGATTATTAGGGATCGTTACCCTCCGCGGGTGGACAGAAGGTACGGGTGCAGAGCTCAGCTAGGTGCATGGCTCCCCCCCTTTCATGAAACACCCCGACCCTACTACTGCTTCCCCTCCCAACCACCTCAACCACCACCACCCCCACCCTCTTACCGGCTTCCCACGCGCCTCCAGCGACCGCACATACGCCGCCAGCGCCCCATCCCACCGCCCCACTCGGTAGTCCAGCCGCTTCAGCCCCTCGCCGCTGTTGGGCACGTACACGCTCACCACGTAGGCCTGCGGCAGCTCGGCGGTCAGCACGCGCCCCTCGCCCTCGTGCTCCGGATCCGGTTCCTCAGCCCCGGCCTCCGCGGCGGCGGTGGCGGAGGCCCGGGCGGCGGCGGCGGCGGGGCTGCCTGGAGCGGGTCGGCCTCCGAAACCCACGGTGACGGAGAGGGGCGGCTGGCGGGTGTGTATGGACACGCCCGAGTAGCCGAGCTTGGTGGTGGAGCAGGCCCAGTAGTGCGACCAGCCCTGGGGAGGGGTGGGGTGAGGTGGGGAGGTGGGGTGGGGGGTAAGGAAGGATGAGGGAGTTACCCTAATAGTCCCAATGCACGTCGGAATGGGGCGAAGGTAAGGAGGGGCAAGGAGGGGTAGGAGGGATACGAAGAGGAACAAGGGGAAGAGCATTAGCTACCATTAGCTGTCTTGCACTGCCAACACGCTCGCACGCTTTCCAGCGCACCCCCGCAGTGGCGGTCCAACTCCCCTCCCCTCCCTCCCTCCCCCACCCGCCCCCCCACCTTGAGCCCCAGCGCGGTCTCCATGTCGTCCGTGTGCCCCCCCTGCAGCTTGTGCTCCTGCAGACACACCACGTCAGCGCCCTCGCGGGCCACCAGCTGGGACAGCGCGTCGGGTTGCTGGGGAGAGGGGGGAAAGGGGGGAGAGGGATGGGAGGTAGAGGGAGGTCGCTGATACATAGAGGGATGGAAGGACGGAGCAGGAGGAGGAATGACGGGGCCGCTACGGGTATACGCAGCAGGTCTCAGCCTGCCTGCCGTACCTTCTTCAGCAGACCCCTCAGCCCCGCCACGTTCCAGCTGAGCAGCTTGACCACGGGGGCGCCCGCGGGGGGAGGCGGCTTGCGCAGCGCCGCAGTGTACTGGGGCACTGGGGGGGGTGGGGGTCGGAATGGGGAGAGGGTGAAGCGGGTTGACAAGCTGAGCAGCAAGGGGTTGGAGATGTGCAGGTGTGGGTGTGGGAGCGGTGCAGCTGGGCGGGTAGGGGGCTGGGGAGGTAGGGAGGACGGGGTCAACACTCACGGGGCTCCGCCTGCTGCCCCTTCTTGCCCCTGGCCTGGGGCTTTGCCTTGGCCGCAGGCGCGGCTTCTGCTGCAGCTGCTGCTGCGTCCGCACCGCCCTGCGGCTGCTGCTCGCCCGCCTCCCCGCCAGCGGCTGGCGCAGCGCTGGCGGCTTTGGCCCTGCAAAACAGAGGTGGAAGGACGAAGGGAGCGCGGAGGACGAAAGCTGTGAGCTGCAGGACACAATGCACGCAGGGACATCACAGGAGATCGCGTCCAGGGCGAGCAATTATCGTGAAACGGGTTGCCATCTGTGGCCCAGGCTAGGCACCCAAAGCTGCCGCCTCCTCCTGCTGCTGCTGCAGCTGCAAGGCCCTATTCCACCCCAAGCATCCAGAGTTTCAGACGCGTCACTCCCTCTCCCTTTCCCTAACTCCTCTTCCTTTCCCAGGCGCCCTTACTTGGTCTGCCTGCTCGTTCGCGCCTTCTTAGCCGCTGGGGGAGCGCCCTCCTCCTCGGCCCCAGCCGCAGCTCCTGCGCCCTCCCCCTCCGCTGCCACCTCAGCACGCGAGCGGGCGCCCTTCTTAGCCGCGCCCGCCCCGGGTTTCTTCCCGGCAGCCTCCGTATCGCCTCTGTGGGAGTTGTACAGCAAGTGTAGTAACGGAATGCAAGCTCAATTGCTACCGCAGGAGGTGCAGGAGCAGCATCGCCTGGAGGAGGGGCCTATCAGCAGCAGTAGCAGCAAAGGGCTATGCAGCAGCAGCTGTGAGCCGCTGGGTGCCGCTGGGAGCACCCCAACTCACCGCTTGGCCCGGGTGCGGGGTGATGCTGCCACCGCCTCCTTCTCCCGCGGTGCTCCTCCGCTGCCTGGTTCCGGGTCTGAGCTGCTGCCCATTGCTGCCGGGTTGTGGCCTGGACCTGAGGTGGATGCGGAGGCAGAGCAGGACACCGTACGGACGCAGGCAGGCTGAGGACGGATCCTGGATCCGGGAACTCGGAAGGGATGAGGGGCGTTTGAACGTAAGAGGGGAAGCGCGGGCGGAGCTCTGATGAGGGGTGGTCGTGAGGCGAGGGTCACCAGCTGTCGAGGAGGGAACTGGGTGGACCGCGCACAAGGGGCCAAAGGCGCCCTGCAAGTATTGAAGGAATGACAATGTTGGGTTAGGAATGTGTCAGTGATGGATTTTAATGAGCGTTTACGTGTCTTGGGATGTCCATGGCAATGCGGGTTGCCTCACCGGCTCAGCAAAAGTGACCTTGGTAGCCGTCCAAAGCTATATTTTAGCATTGTGGAGGTATTAATACTAGTGCAGTGCGACTTTACGAATGTTTGAAGTTGCGGTATGCGTAAGCCCTGGATCGTGACTCAGATCGCAACTTCATGGGTCTGGAAGAAATCCGTCCAAAGTGTTAAAATACGTACATTGCCACTTGCACCACAATAGTCCTTATAAGAGCGACTCCTAAGGAACATGTCGCATCGCCATTAGAAGCAACACAATACACTTGCGCGAAACAATGGCAAGCGCCTTGCCAAGGGCTACTCGCTGCATGCCGCAGCTTGCTGTGTTATCGCAGCCAGCTTACAGCGGTCCGGTGCTGCTCGTGATGCCGCCGCGCCGACGAGTCGCATCCTCATCCATCTTGGCCTCCACTTCCACCACCTCCACTTCCACATCCGTCCCAGCACAGCCCCTAAAGCGCTCGAAGACCACCAACGGCACCCCAGTGGCAGCGACAGGCGTCTGGGGCGAGCAAGAGTTTGGGGCCCTGCAGGCGAGTTGGCTGCGGTTGCAATAGCCACCAGATGGGGAGGTCTACCCTCCATGATCCCCTATCGCCTGGACGCGCCCCGTTCCTAACCCCTGCCACCGCCCACCTCCACCCCTAACCCTCCTCTCCCTCTCCCCCCTCCCCTCCCGCGCAGCACCGCGCCGCCACCCGCCTGCATCGCTTCTACGTGCCCCACCCGCTGGGACCCGCGCCCCCGCCTCCCACCCTCCAAACCCTCCTCTCCCCCCCGCCTCCGGTACCCCTCCCTGCCCCTGCTCCCACCACCACCTCCTCCTCCCCCGTCCCCACAACCTCCGCCCCCGCCACGGTGGTGCTGGAAGGCGAGGAGGCGCGCCACGCCGCCCGAGCGCTGCGGCTGGCTGCAGGGGACAGGCTGGAGCTGTGTGACGGGCGGGGCAACCTGGTGGAGGGAACTGTGACGGGGACGGACAAGCAGCGAGTGTGGGTGAGTGAGGTTGTGGCAGGGTGGGAGAAGAGCTTTGGGGCTCCAGCTGGGAAGGGCGTTCTGCCGCGGGTGTCCACCTGCGGCATTACCACCGCTGGTTACCGGGGTCGTGCCGTCGCCCACTCTCCTCCATAAACTACTGCCAAGCGCGTCTTACCCACTTTCCCCTTGGCCAGCTCCTTCACACGTGGCACGAGCTCTCAGCACTTCCCTCCTCCTTTCTCTCCACTACCCTCCTCCCCCCCCTTCCTCTCCTCTTCCCTCCCTCCTCGCCCTCCTCGCCCGCCCCCCCCGCAGGTGAGCCCCGACGGCCCGGTGGTCCACACGCCCTGGCGCGGCCCCCGCTGGGTGCTGGCGGTGGCGTGCACCACCCTCAAGGGCGGGCGGGCGGAGTGGCTGGTGGAGAAGGCGGCGGAGCTGGGGGCGGCGGCGCTGCTGCCGCTGGTCACAGAGAGGTCGCAGGTGGGGAGGCAGGAGGGTGGGGGAGCGGGAGTGGGAAGGAGAGGACGCAGGTGGGAAGGCAGGAGGGTGGGGGAGCGGGAGTGGGAAGGAGAGGACGCAGGTGGGGAGGCAGGAGGGTGGGGTGGGAGTGTGAGTGGGGCAGGTCGCAGGTGATTGGGGAGTAGGAGTGGGCAGGTCGGTGCAGGAAGGGCCTAAGAAGGGGCTGGTGGGAGTCATGTGGGAGGCTTGGAGGCTGGAGAGATGGGTCCTCAACCGTTCGCAGCGGTCCTTGGCCACCCTCTAGCCATCGGCATTGGTTGATCACCATCCCAGATTCCTCGCCTTTGACAGGCTGGCGGCAAGATGAAATTCAAGACCCGTGGGTCAGTCTCCTCCCACTCGCATGATGCCTCCCACGACGGCGGCGAGGCGGACGGCGACTACGCGCCGGGTCGGCTGGAGCGAGTCGCCATCGCCGCCACCAAGCAGAGCCTGAGACCGCACGCGCTGCACCTGCTGCCGCCCGCCCCGCTGCGGGAGGTGCTGCCGCTGGTGCGCGGCGCGGCGGCAGGGGCGGCAGGGGAGGGCGCGGTGGGCGATACGGGACTAGGCAGTGGCAGTGGCAGCAGGAGTGGAAGCGGGGGTTTTAGCTTGGTGGCTGTCGCGGGCGCTCCCCCGCTGGCAGCTGTGCTTAGGGAGCTAAGCGGAGGTGCGTCCTCCAGGGCGGGTGCGGAGGTGGCGGCAAACGAGCAGGCCGACTACACCCCCCCGCAGCACCCGTCATATCGCTCACCTGCACACCCACAACAACAACCTCCAGCCGCACCCACAACGGCTTCTCCTCACAGCCTAGCCCCGCAGTGCCTAGCCCCGCAGCCCCTTGAGCCGACAACAGCGTCCATCCTAAGCCCTCATCCGCCCCCTCATCAGCCGTCAGAGCCCCTGCCTGCAGAGGCGCCTGCCGGGAGCGGTGTTGCTGTTGCTGTTGCGGGTGCGGGTGCGGGTTCCCCGCTGCGGCTGCTGCTGGTGGGCCCCGAGGGCGACTTCACTCCGGGGGAGCTGGCGGCGCTGGTGGGGGCGGGGGCGGTGGCGGTAGGACTGGGGGGCAACCGGCTGAGGACGGAGACGGCGGCGGTGGGGCTGCTGGCGGCATGTGTGATGACGGAGGAGGAGGAGGAGGAGGAGGGGCAGGAGTGAGGGAGGGGATAAGCATCCGGGGCATAGGGTGTACAGTCGTGGCGTCACGTTAGGAGGAGGGTTGTATGGAAGGGGAGGGAGGAAGGGGGGAGGACGAGAGCAAAGGCGGAGGCGGCGAAAGACCAGGTGCCTGACCCATGGGTCACGACTCGTGGGCTGAGATGCGAAGCGGCGCTGGAAGTGCCTTGCTGGTGCCGCGTGGCTTCGGGCCACCCATGCCCATTTCCGATAGAGACCCTTCTGCAGTGGACACAGGAGGTTACGCCTTGTCAATCTCTGATCTTAGATTACACGTTCAGGGCCTGCAATGCTTATAGGAGTCGTGCCTCCCAGCGCCCCAAGCGGAAAGTTACCTGCCGCCACCAAAGACCCCTCCTCCCAGTGCTTCATTTAATTCCTTAGAACAACATAGGAAAGGTACGTCCTTCCCCTTGGTAAAGCCGAGGTAAATCCGCAACCTGTGGCAACAACTGGTCACACAACACCATCAACCAAACCCTCCGCAACCACCCCTGCCCCATCGCACATGTCCCTAGCTGACAGGAACAGTGGCCCCCCGCAATTCCTACATTCTACCCCCGCCATTAATGTTTTGTCAAGGAGCAACCGCCTTCCATTTCATATGGTAGCGAGGAACCGACAGAAGGCAACAGGAGGTTTAGGGAGGTTGTGTAAAGTGTAAGACACCGAACAGACCCGTATCAACTCATTCCGTACTGCACGCATTCCCAAGTTGCAAACACGCGCAGAGGCGTCAGGAACTAGTATGTGCTTAAGTTGCAGCACAAAGTTGCTTGGTTGATCGAGTTGATGGGGGAAAGACAGATTCCCAGAACAAGACCCTAATCACATGTCACCATTGTTATACTTGACGTCCGTGATTTGTTCGCGCATGAACACATCGCTTAGTCATCGTCTTTTGGGCACAACACAATAGTAACCTATACGTCCTCCCACTAAATATTAGCCCCCACCAAAGTCAGCCTGCGCCCGGGACTGACGAGAAGGAAAGGCGCATGTCCAAGATAGTTCACATAATACATCAAAGCACGCAAGCAGGTTTCCATGTTTTCTGTAACCTCATATATTCTTGCGTGTACGTTCAACAGACGTCTCGGAGTCCGTGTTTTACTAAAGACCACCTGAGCATCAATACCAAAATTCGCGTGTCGTAAAGTGCAAAGCACGGGGAGTGACAAGGCAGGCGGGGCTCCGACACCGAAGAAGTGTGCATGTCGTACTTCAGGCTAAGATCTCCATAACCCCACGAGCTCTCATCTGCAGCATGAACCCTACTCGCGTTCTTAAGCTACATGCCACAGCACTTTCTCCTCATTGATGTGCTTTGCATGAAACGCACAAACCGTTCAAGGCAGGTCATCGTCAAATGTGGGCACCGTCACCGCCACGGCTGCCGTACCCCCACCTCCCCCAGGACAACCTACAGCACCACCACCCCCGGTGCCCCGCATGGATCCACGCATAGACCCCCGCATAGATCCCCCCAGCAGCATCCCGGGGATGCTACTTCCCGTGTACGGTAATACGGCAACCGTATTACCGCTATTGTCGTACAACTGCTCGTCATCTCCCAGCATTTCTTCCTCATCTTCATACAGCTCGTCCAACATGGTGCCGTGTTCTTCGTTGATGTCGTTAAAGACGTCCAAGTACGGCAAGGATTCTCCGCTAGCACGACGGGCCGAGGCTGTCGTACGCACGACCCCACTCCAGCCGCCGCCGCTCGCGATGCCGGAGACACCTGAGGCCGCGCCGCCTGTGCCGCCCAGACCGCCTAGGGGCAGGCGGCGAGCCCTCGGCGTGCTGCGTGCCGGGGAGGCGACATTGTCCGGCCCCAGTGTGACGACCTCGAGCAGGGGGGTGCTCATGCGCCTGCGAGGGGAGGAAGGGGAAGGGGAGGGAGAGGCGGGAGGAGCAGGCGAAGGGAAGGCGTAAGGGTGGGGGAATGGAGGATGTGTGGCACGAGGGGCCTTCTGGAGGGTAACTTGACACCTGGCGAGTAGTACGGTTCGGCAGTCCGCGGGAGGTCTTGGTAGGCGGATACCGGTACACAAGCACTCACAGCACAGGCCAAGCGCAGTCCACTACCTGAGTCCTTGCTAGCGCCCCAAAACAATCCCAGATAGCTCGAAGACGCCATACCCACACGCACCTGCGACTCCCGCTACCCCGCGTGGACCCCATCGACATGCGGCCGTTGCGTCCCATGCTCGTACAGTTCAGCAGCGCCCGGTTCACTGACGCCGGGTCCGCCGCCGCGGCGCGCGTGTGTAGTACAGATCGCCGCCTCGAGCGGCGCAACGCATCGGACATCGGCGGCGGCTGTGGCGTCCCTTGCGGACTGCCCGCCAGGCTGCCGCCACCGCCGCCGCCGCCCAGGGCCATGAGCCCTGCCCCCAGCGCCGCCGCCGCTGACGACAAGCTCTCGCGCAGGGCAAACGAGCCCACAGTGCCGTACCTTCCGAAGCCGCCGACGCCGCTGCTGCTGACGCGGCTGACACCGACGCCGCCTGCCGTACGCACCCGAAGACCCAGCGGGCCCAGCGGATGGGAGCCGCCGCTGACGCCGCCGCCGCCGCCGCTGGCGGGGCTGCTACGGTTGGCTCCGTCGCCACTGAAGGCGGAGCTGACGGCCCGCATGGCCCGGGAGGAGCTGGCGGCGGAGGCGGCGGCGTCTCGGAGGTGCAGGTTGGGACCGCTGTGGCGTGGAAACCAGAATGCGGCCAAGTTAACACGGTTAGTGCTGCTTCCGCCACCGCCACCGCCACCGCCGGCGCTACTGGGAGGCCGTTTGCTGGGGCTGCCGTCGGTGGTCAGAATGCCGCCAACGCTTCCGGCGATGCTACCCCGACGGGCGCTTCTGCCGCTGTTGACGTTGCCGCCGACGGTGTGTACGGCGGCCGCTGGGAGGAATGCGTCGGAGCCCGGCTGAGATGGGTCGCGGATACGGCGGCTGTCAGCCGTACTGCGGCCGTCGAAGGTGCCGCAGAAGCTCAAAGACGGGGCGCCGCCGCCGCCGCCACTGCCGCCGCCTCCAAAACTGGTAGTAGCACCTGGTCCCAGGGCTTTGTTGCTGCCATGTGTCGACATGAGGATGGACGGTACGGCCGCAAACATGCTGGCGGAGGAGGCGGTTCCCAGGTGTGGCGCAGCGGCGGCGGCAGAATCCCTGACGGCGGTCGAGCGTCGGTCGGCGCTGTCGCCGGTGCCGTCGCCTCCGTCGCTGTCCTCGCCGACACTGCCGTAACTGACGTCAGCTGTCTCTTCAACAACGGTGCTCATGTTATGTACGGTATCGCCGGTTGCCGTACTTTCATTCGCCATTCCGCCCCAGCCGCTGCCTACCTGCGGCGCCGTTAGCGTACGGGGCGGCACTTCAGCGGCGGCGGCAGGCGCGGGGGAGCGCCATTTCAACCTCCGTCCCAGCCAACTTAGGCCGCCACCGCCGCCGCGACCACCGCCGCCGCCAGCAGCGGCGGCAATGGTGACATCCGCAGAGACCGCGACTGCATCTAAACTGGCCGGCACCGCCGTCGGACTCCCGCTGCCTTGTACATCCGGCAACATCGTAACGGTTACCGTTGGAGTCGCAACCATACGCGCCTGCTGCGGCTGCGGCTGCTCCTGAGGACGAGCCACCGCCGGCCCTTTCTCCTGCTGCGTTGGCGGCTGCTGGGAACGTTGTGGAGTAGCGTTCAGCAACACCGGGCGCTCAGGTACCGGTACGGCATTCTCCCCCGGCTCATTCCGTCCTTCCCGCTCCCGCTCCCGCTCCCAACGCCGCCAAGAGGCCGCCGTCGACACGCCGGGAACGTACGAAGCACTTGTACGACGCGAACCCGGAAACGACGCCACATCCTCCCCTGCTGCCACCTCCGCTGCGCATGCAGCAGCTCCTCCTCCCGCGGCCGCTGCTGCCACCGCCGTTGCCACTGCCGCCACCGTTGGCGCTGCTGCCCCCGCTCCCGCCGCTGCTGTGTCCGCCGAAAGCGGTTGTTTGAGGCGGCAGTTGAAGACCTCCAGCGGCTCCGAGACGCCCCGCAGTACGTGTCGGCCCAGGCTGGCGGCGGTGATGGTGGCGGCGACGTCTACGTCGGGACTGACGCGGGCTGCGTACCAGGCCTGAGCGCTGCAGAGGACCTGGCCGGGACTGGCGAGCTTGGCTGGGGGAAGTAGAGGAGGGGGTTGCGAAGGGGAGGGAGGGGTTGAGGAAATGCACCGGATCGTGTTCAGCACAAAACTGGGCAAAGAGGGCACGACATACAGCGGTAAACGTAATTCAAAAAGGTGTGTGGGAACAATCTGAACATCCACCCTTCCTCAACTCACCAATTCGGGCGGCCCGGTTCATGGTCTTCCCTTTGTAGACCACACATGAACTCGCCGGGGAGAGACTCTCCGTCAACCGCCCCACATCAACACCCACACGCATGCGCAGCCCCCGCAGCAGCACCCGCCGAACCATGCCCGGAGGCAACTCCTCCCCATCGCCGTCATCGTACGACATGCCGTATGTCGCAGCCAATGCGGCACTCAAGCCACCACCGGGACCGCCGGCGCCAGCACCGCCGCCGCCGGCGGCGGCTGTGACCCGTGGGTCAAAGGCGTTCCGAGCGCTGCTGCTGAATCCGCCAACGTACCCACAGTCGCCGTCCAGACCGCCGGGGCACTCGACAGCGATCGTCGACGCCGATGCAATCACGTTGCTGGCAGCTGAGTATTGGCAGCCGAGCTGCGGCGGCAGAGGCTGGAAGGACGCCGCAGCGGTTCCCGGCATGGGTGAGGGTGGAGGTGCGCGTGCGGGGGGTGCAGGTGCGGGAGGCGCCGCCCGCATTACCACCGCCACCTCCTCTGCCAGCTCGTGCTCCTATGTGCGGGCGAACGGGTTTACGGATGCTTACATGTAGGGGTAGTTTGGAGGTCTGCTGACGAGGCACGCAGCGGACCCTCCTAGCTCCTACACCGGCGTATACTGCAACGCAGCCTTCTGGCCCCCTCCTCCTGGGGTCTTTCTCTTACTGGGGCCTCCCACATCATCCTACCTCCCATTCCAGCTCCCTATCAGCACCCCCACGAGCACCCCTGCCAACACCGCCCTCGACCCCCCCCTATTCCCATCCCCCCTCCCTCCCCCCTCCCGCCCCCTCCCACCAGCAGCCTGCTGTCCCAGGGCGCCCGCAGGAGCGCCGTCTGGCTGTCCAGCGCCCAGGCCAGTGCGCGCGCGGGGTCGCGGAAGAGCGCCAGCACCAGCCCCGCGGGGCTCTCACTCACGTAGCCCTCGTGCTGCTGGCAGCGGTGCGCGGCAACCTGGGGGGAGGAATGATTAGAGGTTGGGAATTCCGCATCAGGCTGGAAAATAGGGCGCGAAAAGGAGGATGCGGCGAGGAACGACAAAGCGGGTTGGCAGTTGCAGCCGCGTCCTCTACTTCCCTCTTCCTTTCTTCTCTTCTCCCTTCTTCCCACCCAACCCTGCCCCACCCTGTGGAACAGCTCCACCGCCTCCCCCGCCAGCTCGCTGTTCCAGCTCGTCAGCGCACTCAGCCCCGCCACGTACATGAAGCCCGCCGCCAGCCACCCTACCGGCGCGCCCAGCGCACCCGACAGCAGGCAGACGGGGGTGCGCAGGGGGGGCAGCAGGGCCAGCCGCACGGCCACATCGCAGCCCACAACCTGCGGACGGGGGGAGGGGACAGCAGGGGAGGGGAAGAGAGGAGGAGGGGAGGGGTAAGAGGAGGGCCGAGTCGTTGGCAAGCGGGCGAGTCAAGGGCAGGGATAAGGTTCTTGTCGTTCTTGCCAATCGATTACGCTCCCCCCTTGCTTCGCTGTACACCGCCGTACTCCTCTCTCCCAGTCCTTGCACGCCGTCCACCGACGCAACACCGCCACGCCTCCCTCTGCCGCCTCTCCTCCCTCTGTCGTCCCTCTTCCCTCTGTCGTCCCTCCTCCCTCCCTCCCTCCCTGCCCTCCTGCCCACCTAGCCCACCTGGTACAATTGGTACTCGTAGTTCTCTTCATCCTCAACCGCCGCCCCAGCAGCCGCCGCGATTATGGGACTCATGCCCGTGCCTGCTGCTTCGACTGCCTCCGCTGCTGCTCCTGCAGCGGCCACTGCTCCTGCCGCTGGGGTAGTTCGGCCGGCGCTTGACGCAGCATCTGCGCCTGCACCTGCAGCTGTTGCACCTCCACTTGCACCTCCACTTGCACCTCCACCTGCGGGGGTGACACCAGCAGCGGCCCCCTGCGACCCCGCCGCATGCAGCTCCGCCAGCACGTGCTGCCCCATGTGCAGCAGCCAGGCGCGGTGCTGCAGGCTGCGGGCGGGCAGCAGCCGGTAGCTGTCCTCCGTCAGACAGATCTGGCCGCCGTGCGCCGCGTCGGAGGTGCGCCGGGCCACCGTGAGGAGGGTGCCTGGCAGGTGGGGGTGGAGAAGGGGGGGATAAGGAAAGCGGTCTGTTGATCCCAAGCATCACAGGCACACCTGCCGTTGCCTCCGCAACCTTCGTCTTCACCTCGCTAACTCCCAGACCTCCCCATGGCGAGGCCGTGTTATGACACACAGCTTGTCAGTTTCCTCTTTTCCGCCCCCCTCTCCCGCCCCACCTGTGTACTGCGTCCTGCCGGACGCCTTGTTGAGCGACATGGCGTGCCCATCCAGCAACCCCGAGTGCAGCCCCATGCGCACTCGCAGCCCGCGGTGGGCCAGGATGCGGAGCGTGTCGCCGGGCCGGGCGCGGCTGCGGGGTGGGGGTGCATTGGGGAGGAGTGTGGGTAGAGGTGCGGTTGTTGTTAGGGTACTCCGCAAGGGGCGACGTTGAACTGGTGCCATGTCAGTGGCAGCAGGCTTGTGGGTTGTTGTACACATGACTGCAGAGCTGGCGAGGTAGCTGGTAACTCGGCGTTGAACCACAAGGGTCACATGCCGCAAGGACGCAGCTGCTTAGCCACACATGCCCCTCCCTCTCCGCTTCCCTCCCTCCCTCCCTCCTGGCATCACCCTTCATCCTCTGTCCCCACCCACACAATAGTTCCCCAAGCGCAGCCACACCCACCGAAACATACTGGCAATCAGCTGGCCCAGCACAGCATTCCGCAACACCCCTCCCCCTCCGCCTCCGCCACTCCAGTCGTCCGCTCCTGCGCCCCCGCCGTTGCTCATCATACCCAGGAAGCTCAACAGAGGCGGGCGGCCCGGGGGCTGCTGCTGCTGAGGGTGCGGGTGCTGCTGCAGGTGCGGTTGTTGGTAGTGCGGGGAGGAGCGTGGGAGAGCGGGCACGGGTGAGGGGACGGCGGAGCGCTGGGTAGCCCGCTCCTCGCCCATGCTGCTCCTGAATGGGAGGTGGTGAGGGTGGGGGGGAGAGGAGAAAAAAGCGAGAGGTTATAGAGAGCGGAGGACGCAGATAGGGAGGTGAGCAGACATGTTTCAGATGGAGCGGACGTGCCAACACTCATGGCAAGGCACAATCGGTGGGACATGACGCTTCTAGTCTTGTGCCGTTGTGCGTAAGGCAGTGATGCCGCAACCGCCATTTTTCACCTCATCATCCCACGTACCTAAGGATGTGCTCCTCTCTGCACCCGGACTGCCCCGAAGGACGCAGGCTGTCGCCCGCTAAAGCGACCCCGCCGCCGCCGCCGCCAGCAACGCCGGCAGGGCACGTCGCCGTCGGCTCCGCCGCTCCTCCCGCCGCGGCCGCTGCTGAAATCAGACGCTGCATGCTTCCCAGGAACCCACTTTCATCTTCGGCGGAGCCGACGCTAGAAATGGGGATAAGACCAGCGGCGGAGGAAGTACATGCGACTCCTCCACCGTCCTGGGTAAGGGCGGCGGCGACGGCGACGCCGTGTCTCTCCGTGGCCTCGGCAACGGCGGCTGTCGTCGTCACTGCCACCGCCGCCGTTGGCCCCATGGCGACGGCGTCTTTTGCCGTACTCCCGGCTCTGTCGCCGGCGCCGCCGCCGCCGTCGCATATACCATACGCCGCATGGCAAACAGGAGTCAGCAGGGGAATGGTGCTCCGACCTCCGCTAACGCTCGTTGCCAGGCCGCCAACGCCGCCGCCGCGGCAGCCTCCGGCCGCCGCCGTCAGTGACGTCCCCCTCGCCAGCGTCAGCGCTGACGGCATGGTGGCAAGCTGGCGGGAGGAGTCGCCGGGGTCAGCGGCGGGGGCGCTGCCGCCGATGCTGATGCTGCTGGCAGAGCTGCACCTGCCGTACGAACCTCGTACCGCCGCCGCCGCCGCTGCAAGCATGATCGGTGCCGCCGCCGCCGCCGCAGCTGTAGCTCTGGCGGCGGCCCCCACGGCAGGAGCAGCGGCAGGCACGTGCAGCTGGCCGGTGCTGGCGGCCCCCCGCCCGGGCTTCAGCGGCAACTGCTGGGGCTGCTGTGGGGTCACGTCCGTGATGGGCTGGCCGGGGTAATGCCGCAACAGCTGCTGCTGCAGTGTCGGCGGCGGCGGCAGCGGCGGTGCAGGCACGGGCGGATCCACCAGGGCGCCGCCGCCGTACAGCCCCGCCGACTGCCGCGGCCCTCTGGATCCAGGGTACGACCGCTGGAACGGCGGCAGCGGAGGCAGCGACGCTGATGCCGCCGCAACCGTTGCCGCCAGCTGCGCGATTGAGCTGCCGGGGACCCGCGGCGGCACCGTCGGCGCCGGCAGCGGCAGCGGCGTGGAAGCGCTGCAGAACGAGAGCTCCGGCGCCGCCGCTGCCGCCGCTGCCTCAGGCGGCGCCTCCGGCAGCGTGGGCAAAGGTACTTCCCCATCTGACCAGACCCCGCCGCCGCCGCCGCCCGCCCGCCCCGCCCCAGCACCCATCCCCGTCAACGTCCCTCCGACTGTTTCGGTGTACAAGCTCTCCCTGCCCTCCCAGAACCCCAAACCTCCTCCCACGGCTGCCACCCCATTCCAGCCCTGCGCCCCAACCCCGCCTCCAGGCCCGCTCCAACCCTGCTGCACACCAGCCATCGTCGCCGATGTCCCCGTCGCACTGTCCTGACCCATGGGTCCGCCGTCGCCGAACAGGCGCCTGCGCACCAGCCGCGCCGCCTCCAAGAAGCTCCGCTGCAGGCTGTGTGCGCCGATGCCCAGCGCGGAAGCTGCGCTCAACTGACCCATGGGTCCAAACTGGCTCCAGGGGCCCCATGCTGAGTGTGCTTTGATGGCTTTGGTATGCGCCGCCCCCAGCAGCTCCCCGCACCAGGTGCTCAGGCCGCAGGCGGCAGCCAGCCCGGAGCCCTCTGTCGCCACAGACATCCACACCGCCTCAGCCTGGAGGGAAGTGACGGGAGGGTAAAAGTGTGGAAACTGACGAGCTGTATGACATGTAGGCTTCATCAGGGGGTGCAAACATGGTCCGAATCAGTGATGGGTAAAAATAAGGAAAACTGACGGGTGTGGGGTGGGATGGAATAGGCAACACCACCAGCCGACTTCACCCTTCCGTAAGGCCCCATACCAGCCACCCGGTTGGTTAGCTACCGCTACCGCTACCCCCTTCCCTGTCCCCGAGGTGCCGCAGCAGCCCACCTACCCGCGCCCCACAGCACCCCCTCTGCCCACCTTTTCGTGTTTGAGCAGCAGCTCGGGCCAAGCCGCCAGCAGCAGCTGCTGCTGCGCCTTCAAAGCGAACAACACGGCTTCGTGCGGGGTGTGGAAGGCAAGCACGAAGGAGTCTGCGGGAGGGAGGGCGAGTGGGAAGGGTGGCGTGAGGGATGTGGGGAAGATAAGGAGGGTTGGGAGGTAGCGGGCAGGGAAAGCGCGGCAACGTTAAGAGGGTGGCGACGGGAAGTGGGGGCAAACATGAGCAGGTGAGCGGCTCAAGGAAGGGTGGCTAGTGTTACTTAACATGCCTGTCTGCCCGCCCCGCACCACCACCACCACTCCCAGTTGCTACACCGTGGCCTCACCTCCCTCATTGGCCGACTCATAGCCATCGTGGTCCGCTGCCAGGCCTCTGAGGATGACGTCTGCAGGCGCGAGGGGGTAGGAGGGAGGGGTGCTAAGGGAAGGGAAGACAAGGGTGTGCTTCAGTGTGCTTGTCTCTGCATACTTGGTAGTCTGCACGGTTCCGTCTCAGCGGTGGGAGAGGGCCATTATCCTCCCCCTGCCAGGACTCCGCTTCTCTGGTGACCTAGGCCCCCCAGCCACTTAGCCTTGTCATGTGTACCCCACTCTCCTTCCCTCTCCCTTCCCTGGTTTTCGTATATCTCTGTCCCCTCTCCCTTCCCAGTCCCCGCCTTCCCCCTCCTCTCCCCACCCCCACCCCCACGACCACCTACCATGCATTTCCATGGCCTGCTCCATCACATTGCCCGGCAGCTCCTCCCACAGGGTCTGATAGAGCGGGGCAGGGCGTGGAACGTAAACAGGAGTAAGTAACCATGTGGCAAGGCGTCTACATGTGATTAGGACAGTTCAGAGGAGGCCAGCAGAGGACAGAATGGTTGCGAGGTGGAGGGGCGTGTGATGCAGTTGGGCCGGGGCCCCGGGGGTAAAAAAGAAATTCCAAAGTGTGGTGTGATAATGATATAAGTTGCTGACAATCCCTGGTGAAATGAACCGTGAGTGAGCCGAGGGGCCCCGGGGGTAAGGAGCGGAGCAGCAGCTCCGCACCTCTTCGCAGCCCCTTCCTTCACATGGACTCCCGACCTACACCTACCAGTTGCTGTCCCTTGCCACACCTCACTCCCAGCACTCCCAGCCCATCCCCTACCTCAGCCCCCTACTCATGTCCTTTCCTCTCCCACTTCCCGCCCCGCCCCATCCCTCCCTCCCCCACCTCCTCTCCCACTCACCGTGCTGCTCTCAATGTCGGTAATGAGCAAGGTGGTGTGCGGCCCCACCCCCGGCGCCCGCACCCGCCCCAGCAGGTTCCTGTTCCGCCGCCGCTGCCTGCCGTACATGGCGGCCAGCAGCAGCAGCGCCGCCGCCAGCAGCCCGCCCAGCACCACCCCCACCACCGCAGCGGGGTGCAGCGAGGAGGACTGGCCGGGAGGGAGGGAAGGGTTAGGGAGGAAGGGAGAGGCGGAGAGAAGGGTTAGGGAGGAAGGGAGGGCAGCAGGGTATGGTTAGGTGCAAAGGACAGTGGTGCGGTGTTTTCGGAGGCAACCCTGCCTTCTCCGCCTGCTCTGCTGTTCCCATACCAGCCCTATCCCCGTCCCCGTCCCCGTCCCCACCGCGCCTCGCCTACCTCCCTGACCGGAATGGGCATGACCAGCAGCGCCGCCGCCGCCTCCAGCGGCCCCACCACCCGCACCCGCCCGCCCTGCACCTGCGTGGTGGCGGCGGGGCGGCCCACGTTGCGGCGCCGGGCGCTGAACTCCACCTGGGGTAGAAGCGGGAGGGGGGTTTGGGAGGGTAAAAAGGGGGTGGGAGGGACAGAAGGGTAAGGAGATGAGCGGGGGCGGGAGAGGAAAGTTGGTCCACTAGGGCGGTCGCAATGGTCCATCCCAGAGCCCCGGAAATCCCCGCTTTGCAGCCCCATACGTACCGGTACTCCCCAGCCTGAAGTCCCCTACCAAGCCCGGACGCTTCAAGACGCAAGATTGACCCTGCCCTCACTTTTCCCACTCACTCCCCGCCCCTGTCCCCTCCAGAACCCACCCCATCCCTTAGTGTCTCATTATTTTTTACCCCATCCCTTACCCCTCCCTCTCCACGTCTCCAACCCGCTCTCCCTGTTGCCCCACTCTCCCATTTCCCTCCCCGACTCCAAGCCCACTCCAACCCACCACTCCATAAAAGGTGTCGAAGGTACCCTCCTGCAGCGCCCGAACCAGCAGACCGTATCCAGTGACATTCACACCACCACCATCCGACAGCTGCTCAACCGCTGAGGACAACCCCGCAGAGCCCGAGTTAATACCCGCCGTCGCCGCTGCCGTTGCCGCCGCCTGTGTCGTGCAATGTACGGCACTGGGGTCGTACAACAGCCGCTGCACATCGCCCGCCGCCGCCACCTCCGAACTGATGCTGCACTCTTTAAAGGCGCCACGTAAGGCCCACGCCAGCGTCAGAGCCGCCGCCGACGCGCCCGCGGCGTCGGCGTCCGGGTGGCTGTCGCCATTGGCGGCGGCGAAGCCGCTGTCGTACGCCGCTGCGGATCCGAAAAACGCATCTCCGTACTGCACCTCCGAGTTCCACTGTACGGCAGACAGCACGTACTCGTACCTGCCGTACGCCGCCTCCAGGTCCGCCTCCGCCGGCCCCGCTACCATGAATGCCGCCGCCAGCTGCAGTTTCACCTCCGCCAGCGCCCCCGTCAGCTGTTTCGTGGCGGCGGCGACGTCGCACATCACCACTGCCGTCGCGCCACTGGCGGCGACGCGTGCCGCTAAGGCGGCGAAGAAGCCCTGCGCCTCCGCCTCCGCCGCCGTGTAGTTTAGGGGCGTGAAGATGGTTTCGGGGTGCAGCTGCTGCAGGGAGGGGGCCTGCGCGAGGGCGCCCAGGCAGGTGGCCTGAAGGACTGGGTCGCCGTCACGGCGCCAGATGACAGCGACATGGGAGATGGAGCGGAGGGCCATGGCTTTGAGGGCGGTTGCGGAGTAGTGGACGGGGGAGGTGGTGATGCCGTATATGTACGACAGACCCTGCGGGACGTGAGAGGATGGCGGGAGGCGGTGTGGAGAAGGGATTGTAGGGAGTAGAGGGTCGGAAGAGGGAATGACATGGATGGTAGATGGGAGGAGGGATGGAGGAAAGTGCCGTGCTCTTCAGGTGTTGAAACAAGCTTAGCGCTGCACTTGTGCCTAAGGGGGCCTCCCAGCCTACCAGCTCGAAGACGCGGTCAGTGGTCACGCCGGCGAGCATCATAAGCTTTTGCAGCTTGTTCGCTGCCACCGCCTGCTCCTCCTCATAGCCGATGCCGCTTAAGAGGAAGTGACATGACCGTGCGAGGGTTCGGACCGAATTCACCAAAGCTCCGGCAGAGCAGTTCGCTTCAACAGTTGTCACGGTATAGTTGACGGCATATGAGCGGTAAGCGTCCACGATAGCGAGCTGCTCAGGCCAGCGCGATGCCTGCTGGGCAAAGTATTTGAGGCCCGCACCGATTCCTCCAGAACCACAGTCGTGTTCTGGAGCTCCTAATTGAATATGGAATGAGGCGCTTGGTGCAGCGAGTGCGAAGAGGATGACCACTGCAAGTGCTCGGACCGGCATGTCCGCGCTTGCAGCGGGAAGCCAGCCGCCCAACCTGCGCTCCACGTGGCGCTGCCCATGATGCATCTATTCAAGTATCTTGCATCAGCGATAGAGCGGAGGCGACGGTTGCCAAGTCGTCGCCAGCAAGCATGACGGCCCCAAGACCGTGTTTCCACATTATTAGACGTTCAGTATGCTTGCGACCGCAACCTAAATGAAAACAGTTACAGCGTTCAGGCGCAAGATAAAACTCGATTTTTAACGGTAAGTTTGAACCGTTGGGTTCTCTGTGAATTGTTTGCCTGAGTAGGCGATTTATTTTTATTCGCTATTCACGAACAACTGGTCAATCTGTGTACTGCCGTGCTGGCGGCTTGCTTCAGGTTAATTGTCGTCCCATGAGCAGTAGCCGGTATGAAATTTACGGGATATGTCCGCATAGCTTGTGATGCATGCGAATCAACGTTGACTGGCAGCAGCCCTGCAGCAGCTCTAAAGTTTTGAAAACGTTCACGCCGATCACGACGTAGGCAGGTTGGCTAGCCCTGGGGCCAATACAGGCCACCTTCCATCCCAGTAGCTACTGCGAACAAGTCCAAGCTGCTGTCCACGCCGTCACAAAATCACGCTACACGAGGTAGATCTGCGTCGATGTATCCGGCTCTGTTACGTCACTTATCCCACCTCCACTATCCTACGTTCCTACCAAAGGATGACACCCCTTCACCATCTACGCCCCCGCATCACACTAACACGCCCCGGGGACCGCTGCGTTGCTCCCGCCCTGTACCCTCCCCCCGACTCCCCAGTTTCATCGACGCTACCCCGACTACGGCGTCAGCAGCAGCACTCCTCGGGTGGCTCAGGAGAGTACCAATCTGACAGCACCTATAGCAGCAGCGCCCACAGTGGCACACAGCACCCTGAGTAGCAGCGCCCACAGTATCAACACTTGTGAGCTGCATGCCTTGAGGCGCATCGTGTGGCCTATACCGGTATGACTACTACCCCCTAAGGTGCGCTTGGGGCTGCGGGGAGGCTGGCTGCACCCTGAAGCTTGCCTGGGTCTGCACCCGTCTCCACACGAGTACCGGTACATGGGACACACCCTAAACCGCCCCGCCTTATACGGACGGCCATGATACACAGATGATACAGAAACGGCTGGTTCTGCTGCCCAGCTTGTTGTTTGCTGAAGTGCCTGTTGTGTGCGAGGGGACGGAACGCTGTCATTCGTGCCCTGCATTGACACTGACGCTGTCGGGTCTGCCGAAATCTCCGGTGCAGGAACGCAATGCCATAAACGAGACTAACAACGTTTGGTGCGGGTCTATCGCCCTGCACAACAAAGCGATGCGTTGTTGTCGTGCCCGGGCATAGTTTGTGAATATGCATGCACGGAGTGACCCATGGGCCACCCAGCCCCTGCCCTCTGCCCGTCACGAGTTCGGCGCTCTTTAGGAGAGCAGCTTCGCAAGAGACGCAAAGAGAAGCAGCTAAGGCAAGGCACTGAGCAGTACAGCCTTTAGCTATCCACGCAAACATCAAGAAATGCATTTTAACCACAAATCCTTGTTGCGCAATCGTAGATTCCTAGAAACACGGCTTCACAGCCTGCAGACATTTTTAATAGTGCGCATCACGCATGCCCCACAATGCACACCACCTCACCACGAGACCCCATCTCAGCCTCAACATGCATGACCCGGCGGGAGGACGACGCAAGAAGGGGCTGCTATTGTTGCTGCTTGCCAGCCCACCACCACCATTCCCAGTTGCTACACCGTGGCCCCACCTCCCTCATTGGCCGACTCATAGCCATCGTGGTCCGCTGCCAGGCCTCTGAGGATGACGTCTGCAGGCGCAAGAGGAGGGGTGGAGAAGAGGATCTCATTGGTAAGGAGAGGTAAGGTCGTGGTAAGGCAGGGCGGCAGGAAGTTTGGTCTACAGGTGGTACAGAGGGGTACCCATCAGAGCCCTGAGAGCCCCCGACTGCGGGCCACCACGCTTGCTTCCCTTCGCCGTTTCCTGCTTTCCTGCCCTGTCCAAACCCTTTCCCGTCCTCCCTACCGTGCCCTTCCCCGTTAACCTTTCCCCCCTTAGACAGGAGCACAGGACCCTTCCCACCAAGTCTGACCCTGCCTGCCTTCTTTCCCATTCCCTCCCCTGCCCTGCCCACTCCAGCGTCCCCAATCCCGTACTCTATCCTCTTCATTCCCCTTTCCCAATCGCCCACCTCTCTGGTAAGACGATGCGTCAGCGGCGTCCGGATGGCTACCACGGCCCGTGGCGGCGCAGCTGCTGTCGTACGCCGCTGCGGATCCGAAGAACGCATCTCCGTACTGCACCTCCGAGTTCCACTGTACGGCAGACAGCACGTACTTATAGATGCCGTACGACGCCGCAAGAAAGCTGATATACCAATGCATGTGCACCCCATCCGATACCCCAACGTCCGCACCGAACTGTATATGCCCAACAATAGCCCCCTGCAGTGTCCCACGTATGAGCGCCATGTCTATGGCTACAAGTTGCTGACAGCAACGACGCCTGGAGCGGTAAAAGATGTGGGATGGCAAGAACACCTAACCAGCACAATTGCGGGAATCCAGTCAGATCCAGTCCTTATTTGATGTCAATCGACAGGATTGTGTCCAGGTGGGTGATCAGGGTGAACGCGAACGGATATCGGGCTCCAGCGGACTGGAGAATACGCAGCTCCAGGCACCGAGCGACGCGGCTCTGCAGCTCTTCCCGCGAGTAAGACGCATTAGACGGCCCAAATTCGCGTGCCTGGTCAACCACCGCGTCTGCAGACGCGGCGAACTCCTGAGCGTCACTGCCGAAAGCCGGCACCTTCTCAAGGACCAGGGAAATGAAGACCGTCACCTTCTCAGGATTGTCGGGTGCCTGCCATGACCAGGAACGCTCAGGGTGGCTGTCCAGCAGGCGGGTCTTGCAAACCTGCAACGCCACCTGCGCCAGCTGCAACAGCCGCGGCGAAGCCAGGAAATGTGCAACAATGTCGTCTGCGCTGACAATCACCGCGTACAGAAACGGGTCGAGAGCCTGCAGCCGCTGAGGGCTGAAGTCCTCAGCGAGGACTCGCAGACGCTGCACCACGTCCTCTACAGCCCCAGCATGGTGCTCAATATCCCTGCGGTAGCGGAGAAGCCTGCAGTTCTGGGAAACGGCGGCGACTGAGTTCCCAAGACCTGGGAATCGCCGGCACAGATCCAACCACAGGCTTTCGCTCTGTGGCCATGACGCTAGCATAGGCTCTAATGGCGAAGGTGGAGGCGCGAAACCTCGGCTGCAGGCTCCCGAGTAGGTTACTTCGATGAGAAGAAGCAACTGGTTGGCTAGACTCCGAAGCTGAGGCTCAAGAGCACTGGTAACCCGCGTTGTTACAATATCATTTACCCGCGTTATTACAATAGCATTTATTGCTTGTGTGAAGCGGGGGTCCGCAAGCAGAGCATCCAAGTCGTTCATGGCTTATGTGGGAAAGGAAGTCTGCGTGCGGCGTTGCAAGGAATTAGTCGTCTAGGGTTCGCATATGACACGTGTCCGAACAGTCTAGGGTCCACCAATGAAAAGCGTCCAAATGGCCCCGGCCGATACTCTTGCCAACATGGCAAGAGCACCAAGGCAAGGCAGAGGCGCCACCCTGGAGGGCCAACCTTATAAGGCCTTCCACCTTAGCTACTCGGCTGTCTCGGCAGTCTTCACCGTTCAGGGCTTTGTAAACTGGTATGGTTCGTGAAGTAGCACATGAAGCATAGGGGCTAGATTCTCGGTTGACGTCCAGCACCGGTCAGCTGAGAGCTGACAGTTGGCACTTTTCATGAGCACAAGAAATCTGCTATGCCTGCAGATTAAAATTTTCTTTGTCCGAGTCATGTTATTGCCCGGATGCTCATTAGTCCGAGCCCTCATACCCGTCGCGCTGCATGCCTAGTTGCGACCGCAAATAAGGGTAGCACTGATGCAGCCATCCTGTGGACTACAGTAATGGGCTCCTGTTGTGGTGTGATGTGTTTGCCCTCAAGGGCCAGTGTTACACAGCGTTGCACATGGGTCCATGCTCGGTAAATACTTCAAGTGCACCATAGCATTTGCAGTGAAGTGTCAGTACCATCCGTTGAGCTGCCTGCGTGCGTGCCAGCTGTCCATGGCAGCGACTGCAATCAAGACAGCGGCCTTTACTTTCGGCCATGAAGTGCAGTGGCAGGATGTGTTGGAACAGCTACCCGAGCTTCCCCACGAGCTGGGAGCCCCCACTGCTCTGCTTCCTGCCACGGCGCCATCCATCGTGCCAACGCATTCGACCCTATCGTCGTTTCCCTCCTTCGTTGCCGTAATTGCCACGCTCCTACCAAAGAATGACACCCCTTCACCATCTACATCCCCGCATCACGCATCTCACGCATCAGCACGCTCCCCGGGGCCGCTGCGTCGCTGCCGCCCTGTAACCCCGCCTCTCCTGTCTCGTCACCCCCGACGGCGCCAGGCAGCCGCATGTGCGCAATGACGTCAAAGTGCTGCCGGAGGGAGGCGGGCTGCCCCTGGAAGTAGTGCTGCAGGCTGCAGGGCACACCCGCGCCCCGCAGCAGCGCCAGGAAGCGGTCCCGCTCGGAGACGACCCAGGGCCGCCGGCGGTCGCCTGCAGAGAGAGGGCGCAGGGGGAGGTGGAAAGCAAGGGAGTTAGGCGAGTAGGAGACCCATGGGTCGGTAAGGAGCGGGAAGGGGGTGTGGAGCATGGTGTGGACCCAGCTCACCCAGCCCCCCCCTCACCCCACTGTCGCGGTGTCCCATGCAGGTGTACGGCAAGCGGCACCCGCGTGTGGCGCCGCCCCAGCTGTGAGACCACGGCGGGGTCGGTGAGGTGTACACCGCGGCAGTTGAGGCCGGCGTCCTGCGGGTGGTGGGGGTTGGGTTAGCAAACTAGCCGCGTGGAGACTGTCGTACTGAGACTGTCGGAAGATGACGTCCCCACAGAAACGCCACCGGTGGTGTGTGTATGGCAGTGGGCTCGAAGCTTAGGGTGGTTGCGTCTGACATGCCTTTGTGGGTGAGAACGAGATTAGGCCGTCTGGGGAGGGCTAACCACCCACTCATACACCACCCTCCCTCCCGCCCTGCCCTCTATCACACCACACATTGGATTTTGGTTTTCCCGCCCTGCCCTCCCCTACCAGGAAGTGTACGGCGCTCACGGAGTCCAGCAGCGCCGCCACTGCCGCTGCCGCTGCAGGGTTGCCAGCGGGCGGGGGCGGGGGCGAGGAGGAGGAGCAGCAAGCGAGGGGGGCAGTGGACGCAGCAGCGGTGGGTACCGCTGCTACCAGGGCCGGGGCCGCTGCTGCTACTGCTCCCGCTGCTAGGGATGTGGTTGGTGATGCTGCAAGTGTTGCGGCAACTGGAGTTGAAGGTGTCCCCGCCGCATCTGTGCCTGGAGCCGCACCGAGGGTCCTAGTCGGCTGCTGTTGCTGCGCCCCATGAGGCCCCGTGGCGGGCCCCTGCTGCTGATGGTGTTGTGCTGCTGCTTGTGGTGCTGCTGCGGGGAAGAGCGTTTCCTCGCGCCAGGCCATCTCAGTCAGCAGCTGAGCAGTGGGGAGCAAAAGGGTATGGGGGAGTGGTTAGTGGCGGAAAGGGGAGCGGGGCGTGTGCGGGGTGAAGGAGGGGGCATGGGAAAGGAGGTGGCAGGGCAGCAAGCAGCCTGCGGCATCCCAAGGTGGCAGCCACTCGTCAGGCAGGCAGGCAGGCAGGCAGGCAGGCAGGCTGGCAGAGCGAGCCTGGAGGCACCCCAGCCGACTCCCTCTCCCCCCACACCCGCACCCCTCCAGCCATTGGCAGCGGCTTGCCACTTGCCACGCTGGTTGCATGTATAACCCCGCAGCGGTACCCCTCGCCACCCTCACACACACCCCGCCCCGCCCCCCGCCCCCCCCCACCTGGTTCAGCACCACCGCCCCCTTGGAGAAGCCCACCAGCACCAGCCGCCTCACCGCACCCGCCCCCTCACTGCAACCACCACCACCACCACCCGCCCCTAGCGACCTTCTGCCGCCGTCACCACCACCACCCGCAACGCAGGAGCAACCTCCTCCTTCCCTCGCCCCGTCCTCTCCCGCCGCTGCCCCTAGCTCCAACCCGCCCCCTCCTGCTGCTGCGCCCTCCCCTTCTCCTCCTTCTCCCCCTCCCCCTCCTCCTTCTCCTCCTCCTCCCCCGCATGCCGCCAGCAGTGCAGCCAGGTGGGTGGCAGCCCGGTAGCCCTGCGGCCGGAAGCCCAGCGCCTCCCCGCAGGCGGTCATCGGGCCCAGCAGGTTGGAGTAGCAGGCCTGGCCGCCGGGGGCCAGACGGGTGGGCTGCACGCTGGGGAGGGAGGGGCAGGAGGGAGCGGGAGGGAGGGCAGGGAGGGCAGGGCGGCAGCAGAAGGGAGGGCGTGGAGTGGGAGGTGGTGGGATCCTAGTGCAGCAGCGGTTGTGAACTCCCACAGGCCAGGCTGGGATATACCAGGATCTGCCGTACTGGGGGCTTAGTGAAGGAGCGCATGGGGAGAGCGGATAGTAGCGCCGCTGGGTTGACTCACATGAGCAGCCGTGCGTCCGGCCCGAAGCAGCTGCGCAAGGAGGCCAGGTGCCCCTCGGGCGAGCAGCGCTGCGGGCCCAGCAGCTCACGAGCATCGTCGTCCACCTGGTCTCCCTCGAAGAAGACAACAGTAGTGGGATTATTTGTTATTATTTCGTTGCCAGCTGCGCAGGCATCTTGCCATTGAACTTCTGTAGGCCCTTTATCGCCATGGACTTGTAACCGATGGGACGACATGCGGATATCAGGGTGCACTAAGCACGGATTTGGTCGCGAATGTAGGTATGTTTAACAGCAATATGTTGATGTAGGATTGTAGGTCTAGTTGTGGCGTCGTGCACGCATGCCTGCTGGGATCCGTGCAGTGCATGGGATGCACACCAAAGCACGGCCTATGACAAGAACAGTATGATACCCACTGTTAATACCTTTCTCTTTTAAGTCGCAGTTTGTTTATACATTACTGAAGACGCGTTGGGATAGAAGCAAATTGCTTTAAACTGAACAGCACTTTCAGACAGCGCCAACTCCAGCGCCAACTTCGATAGGCATCATTGGCGTTCTTGTGGCACGTTTAATCAAACCTTGTCGAAAACAAATAGCAGCGAATGCCACCTCGAGGTCGATCAGCCACCCAGCAACATGACAACGATGGAGCCGGTCCGAGCAGCTCAGGTCTAACTTTCCCGGAGTACGTGCCATTCGCCATTACTCAATCAGTACTCGCGGAGGGAGTAATACCAGAAGATGAAGTCAAGGTAGGGTTGCAGCTCTCCCGGGTTGTGTTTCTGGGCAATGGGGAATCACTACGCCAGCACTCCGACTAAATCTCCCATAGCGCACGCTTAGCAGGCCCCCATGTGACCCTCCTCGGATTGCGCAGGCCATGATACGACGACTGACCAACCGCACCAATGGTACGTTGCTCCTACTTTTCCCCTACACACTGGTGTCCCACGGAGCTATGGAGGACGGGAAACGGCCCCTTTTCCCAAGCCCCTGCACCCAACCCCTTCCCCTATATCCACCTCCCACCTCCCCATCCGCCCCCCCTCCTCCCAACCTCCTCCTCCTCCCAACGCAGACGATGCATTCGCCCTGGTGCTCCGGAAGGTCCAAGCGGATGTGAAGTTCCTGGACATCGGCATCGAGCGAGTCAAGCTGCCGGTGAGGCCCTCGACCCCCGCAGCCCCTTCGCCACCCTTTCTCCCCCACTGCGCCCCCGCCCCTTTGCCCCCTCTTCCCCCTGGCTGAGCGGACCCGCACCCGCACCCGCTCCTCCTCCACCCAGATCCCTAGGCTGCTAGCAGCCCCCAAGCGCCATGAGAACAGCAACTCGTCAGTGTAGGGTTAGCACAGCCGTAGCAGGCAGAGGCATCGCCCCTTCACCCAGTCGAATGCCAGCAAACGGCAGCCCCTGTCAACTACCTATCCCTCACCACCCTCCTCTCCACCCTCCTCTCCACCCTCCGCTGCACAGGCGAACAAGAGCTGGTACCTGTGTGCCATCAACAAGGTACGACCGCAAAGCAGCGCGACGACCCGCCACTACATCTCTGCATCGCGTGGGTGCCTGTGTGGGAAAAGCTCCGATGCCTGACGGGCGCAGGGCTCCCTCTGACCCCCACCAACACACACCCCGTACATACGGCTCCCACCCCACCCTGCACCCTGTGCCCATGCATTCTTCTTTTACCCCACTCTGCAGGATGCGGACGAGTCCTCCAAGCTGATGGGCTCCAAATATAACGCAGAGCAGATACAGTACTTTAAAGCAGTGGTGGGAGTGGGGCAGGGGGAGGAGGGGAGAGGAGGGAAGTGGGGTATTGGAGGGACAGGGCCAACGTGCAGTGCAGCGCGCCCCCCGTGTCATGGTGCGTCCGCCAGCCTACTCTACCCTGGCCTAATCCTGCATGCTCCGGTCCCCTGCCCTGTACGCAATCCTATAATCCAGCCTAATGCGGAGAATTTGTATCCTAACTAATCCTGCGCTAATCCCTGCGCTCTGCCCCCTCCCTCTCCCTCTTCCCCAGTTGGAGGCCATCGGCAAGGCCGCCCCGCCCGAGGAGGGCCTCATAGCGCAGGTGGGCCGCATCGCACTCGTCAACGTGGACCCGCTGCGGGAGCCGGCGGGGGCGGGGGCGGCGGGCGAGGGCGGCAGCCAGGCAGCGGGTGCTGCTGCGCGGGGCGGTCGCAAGCTGAGCATGGTGGACAAGGGGGAACTGCTGAAGGGGTTCGTGCAGGACGGCTGGCTGCATGAGCCGCGGCAGGGGTACTACACCATGGGGGTGAGTGGGGTGGGTGGGTGGGTGGGAAGGGCAAGGTGTGGAGGAGGGAGGCGGCTGTGGGGAAGGGGTGCATTGTTGCCGTAGGCCCATGAATTGTGGTGCTGGTAATATATGGGCGTGGGGTTTGGGGGTGGTGTTCATGGTTAACCTAAATAGTGATACAGTAACGCCACCAGCACACGCATACACATTCCTGTCATGGCGTTAGTTGGGCCATTGGTCTGCTGGGGCAACAGGCACACGTAGCCACGTTAAGCCGGACAGCCCCTCATGAGGCCCTGTGCAGCCACGCAGCCCTCACACACGGCCGCTACCTCCACACCTGGGAACAGAACACCGCATGCCACCACACGGCAGCTGTGGTCCAGCTAGCGTCGAGATATGCGCACTAAACATGCTACTGTCATGCGGTGCACGTATCACGGGGGACATCCTGCGGTCGTAGGACATCCTCATTCTTTTCGAGGGACTACTGATGGCCACGCTTATGCCATGTATTATACACACACCTATACATACACTACCCCCTTCCTATGCAGCTTATGTACCATGCCTGCACTACCGCCACCACTGCTTTCCTCGCCGACCATCCAACCAACCCACGCAACCCAGCCACCATCCCCACCACCACGTCCCCCGCCCCTCTCTCTCCACGTCTCCTCCCCCTTCCCCCACTCCGTTGCTTCACCTTCCCCCCCACTGCTCTCTTCCCCCCCCCCCTGCCCCATCCCCCACACTGCAGCCCCGCACTCTGTCCGAGCTCAAGGACTACGCCCTGTCCGTGCTGCACCCCGAGGTGGCGGAGGAACTGCAGCGGGACTACATGTAGGGCTGGAGGCGGAGGTAGCAGCCGGGGGGGAGGGAAGTGAGGAGGAAGAAGGAGGGCAGGGCAGGGGAGGCGGCAGCGAGGACGGACTGGACCTGTGTGGCAGCAGAAAACTGGCGCTGATACGGCTGTGCGGGACGTTGCTGGAGTTTTAACCGTGCTATCAGAAGCTGCGAGCTGATGCCGACCATGCATTTCGGAAGATGGAGAATCCTCACAGGACCCGCATGGTGGTGTTGACTACCGAGGTTGACAATCTAGGCTCCTATTATAAAATACAATATACGAGGTACAAGAGATATGCACGATTGCTGCCGCTGCTGCTTCCTGCTGTAACGTACATCATGCCATACGAGGTCGAACGTACCAGGTCGAACGGTGCCGACCCATGGGTCGCGGGGCTGTGTGGGCATCATCAGCACTCGCACCACCTGCACAGTCCGCCAGCTGCCTCGAACACCGTGGTGTCACCCGAGTTGCAGTCCACCTCTGAGAGCATGTCTGCGAGGAGCGCATGGCAAAGTTGAAAGCTCTGGAAGCAGGAGGGGCTGTTGCATATGTACGGCAAGCCCGAAAATTGGCAAGAAGTTCCAAGCCCCGTGCGTCTTGGGCAGGAAGCTCCGGTGAATATTATCTTCTCTACCGCGGGAACGACAAGCCCGTCAGCAATGCTTATCAGCAACATAAAAGGTTAAGTTCTCAACAACGCTTCCTGGCGAGAGGCTGTCAACGAATCAACCGACAACCGTGATCGCGCCAGATCACGTACAACGGTCGCCCACGATCTCTTCTCATCAAGCGTCGCATCCCATGGCAAAATTGTGTCTCCTTTCTCAGCTATACCATCGTAATATCTTCTCGTTCACGCAACGGCAGCTCCAGCGTAATAAGCAAGCTGCTGGTCAGGTAGCTTAGCGCGCGAAGTTGCCTAAATTCTCAGCGCTTCCTGCCCGCTGCCTAATCCTTGGCGGTGTATCCATAGTACTGCAGCATGGGCACCACCACCGCGATCAGCAGCAGCGTTCCCACCACAGTGCTGGTCACGTTGCGGCTCTTGTCCGTCTCCTCCTTTGTGCGGTAGTTGCGCTCACGGCTCACTTCACTGCGCACCGGCGCCTCTGCAGGAAGATAAATAAGCAAACACAAACGAACAAACACAGCCAACGAATCGTAAAGAGACATACCGGGTCAATCAACTATCCAAATAGAACATAAACTTTAGGACCGCAACAACGTCTTTAACCAGATGGCCTTGACCTCGACAAAAGCCACGAAGCGGCTGATACCGAATGATGCGGGCCATGCGTCATGCTGGCGTTATGCGTTATGTTCAATGTTTTTCCCACCTGCCCAGCAGCCCCTGCCCCTCCTTTAAGCGTTACAGAGTCACACTTCAACACAGGCCACCCCCACCCTTGTCTGTCATTGACCACGACTCTCAACCCACTTACCTTAGCCGCTGTGCATGATTCCCTAGTCCAGGTAACTTCCGACCCCCAAACTTCCCTTCCCGCCGCAGCCCCCACCCAAGGTCCCCCTTCCCTCTCCCCACCCAAATCCGCCCCTTTCCCCCACCCCTCATCCCTCCCCTCGCCCCCGTGAGTTGCACCTACCCTCCTTTACCCCGCCCCCCGCCCCCGTCCCCGTCCCCCTCTCACCCGGCACGGGGTTGCCCAGCAGCTTGGCCTCCAGCCGCTCCACCGAGCTGAGCACCGTCTGGTTGTACTTCTCCTGCTCCGTGAAGATGGGGATGTTGGTGGAGATGAGCGAGTCCACCAGGTCGTCGCCCACCGCATCGTTGAACGCCTGCCCGCCCGTCACGGCGCCCTCCTTGCTGGAGGTCACCACCAGCAGCATGCCCTTGTTGCGGCCGGTCTCGGAGCTGGGGTACCAGTTCTCAAGCACCTGGGGAAAGAGGGGCGGGGAAAGAGGGGCGGGGGAAGTGGGGCGGGGAGGGAGTGTGTATGGGGTTGGTGGTAAGCGATGGGGGCGGGGAGAAAGGGGGGAGGAGGGGGAAGGAGGCTGGCTGCTAAAGGAAGGCATCATGGTGTAGTTTGACAGGGTGCGGGTGGTGGCACCCGCATGCCTTAACAAACTCCACAGCACATACTTGCCTGCGGCACACAGTGGCCTTCTCATGGGAGCGTATAGACTTCCAACACTGCTTGTTTCACTTTCCACCTTTTTCCCTAGCCATGTATTGCTGTCTTACCAAAGCGAGTCCCTTCCCTCACAGCCCACCCTTGCGCGCCCCATGCACCCCGTGCATGGACCTCCACATTCTCATCCCTCCGACAACCGCCCGTCCCTGCCCCATCGTGGCAAGCCTGGTAAGTATTAGGTCACGAAAAGTTGTGCACACACACCTTGTCAGCGAAGGCGAACGCGTCCGTCTCAAACTCCAGCCGGCGCACCGTCACAACCTCCACACGGTAGCCGGTTTGGATCTGGTGGCAAGGAGAAGGTACGACAACAAAGGCAGCAGCGGCAGCAGCCGTAAGCACGTTAAGGCGTTAGCGGTTGCAGGTGCAGATGGAGAATGGGGGTTCGAAGCCACCCAGGCGGCTGGCCCCGTAGGAAGCCTTCCTGGGGCGGAATTTCCCGTAGGTAGCTAAGAGGCGTGGCCAGTCCAACCGCTTGCAGTCCAACCCACCTCCAGCAGCTTCAGGCGCTTGTTCAGCTCGCTGCGCGTTGACTTGCTCAGAACGTTTGCATCATCCACAAAATAGTTGGTGGTTGGCACTGGCTCCGACAACACGTCAAACTCCGAAGCAATGGCAGGAGCTCCCAGCGCACCCAGCGAAAGCAGGGCAGCAGCACCAGCGCTGGCGAGCTTTTGGCCCAGGTTCGACTACATGTAATATATACAGCATAATAGTAAATGGAGCGACCAAAGAAACGTGCAGCGGGGGCCGCGCAAGTAAACAAGCAACATCGGTTGAGCGCACCTTGAGCTGTGCGTTGCAAATAACGGCTTTTCGGGAGACAAAAGGACGAAGCGCTCCGGATGCGGCAGGTCGCACACCGGACTTCGCCGGGCACTGAGCGAGCGCCATGCTGTGTGGTTAGGATGACGCGTTACTTTAGTCCAAGCTCAGTCTTTGAGATCGTTGTTTCTAAATAATTGGTACATAAACGAACCCCTTAGCATCTAGCTCGGCACATAGCTTGGTTGCATGTCCACAGATGTACGCAAGATAGGGCTGCCGTACTCTTGAAGCTAGACGACATCAAAGCGCTCACCACAGTGCGCAACCCTAAGCAGTTGTAGTATAGGTTAAGTGGACAGGACAAGGTCTATCCTTGCTATGCATACCATTATGTGTCATGGATGCTTCCATGGTTTGCTATCGTTCATGCGCGTCGTTGCTTAACTGACGCCCCTAGCGCTCAATGTGCCGCTGATGCTACCAGGTGCTAGTCGGCTTGCACTATAGCGGCGAGTCACGTACTGACATGGCTTTCCAGCATAACTGCTTGCAGTGCTTGCACCTAGGGCACCGGTATACCGCTTTGCACTATATCCTGCGAGAGACCAACGTGATCAGAGATCTCCTTATCAAAGGAGACGCTGTTGAGTGTGTCTATTCGAGGTATCCGATGGCCGGGAGCTCGGGAAGCTGCCAGACTTTTGTTGGACCCTTACTCTTGGCCTAACCCGCCACCACCCCTACCACGGGAGTCGTGCATCCAGAAGAGTGAGCACAATGTGTACCTGCACTAACACTGGAGCGAAGACCTACTCTCATGTCAGTGAACATGCACGTGTCTATCCAGCCTGGCCGCTCACAGCGGGCCATTCATGGCGTCCGCCTCCTCCCGTCCTCCGTCACCACTGTTACCCAGCATGCCGCATGCCGGCCTAGTTGTGGTGGAGCGGGTGCGTGGGCGTTTAGGCTCCACCTAGGTAGGCACGCAAAACAGGGTAGGAATTAAAAGGCAACCAAGATCAGGGGATGAGTTTGAGTGTGGCATTGTTGATGGTGAAGGAACAAGTCAGCAATGTGCAACCAGGCCACCCGCCGCGCGTGTCCTCCCTTCGAACATCCCCTCGTTACCCATCTGGCTGCTCATGCCATGGGGAGGGAACCCCTTGCACTTACCCTCACTTACCCCTTTGGCTGTGCATGCCCTGTTGGCCCGGACGGTGGGTCCCGAGGGTTGTGGCCCTTCGCACGTCGCGGAGTCATTGGCTGGTCAGTGGGCGGACCCCTAAGCACATGAAGCCTTCTAGGGCCGTGTGGGCCCACCCTTCGCACATCCCCCCTGCGCGCTCTTACTGAACTGGTAGGGCCATGCGGTCGAACCCCACTACCCCATGGAGGCGTCGTCGGCTGGTCAGGCCATGCGGGCTCACCCCTTGCTTCGCGCATTCCTCGTAATCGCTTTTGCTAGCCACGCCACGCGGGCGGATCTCTTCTCACACCCCCCCTCGGGGCATCATTGGCTACCGTGCCCTCCAGTCCCCTCAGCGCTGCATGCCGTCCGGCTCCAGCATGCCTCTCGCCATGCCTAGCGCTTACAGCGTGCCCTTTGGAAAGAAGATGCACTCCTTCTACCCTGTATATAAGGCACATAGATAACATCCTACCGCAGATCCGGCCGCCGTCCCGTCCGCATGGCTGCTCTCAAAAGTCGCTTACGCAGATTACCGGCAGCATTTCTTCCCCTCCCTGTACTGGTGCAAGCAAACCTCGTACTCCCTCCTCCCCCCCCCCACTTGCCTCCCTCCTCTCCGCCTTCATCCTCTCCACACCCCCTGCCACTCCACTCTGACCTACTGCCCCCTCTCCATTCAACCCCCCCCCCCATCTCAACTGCTACTGGCACCACCCACGTGTCCTCCCCCTCCTCCGCCGCCTCCTCCCTTGCTCACCAGCTGTCTAATGGTCATGGATGGGAACAGCGGGGCGCTGGCGGCAGCTGCTGCAGCGCGGGGGGAAGCAGAGGTGGAGGTAGGGGACCCTGCTGCTGCTGCTGCCGCCTTTGTTGAGGTAGTGGCAGAGAAGGCGGCAGCTGAGGTCTGAGGAGTAGTGGCAACGTCAGCGGCTGCAGCAGCGGCCAGAACCGCTGTGAGCTTGCGGGCCAGGTAGGCGCGCTTGGCCCCCAGGGACTGGGGGCGGGAGGAAGGGGGGGAGAGGGCAAGAGCTCAGGCGGGCAAGGGAGGAAGCGGACCCGCAAGGACCTAAACCCCAACACCTGCTGCGCCCCACCCCCCACACCCTCGCCCCGCCCCCACCTGCAGCGCGCCCCACTCGAACCACGTCACCACCAGCAGCACCAGCCCCAGGCCGCCCAGGCAGCGGTCGCGGGCCAGTGTCGATCCCAGCGGGTGGTTGGGCACGTTGGCGCAGAAGTGGGAGGGACCGTCCACCTGTGGCAGGAAGGGGAAAGGAGGAACGGCGGTCGTAAGAGGGGGCGAGAGGAGAATGGGGTGCGTGGGAGAGGAGAGGCGCCCGGATACCGGTAGGTGAGCGCAGGGTGAGCAGCAGCGAGGGAAAGCCAGCGGAAGAAGAGGGCCCTTTGCAAGCCAGTCGAGACGGTGCCGCTTTTCCCATACCGACTAGCCTCGCGCCCAACCCTTACCTCTATAGCAATGCGAACAGTCTTGTCGCACTGCGGCTCAACACCGGCCGAGCGCCCCCGCCGCCGTCCTCGCTGCTGCGCTGCTTGCTGGGGTTCCTCCTCCACACCTGATTCAGGCTCCTCCTCCTCACTCCCCGCTTCCGCTTGAGCCTCGGCTCTTCTGGCGACTCGCCCAAGCCCTCTGTGCGACCCATGGGTCACACCACCACCACCACCCTCGCCCTCGCTCTCGCCTCCAGGCGGCCTCCAGCTTAGCGGCACATCCAAGCACAGATCCAACGAGAATATGTCGTACATCACCTCCAACCTGGGCCGCAGCCCCATGCTGCCCAGCGCCGCTGCCACGTCCCGCTGCAGCCCCGACACGTGGCGCCGGTGGTGGCTGTCGGCCACCGCGGCCACCGCACCCCACAGCTCGGCAGGCAGCAGCCGCCTGGGGGGCGGGTGAGGGGCAGGAGGTGGCTGCCTCGGCGGCTGAGGAGGGGAGGAGGCAGGGTCGCCAGCTGGCTGCTGCTGCAGCGGTTGCGGCAGCTGCTGCCCCCGCAGTGGCCGCCTGGTGCGCCATAGGGCCTCCGCTAGGCCCAGGCGGGAGAGGTCGTCCGGGGTGAAGGAGGCGGGGTCGCGCGGCAGGGCGCGCATCAGCCCCGCCACCAGCCCCTCCTCGCCCCCCTGCTGCAACACTCCGAAGCTCCACAGCAGCGTCACCACCTCGCTCGCAGCCAGCAGCGCACCCGCACCCTCTCCACCGCCCTCTCCTCCACCTGCACTGTCTCCTTCCTGGCTACCAGCAGCTGCTGCCGCTGCTCCAGCCTCCCAGGCCTTACTAGTCGTAGCGTTGGCCCTGGTACCAGTCCCACCGCTGGTAACAGGTCTAGTACCAGATCTAGTACCCTCGGCAGCCGACGACATTGCCGCAGTCCCGGCAGCCCCAGCCGCACCCTCCCGCCTGTGCTGCTCCTGCTCCTGAAGCCCCAGCAGCCCCAGCAGCAGCTGCCGCGTCCTACCCGCCGCCGCCCTCACCAGCGGCGGGTGGCAGTAGTTGAGGGTGGCAAAGGCGCACAGCGCGCCGGCCAGCAGGCGGGGCGGCAGGGAGGGCAGGACGGAGGTGAGGCGGGTGGCCAGCAGGCGCAGCAGGGTGGGGTGGAAGTGGCGGAGCTGGGAGAAGGCGGCGGCGATCTGTACGGCTTGCAGGGGGGTGAGGAGGGACACGCCGAGGGGGGAGGAGGAGGTGGAGGTGGAGGAGGTGGGTGCGCAGAGGAGGTCCGCGGCGGCCTCCAGCAGCGGCTCCGAGTAGAGCTGTAGCTGCGGGGAGGGGAGGGGTGGTGGGGGAGGGTGGTAGGGGTTGGTGGCAGTCATGAGGCACCGCTTCCTTCGGAGGACACGCGTGTGGTGCAGGACAGGGGAGCAGGAGTGGGGGGCAGGACTGGGACATGCGTTGCCAGCAGCAGTGATGAGGAGTCCTCTAGCAATGACAGCAGGTACCCCGACTTCCTCATAAGGTCTACTACAGACCTACCTAGAGAAAAAGACAACATACCACCCCCATGCATGCCCCTCCCCTTCCCCTTCCCCGCCCCCACCCTTGCAAAGGCCAGCAGCAGCTCCGTCAGCTCCTGACCCACGGGCCACTCGCCCGCCCGCAGCAGCTCCACCGCCCGCCCCTCCAGCGCCGACAGCAGCAGCACGTCGCGAGGAAGCGGCGGGGGGCCGGCGGCGGCGGCGGTGGGGCTGGGGCTGGGGACGGGGCTGGGGACGGCGGCTGCTGAGAGCCCTGACATGGGGGCCGAGCCCGGGCGCCCCGCAATGGCGGCGGCTGCGGGCTCACCCCATGCGGTGGGGCCTGGTGCGGGCGGTGCGGGTGGGGTGCTGCCAAAGGCGGCGAAGAGGGCGAGCTGGGAGACTGCCAGGGGAGGCAGGCGGGGCGCGGCGGCGCGGGCAGCCGGCAGCAGCGCGGCGGTGAGGGCGGGCGGGAAGCAACCGGCGCGCGAGTAGACACCCGCCAGCAGCCCGAGGTGCTGTGTGTGGGGGGAGAAGAATACCCGATGGGGGAAGGAGGCGGGAGGTGGGGGAATGGTTTGTGAGAGGGGCGGTGGGAGTAGGACGCTGGTGGCTACGAGGGCAGGCGGCTGCAGTGCGGAGCCGGCATTCCCTCAGTCCCCCCAAGACCTCTGACTTCCCAGTCCCGCCTAGAGCTTTTCCTCCTCCATTACCCACCTCGGGTGCGCACAGCGGCAGCAGTCGCTCCGCCAGGCGGGGTGCAGCCGCCTGCAGCTCCTCCGTCGCCCCCTGCCCCACCCCCACCGCCCCCACCCCTGCACTGCCGCCCAGCCCCCGACTGCACCAGTGCAACACACCCAGCAGCTCGGGCAGCCGCAGGGAGGTGGAGAGGGAGGTGGCAGAGGAGGAGGCAGAGGCGCCAGCAGGAGCAGAGGAGGGAGACCCAGCAGCGGCGAGCCCCGGAGCACCGCCGGGGCCGCTGCGGAGGCTGTCGGAGCCGCCTGCCGTACCTAGCCCGGTATCAGGAGGAGGAGGTGCCGGTAGCGGCAGTGCGGCGATGCGGCGAATGGCGGTGCGCAGTACGGCTCGCAGTACGGCAGCTCGCATGGGCGGCAACGAGGGGCCGGAGGGGCCTAGGGGCAGCGAGGAGGACGGGGAGGGGGCGGAGCTGCTGGTGGTGGCTGGGGCAGCGGAGGCGGAGGCAGTGGTAGCAGCGGAGGTGGCGGTGTTGGCGTAGGCTACAGCCAGGGCGGTGAGTCCCTCGGGCTGGGTGTGGGGCAGGCAGCGTAGCACCTGACAGGGAAGGATGGGTGAGTATGGAGGGGCGGGTGAGGAGGGAGGGTAAAGAGGAAACAACTAAGTGATTCACCGAGGAGGGAAGAAGAGCATTGGCCATGCTTCTTAACACCGCCCAACGTTACTCGGTACTCTCCCCCACCACCCTGCACCTCTACTCCCCGACCCGATCCCTCACCAGCCGCGCCAGCCCCTGCAGCGCCCGCTCCACGGCGCGAGCGACCCGTGGGTCCGTTGCGGCACCCGCTGCTGCTGCCGGTCCCCCACCGCCTGCTGCCGCCGCAGCCACCTGTGCGGTGCCCCCCTCCGCGCAGCGCACCAGTGCCAGCAGCAGGCGGGCCAGGTCGTCCGGGGTGTGCCCTCGGGAGCAGTAGGCGTCGGGCTGGGACAGCAGGTGGGAGCAGAGCGCCTGAGGAGGTGGGGCGTGGGGATGGGAGGGGTGGCGTGTAGGAGGAGCGGAGGGCGGTGGCGGTGCATGAGAGGGGCGGAGAGGGGAGTATATGATGACACGTGGCGGCAGCCCAAACCGCAGCATATGGGGGAAAGGCAGTGTGTCGTGGTATGCCTAGCCATGGGAAGGACGTCCCCCAGCCCCCCCCGGCCGCCCCCCTTCCCACCCCCACCTGCAGCAGCTCCGGCGGCGCTGCGCACGTCTCCCTGGCCGCCGCTAGCCCCAGTGCCACACTCAGCAGCTCCCGAGGCCGCCATAACTGGGAGGTAGGCAGCGCCGGGACCTCAGCTGGCCCGCCCTGCTGTCCCTGTGGCCCCTGCCGCTGCTGCTGCTCCCTCAGCTGCGCCGCCACCCGCTGCCCCGCCCGCCACATGAGGCGGGGCAGCAGGTCGGCGCGGGAGGCCCACTCGCCGCCCGGCACCGCTTGGGACCCTGCAGGGCAGGCAGCAGCGCCGGTGCCAGCAGGTGCTGCTGCGGCTGGTGTGGTCGCTGCGGCTGGTGTGGTCGCTGCGGCTGGTGTGGTCGCTGCGGCTGCCGCTGGTGTTGCAGGGGAGGGCGGTGGTGGTGGCGGTGGCGAGGTGGGCGGGTGCGGGTGCTGCAGCTCCCCCGCTAGGGAGCCCAGGCCCCACACCAGACCTGCCAGACTGGCGGGGTCGAAGTCCTGCGGGGGGGCCGGGAGGGACGGAGACATGACCCATGGGTCAGACCCATGTGCGCGTGAGACGAGAGGGCAATGAATCTGTAGGTGTGCTTGACCTCCCTCCACGACCCTAACCCACCTTTCGCCCCCCCCATAACAGCCCCGCCCCATTATAGTTGACTTCCCTTATCCCCTACCCTTCTTTCCCTCCTTTCTTCACTCCGCCCCACCCTCCCCTCCCCCCGCACCTCCAGCTGCTCCAGCGCCGCCGCCACCAGCCCCGCCCCCAGCCCCCCGCCGGGCTGCTGCCGTACTCGTGCCAGCGACCAGGCCACATTGGACAGGTCGGCAGCGTTGAAGAAGCGCCCGGCTGACGCTTCACGGCCGCTAGTGCCTGACGGAGGTCTCGTGTCCCGTACGACACCCACCTCTTCCGCCGCCCTCGACGCCGGCGCCGCCAGCAGCAACCTGGCGGCCGCCAGCTGCCGTACCGTGTCCCACACCTCCGGCGCCGTCACGCCCAGCTGCGCCGCCGCCCAGGCGAAGTTGGCGAGCTCCCTTCCACTGGCGCCCGCCAGCTTGCATGCGGACACCGCTGCTCCAGCCGCCCCGCCTGCCCTGCCCCCGCCTGCGCTACCGACGCCAGCACCGCCGCTGTACCGCTCCTCCTCCTCCTCTTCGTCACCCCACCCCCCTCGCTGCCTGCTCTCCGCCCCCAGCCGCACCGGCCGACCCACCGCCTCCGCCAGCAGTGGCTCCAGCAGCCCTGCCGTACCACCGGTACCGCCCGCAGCCAGGGCACCCGCCGGAGCCACCGCGGCTAGCGCACCCTCCATCCCTCCCTGCTGCTGCGGTTGCTGCTGCTGCGGGTCCTCCTGGACCGTGTACGACAGTCCTGAAGTGGGGCCAGCAGCAGTTCCTGCTGCAGCTGCTGTCAGCCGCGCTGTCGCCCACAGTATGTTGGCGAGCTGGCGGGCGGTGAGGCGGGCGGCGCGGGAGGCGGCGAGCTGTAGCAGTTCTAGCAGCAGCTGCAGCTGCGGAGAGGTAGGGGCAGAGGCAGGGGGGAGCGGGAGGGGTCCGGAGGCTGGAGGGGGCTGGGGCTGGGAAATCGGCTCTTCCTGGGTGGAGGGTAGTATTGGAACGGGGCGATATGAGGAGGAAGGGGAGGTGGAGGAGGATGAGGATGTCTCGTGGAGCAGCTTGGGAAGGCGAGTGATGGCGGCGGCGATGTGGATAGGCTGCACCTGCGGCGCCGCACGGATCGCGGCATCGTTGTCATGTCCGGCATCATCGTCCTCATCGTACGGCCCCAGCAGTACGACAGATCTCAGCTGCCGTACGGTGCGGGAGGCAAGGATGGAGCGCATAAGGGCGTCGGGGCCGGCTTGTCGCTGCCATTGGGGCTGCTGCTGCTGCCATTGGGGTTGCTGCTGCTGTTGATGCCATTGGGGCTGCTGCTGCCATTGTGGCTGCTGCTGCTGCTGCTGCTGTTGCGGTTGTTGTTGCATCATGTGACGGTTGTGGTAGCCGCTGCTGCTGCGGTGGTGGTGTTGGGAGCGGTGGTAGTGGAGGTTGCCTTGGTGCCGCTGCTGCCGAGGTTGACCCTGTTCGTGGGAGCGGTAGCGCCCGCTGCTGCTGTCGGACGCACCCGCCTGTTGGTCATGTCGGTGTTCCCAGCTGCCTGGGGGTCTAGCTGCTGGGTGCTGCTGACCGCCGGGAGCCCAGCCCTGCCGCCGGTCCCTCTGCTGCTGCTGGTGCGTCTGGTGCACCCGCTGCTGCTGCTGCTGGGCACGGTCCTCTGCGTACGGCTGCCAGCGTTGCTGGCGGTACGGTATCTGCGGCTGGTGAGGTTGGTTGTACGGCACCTCGGCGTCATCACTACCAGCAGCATGCGGGGAGTGAGGAGGAGCGAAGGTGGAGCGAGCCCTGCCAGCGTGCCCCCCAGTGCCAGGCAGCAGCCCTCTGTTACTAGCTGCACTTGTGGTGCGCTGGGGAGCCAGTGGGAGGGGACTCGTGTGCCGCTGCTCCTCGTCCTCCTGCTGCTCCTGTCGGTAAAGCAGCTGGTGCTGCTGGTGCGGCTGCTTGTGTGGCTTGGGCTGCTGGCACGGTGGTTGGAGCTCTCCTAAAGAGTGGGCCTCCGAGTCAGGTACAGCGCCGGGCGGAACCCCGGGGGAGAGTGTGCTGCTGGTGCTAGGGCCTTGCAACCTATGAGCCGCCAATGCTGGACGGCATTGGTGGAAGAGGCGGCCACTGGTCTCCCGTCCTGCGAACGGCGTAACTGAAGCTGGCAACCGGCAAAGCATTGCTGTCCCAGCTCCGGCCTTGCCCCGGGTATGCGCGCCAGGCCTCAGGGGTTCCTGGAGCCGGAACGTCGAGTGTAGGTGTGGTGGCACGGACATGGTGTACAGCTCGGCCTGTTACTACACTTGGTTCAAGCCTGGCGGAGCCACAATGGATGCCAACGACGCCGTCGCAAATGCCGCTTTCACCGCATACAGCCAATGCGCCTATACTTATTTAGTTCTGTACGCATTAACGGTTCCTTTGTCCTCAGAGTTGTTGAAGCCTTGGCCAAGCCAGTAAACGGACACTGTGTGCCATTCAACCATTCTCCTATTGGAATAGAACTAGGCACTTCTAATGCGAGTATCGGATTACTGATATTACGGCTTGTGCAAATGAAGCCAGGTGTTGAAAATTAATTCCTAACCAACCCGCCTCCACCTCTGAGCCTAGGACTTATTTATGCCGACAAATGCCAAAAACTCCAGTAGTATTGAAGTCTAAAACATTTTACGCTGTTCATGCGATAACTACTTCTTGGCTCCGAGGTGCCGACAGGCAGACTGTTGCATGCTTGCATGTCGACTTTTTTCTGTTCCCGGCAATCTTGGTATCAAATAAATCACTTAGCAACAAGTAAAGATTCAATACCAATAGTGAATTAGGAAACGCGCAACGCATGTTTGTGGAGCCGGCGATGGCTGCAAGACAGGTCTGCACAAGAACCTTATAGCCGGTAAGAATGCCTGTTACCTGGTCCCCATATAGCAACGTGAAGTAGCAGCACCGAGGAACTTCTGGGGTTCCCCTCACGGACCCAAGAATTAGCACGCTACCCAACGGACTCCCACTACATGACGCTAATTTAGCCATTCCAGAGCCATTTCAACTTATAACGCGCATGATGGACAATGGTGATTTGACAACATGCGGTCCTGCTCAAGACTGTTGATGCGTTTTTGCAGCTGGCCATACACTCCAGTAGCACGATATCTGCTGCTTTTCTTGCTGCCAGGGCTGCTGCGACCTTGCCCTACGCCTTTCCCAAATGGTCTCGTGAGCCAGCGCACGCACAATTTACTCCAAATGTTAGCTTCAGCTTTCTTCTGCATCGCAGGCCCAAGCAAGCTTCAGCCACCCGAGGAAAGCCCATCAGCACCGCATCGCCAGCGCCTGTTTGTCCTCCCAGCTTCTCCGCTTCGATGACCCGGCGCCGGTGCCCTGAGCCCGGCAGCCTGCGGACGCCAGCCTCCGGGCCCGACCGCGGCGACAACAACCATGCGAACAGCAACCGCGGAGGATTCCCCCAAGACCGCCTCCCAGCCTTAATCCGCATCTACCTACGCGGACTGCCGGCCGCCGCTGAGCTATTGCTCCTCGTCCGAAGCAACGACCACGATGTCTCTGCGGTGGGGGCCTATGACCTCGTCATGGCGCTTATCTGGGACGTACATCATCTTCTCCTGCCAGCAGCATCGCCGGGTGCCGACATGTTTAGTTCCCGGGATCCGCATGCCTTCCTAGCAGCCACCACCGCAGCAGCCGCAATCGTGGCCGATGAAGGCATGCGCGTGGCGCTGCTTCAGCTCTCGTCCGCTGGGCTTCGGGTGGCGCCGGAGGCTGGGGGGGACAACACCTTTGCGACGTGCACCCTGGGATGCCTGTCAATCGTGTCTCAGGTGATTAGCTCAGTAGCCAGCGCCCCCGGCCCCGCTCCGCCGCATGTGGTCGAGCTGGCTCGCAGGCTGCTGCGCATGCAGAGTCTGCAGGCCGCAAGCCGCCTCATGGCGGCAGCGGCCGCCACCCTGCCGGCCGACGACAACACCGTCCCGGCATCCGACGCGGATGCGACCCAGCTACAAAGACGGCTGGATCAGTCGGCACTCTGCATTCGGCACTCGTTCAACTTCCTGCTGGCTCTGACGCGTCTGAGCGCGCATGCTGCCAGCCACTCGCAGCCCTGCCACCGCAGCTACTGCGCCGAGCTGGCGGCGCATCTGCAGGGCAGCGCCATCATGGAGCACGGCGCGAAGCTGCTGCTCCGAGCGGAGGCGGCGGCACGCATGGGCGACACGCATGCGGCGGAGGGCTGGCGGGCACCGCTTCGTGAGGTAGTGCCCGAAGCAGCAGACATGTACTGCAGAGCTTACGGCAACCTCATGATCCTGTCTGGTATGATGCATCGGGCCCATCTGGACCCCGCTGACCCCGCCGCCGCCGCTGACGCCACCGTCACCCGGTTGGCTGGGGTGCTGTCGGGCCGCTGCTCCCATCATACGGTTGTCGTACACGGCCTTGCGTCGCTATTTGCGGCAGATGGTGGCTCCGTGTACGGCCTGCCGTCCAGCCTTCTGGATCACATTTCCGTGCCGTACCGGATGATTAATGTGTGCGCCATGGATGGCACCTACTCCTCCACGACGGTCGCCAGCATTCCTGTTTTGCACGGCCACTTCCTGGCGACCGCAGTAGATGCGTTGGTGCCCCAGCTGTGCATGCCCACGCTACCCAGGCGCGCTGCCTGGAGGCTGCTGATGCGCTCGGCTGGGCTGGCGGTGCAGTCCGCGCTCCTGTGGGGACGCGATCCGGCTGACGTGGCGGAGGCGATGCAGGTGCCACCCGACCGCGGCGGCGTCGCCACGTCTGCCGGGCGTCGTCGTGTGGTCCTGGGAACGGAAGTTATCCCCAAGCTGGCTTTTGACTCGGTGTGCCGCGCCAGGATGCTGATGAGGGCCGCGCCGCCTTTCGGGGTTGCCGCCGCTGAGGCCGCCACCGCTGCTGCTGAGAACTGGTTTGCGGAGGCGTCGCAGTGGTGGTATCTGGTGGATGAGGTGGTGCAGCATGTCGTGCCCCGTAGTTCGGCAACTGATGAGAGGTTGGGCTTGCTGGCAGCGGCGCTGGAGAGGCAGCTGCTGGAGGGAGAGGTCGGGGGCTGGGAGGATTACAGTGAGTGGAGCGGGAGGGAAAGAGGGAAACGCAGGGGAAGACAGAAACGGTAGAGTTTTCTAGGCCTTGAGGACTGCCTTGAGTTTCTCCCAGCACGTGCTCCCTGCTCTCTTTCCACCGCAACCCATGCAACTTACCCCGCCCAGTAGTCCTCTGCTGCTCCTGATCTTGCACTTCCAAGCTGCACCGACTACTGCCAGCCCCTCACCCTCGGCGTCACCCTACTTCCCCCACCTTGCCCCCCCATTGCTTTTCCCTAACCTGTGTGGTTTCCTACGGTTTGATATGGTCTTTGACCCCCATCCCCTCAGCGGCGCTGGCGGGCGGCTTCCTGCCCCTCCTGGAGCGCCTGCTGCGCCGAGCCGGAGAGAAACCCACCGGCCCCGAGGCGGCAATAGTGCGGCGGCTTCTCCGCGGTGACAAGGCGGGCGCTTCCCTGGAGCCCCGCATTGCCATACTGATTCTGCGCAGGCCGTCGCGCCTGTCTGCAGCGCTAGTGGCCACGATTGGGAAGTTCCTGCGCCGGATGGACCCATGGGTCGGCAGCTCGCATGGGGCTGCACGCATGGAGGCCCGGGACTGGCGCTGTGAAGCTCCAGGCGTTGTCGCTGTGATGTGGCACCTGGAGCGGTTGCTGGCGACGGTGGTGGCACCGGAGAGGTTGGCGGCGGGAGGAGGAGGAGAAAGCATCGCGGAAGGGGCGGAAGCGCCTCCGTCGCAGCATGACCTGCTGGCTTCATATGTGCTGTGCGAGTGGCTGCCGTTACTGTCGTACTGCGTGCTGCAGGCGGTACGGCAAGTGGCCGCTGGCGGCGACGGTAGCCAGCGGTCTGCTGACTCCCGGGAGCTGGAGGCGACCTTCATTGAGCCGTTGCTCAGATGGTTGCCGGTGATTGCCTTCCAATGCATGGGCGGCAGCAGCAGCAGCAGTACCCTGGCCACCTCAGCTGCCGCCGCAGCCGAGGCCTGTTCCTCCGCAGCCGCTGCGGCCGGCAGCAGCGCCCATGGAGCTGCCGCTGCTGCCGCCGAACACGGCGCCGACAGCGATGACGGCGGCTGGCGGCAGTTGTTGCTGGCGGAGGTGGGTGCCGTACGGCTGCTAGACGCTGTACTGCGGCTGTACAGCTTAGATACCGAGATCCTGCAGCCCGGCTTAGTACGACAGTTGATCGCCAGCTGCTGCGCCGTGGCGGCGGCGTGTCCGCTGCAAGTCAGGCTGGCGGCGGCGACGGAGGGGGGGGGTCAGGGGGGCTGGCGGCCGGGGCACCTGCGCGCTCTGGCGGCGAAGCTCGGAGCGGCGGCGGCGGCACAGGTTTGCGGCGGCGACGTGCCGGCGTGTGAGGCGGCGGAGGTCCTGGCGACGCAGCTTGAGGAGTGGCGGAGTGCTGCCGCTGGTGGAGCAGCTGGCGGCGGCGTCCCCGCCGACGCTGACGCTGACGTTGACAGGCTGGTGGTACGGCTGCGACGGGCGGCGGCTGCCGTACTGGCGACGGAGGAGGAGGCGGCGGCGCTGGCAGCGCTGGTCCTGGTGGCGCCGGCGGAGCTGCGGCGGCGGGGGCTGCTGCGGTGCTGCGGCAATCCGGGGTGCAGCAACCTGGAGGGGGACAGCGAGGCGGGGGTGAAGCTGAAGGGTTGTGGGCGGTGCGGGGCGGTGGGGTACTGCTGCCGGGAGTGTCAGGTGGAGCACTGGCGGGCGGGGCACAAGGAGGCTTGCGGGCGAGGGGCGAGGAGCGGGGCGGGGACCGGATGAGTGGAGGGGTGGGTGAGCGCGCGGGGTGGGTGACTTGCCACTTGGAGGGGCGTTGAGGGGCCTGCAAGAGGGAGGTTGGAGGGAACTGTCTTGCTGTGTAAGCAAGGGTGTAGTGAGCCGGCTTCTATTTGCTGTTGGTGGGGTGAGGACGTGGACTGCCAGGGGTTGCCCAGGGGTTGCCTGCGCCTACGCCTACGCCTACGTCGGTGCCTACGCCTGCGTGGCAACGTGGCAAGAGGTGTGGTAGGAGGCTTTTATCGGTGGGTTCCGGTTGGTGGGGTCGTGTCCCTCGTGTGCGAGTGAGCGCAGCATAAAGAAGTAGCACGTGACATGAAGGTATGTAGATACATGTACCGGCAGGGGGCTGTAGGTGGCGTACGCGTTTGGGACGATATGCGTACCGTAATTGCGTCACATAATGCGCCTGCGAGCTTTCGGCACAAGCAGAAAGCAGCAGCAGAAACTCCCAGCATGCGGCGTTTTCCTGGCATGTTTGGAGTGGTGATCGGACGGGTTGAGCGTTCAGTTGTGCACACATTGGTGCTGCTTCAATGAGGCGGCGCAGGATGGCAGGATGGCAACGCATGCACGATGGCATGTTTCATGTTTAGCACCCTGGCAGCGTCCGGTGCTGTTCAGCGAGCTGCTGCGGATGAACGGAGTGTGATTATGTGTGTCGAGCTGGTATGTGCTTGGTGAAGTGAGGTTGGTGGCAGGGTTGATATGTTGGCTGTGGCATACGGCGTGTTGGCTTTGCTTTGTTGGCTTCGCTGTTAACCGGTTTCGGGCGATTCAAGGGCAATGAATGACACGTACAATGCTTCTCCAGCAGGGAGCACTGGCAGTACTGGGCTCCGCTTTCATGCCAGCCACGCGCTTCCAAGCACTAGCCCGATTACCGGGAGATGCCAGCCCTTCACCACATCACATCAGTCCCCAGCCAGTTCTGTCCCTCACTCCAGGCACACAGCCTCCGGCCTACTGCTGCTGCTGCTGCTCCCAGCTCCAGCTGCCACCCCTGCTGCCCTCGCTACTAAACCCCCCCTCCCCCCCCCTCCCCTGCTACTCCCCCCCTACTCTCCCCCCTGCCGCCCCCACCTCCCGCAGCGCCCCCCGCAGCTGCCTACAGTGCTCGCCCCGCACCGCCGCTCGGAACAGCCCCGCAGCACCAGGAGCGCCCCGGTAGCTGGGGAAGTAGTTGATGTCAACCACCACCAACTCCACCACATCACCACCACCACCATTATCACCCGCATCACCAGCACCCTCCTCCGCCTCCCTGCCTTCTCCTCCTCCGCCCCCTGCCCCCTCCGCCCCCCTGCTGGCCACCACCACGTCGAACCCAAACAGCGACAGCCCCAGTGACCCCCGCAGCTGACTCGCCACCGCTTGCAGCACCGCCGGGCTGGGGGCGGCTGCTGGGGGCGGGGGTGGTGAAAGTGGTGAGGGTGCGGGTGTGGGAGCGGGGGCGGGTGCGGAGGAGGGGACGGGGGCGGGTGCGGGGTTGGGCTCTGTGGGAGCTGACGCAGCGGCGGCAGCAGGGGACTGTGCTGGTTGTGGCGGCGGCGGTGGTGGCGGTGTGAGGGCTGTCGGGAGGGACTTGAGGGAGTCGAAAAGCAGCAGGCCGGAGGGGGCCAGCTGGCGGGCGGTGTGGGGGCGGGTGGGCAGGTTGGGGATGGAGGGGCGCACCACGTGGAACACCTGGGGGGGGGGAGGAGGGAGGGAGGGAGGGGGGGAGGCGTACAGGAGCTTAACAGCGAAACAGACCGGGGGACTTGTGAGATGTGGAGTGCAGGTGGCAGGCAGGCAGGTCAACGGGGTTGGGGCCATGGGGCTCAGGGGCTTGGAAAGTGTGGCTGAGGGCTAAGGGTGGTGGTCCCCTGTCTGTACCCCCCACCTACACCCGCCCTCTTTCTCTTCCCTGCTGCACCCAACCCAACCCCCCCCCCCGCTCCTGCTACTCCGCACCTTGTCCCCCGCCACATACACCTTGTAGATGCGCGCGTCGTGGTTCACAAACTCTTGAATCACCGCGGGCAGCGGCACCGCCGACTGACCCCCCGTCTCTCCCCCCTGCCCCCCCTGCTGGCCCCCCTGCTGCCCCCCCGCCAGGCCCGCCAGCCCCTCCTCCGCCAGCAGCACCAGCGCCATACGGTGCGAGTCGGGGGTGCCGCACGCCACCACCGGCTTCACAAGGTAGGGAGGGGGGACGCCTGGGGGGTGGTGGGGCGGGAGATGGGGATGGGGGATGAAGGGGTGGGAGGACATGGTGTGGTTAGCTGCGTGGAAGGGCCCCTGGACTGCCTAGGGATATCGTAGATGCAGCTGCGTGGGGGATGTACAAGATCCGTGCCACAACGGGACACCACAAGCCACCGCCCTGCGCACTGTTCTCCTACGCCGCCTTCTTCCTCAAGTCCACCCGGAGGCGGTGCCTCCGTGCAGCCCCGACCAACTACCCGCAGCCCCTCTTCCTCCCACCCGCACCCTCACCCCGCCCACCCCCCGCCCACCACCACCCACCCAGCCTCGCCACCGCCCGCTGCAGCTCCTCCCGGCTGAAGGACGTCACCTCCACACTGCGGGGCGCGCGGACTACCATGCGGGCTCCCCCTCCCCCTCCTGCCTCTTCTGCTGCATGCCCCGCGCCCCCCGGCCCCCCCTCCTGCCGCCCCCCGCTTCCCAGCTGCAGCAGCGGCAGCGCCTCACACACCCTCGCCAGCTCCGTACGACTGATCACCCGCGCAGCCGCCTCCAACGGGTCCACCACACTCACCCACCCGCAACCACCACCAACCGCCGCCTCCATCCCTGATGGCAGTGACCCATGGGTCACTGCCTCCCCCAATCGCCCCTGCTGCCCCTGCCCCTGCCCCTGCCCCTGTTGTTGCCTCCACAGGCTGCGGCGCTGCTCCACCCAGGCTGCCAGCTGCTGTATGCGGGGCCCGAAGGTAGGCGCCCCGGTGGGGCCCGGGACCAGCTCGTCGGAGGCCTTGTGCAGCAGCGCATGGAAGGGCAGCTGGGAGGTGAGGCAGGCGGACAGCGGGGGGGAGGAGAGGTCCAGGGGGGCGAACACCAGGCCATCCTGGGAGGGGTGGAGGGGGAGGGAGGCAGCAGGAGGGCAGGAGGGGGAAGGGGTTAGGAAGCCAGAGGAGCGATGTAGGTGAGGTCAAGGGGACCAGCCAGTGAGATACCGGTACCTACTGCCGCAGGTGTGCACACGTGTGCAGCACCCATACACACACGCCCCTTTCCCCGTGCCACCCCCCACCCCACCCCACCTCCCCTCCCCTCTCCCCCCCACCTGCGGCACCAGGTTGATCAGCCCCTCCCGCGCCAGGTCCCTCTCCCGGGAGCCCTTCATCACGTAGCCCACCACCAGCAAACCGCCGCTGCTGTCACCACCGCTGCTGCCACCACCGCTGCTGCCACCACCGCTGTCACCGCCGCCGCTGTTGTCACTGTCACCGCTGCCGCCACTGTCCTTGTCGGCTTCCGCTGCCCCAGGTTGCAGCACCTGCTGCTGCTGCTGCTGCTGCCTCCGCTGCTGCTGCGCCTCCCTGCGCAGGTTGGCATGGGCCAGTGCGAGGCGCAGGCGGGGCCAGGGGGCGGCCTGGAGGGGGGGCAGGCGGAGGCGGAGAGAGATCGAGGAAGGGATGGGATGGGAGGGATGGATGGAGGGATGCATGGGGGCAAGGGGGCTGACGCGGACACGTCCGGCATGATGGGTCCCCGGGGGAAGCTGGTGAGGACTGGGTGCGGTGGCTGGAAGGACCGCCACCTCCTCCTTCTAGCCGCCCACCCGCCCTTTCCATCACCCACCTGCGTGCAGAATTCGAGCAGCTCCTCCTCCTCACCCTCTCCCTCGGAGGGCCCTGCAGCCGCTCCTGCCGCCGCTGCTGCCGCCGCTTTCCCAGCCCTCCCCTGCCGCCTCGCCTGCTGCCGCCTGCCCCGCTCCCGCTCCCTGAGCTCCCCCGCCAGGTCCCCCCCCGCCGCCTCCCTCTGCCCCTGCCCCCGCCCCCCCAGCAGCACCACCTCCTGCGGCCACCGCAGCCCCTGCCGCCCGCACCAACCCTGAACAGCGGCCTCGGCGGCGTCTGGGGGGCAGTGCGGGGAAGGAGGGGGCGGAGGGGGAGGGGGGGGGGGGTAATGAGGAGAAGGCGAAAGACACAAGGAGCGAGGGCGAGGGAGGCAGTGGTGCAGGAGGGATACACGAGGGCGAGGGAGGCAGTGGTGCAGGAGGGGTACACGAGGGCGAGGGAGGCAGTGGTGCAGGAGGGGTACACGAGGGCGAGGAGGTGTCTGTCAAGGGGTAGGTACGGGTCGGGTACCCCTGTCTGCAGCTGCTGTTACCAAGCCGGCCCCCCGAGGCCCCCCCCGCCCCCCCTAGCCCACCCACCTAGCGACTCCGCCCGCAGCACGTCAACAGAGTCGGGGTAGCGGCTGGGGCTGCTGGCGGCCTGGGGTGGCGGAAGGGAAGACCGGGGGAAGGGAGGGCGGGGAGCGGTGGGCGGATGAGATGGGAACCCGATGGAGGCGGGAGGCGACGCATGCGGAGGCGGCCCCAGCTGCCACGCCAACAGCGGCCTTACCTGCCGCCCCTCCCCTCCCCATCACGCACCTGCTGCCCCATTTTCTCCTGCTCCTGCTCCCTCTCCCCCCCTGCAGCCGGCAGCAGCACCGCCAGCCCCAGTCCGCCCCAGCGCAGCAGCGGCAGCTGGTCTCGGAGGGCTGGGCAGTCTGGGGGGGGAGAGGTAGGATGTGGGTTAGGAGGGACGAAGAGGGAGGGATAACGTTGATGAGGGTATTTCCACAACGGGCTGGAGGGGGGTAATAGAAGAGGGACAGGTGGCACAGGGACTGTGAAGGGTCTTGGGGTGGGTCTGCCGCAGAAAGCGATGCCAAAGCAAGCGGAGGAGGTGAACGCGACGGGGGCATGAGGACAGCTGAAGGTGAGGTGTTGCAGCAGGTGTTGCAGCCATCCAAGGACGCATTCGGCAGCTCACCATCCACGAGGCTGGACGAGAAGATTAGGCCTTTAATGTACGGCATGGTGCCCCGGCAGCCCGCGGCTCTGGCAGCGCAGAGCGCACCCTTTGCTCGATGTGCCCTCTTGAGTTGCCGTTACGTGTACCGTGGGAGTATGAAATGAGGTAAAGTGACAGCTGGTAATGGATGCAGCGTTTGGATCTACAGCTGTAATGAGCTTCAGTAAACGCAGTTCTGTGATGGGCGTTTCCCAGGCTAAAGCAGCGGGTTGTACGGCGTCCCATGTAGACGCTTACGCAAGCGACAACAACATAGGAACTTTGATTGCCTAGATGTCTTTACCTAGAAATCGTTTATGAAAAGGCAGTGGAGGTTGCAGATCAGGCCGTTCTCCTTTGTCGGGGCCATACGATAGTATACTTGTCACGCTTGAGCACACGCATAGTTTAGGCGCCTTGTTGTATAGCAAAATGCCTTCGGGCAGTAGTCAGTTCCCGCTATTAGCGGAGGTGGAACCAGCCAGGCCCGCGCAGAATGGGCGCCCAGAGGTTAGCCCGGTGTACCGCCCTGCTTTCCACAAGGATTCCTTCCCCAAGCTGGACGGAATTGAAACATGCTATGATCTCTTTGAGTAAGTTGAGGTGCCCGAGGGTTGCAGCTATCCACACGCACTCGCGGCGTTCAGTCTACCGACGAATGCGAGCGCTGTGTCTCGGATAGCCGCCTGCAATTAAGAAACGTACTTACGCGTCATGTGTCACTAAGGGATAATGCCAAATGGCGACATGCATCCATCCCTATGCTGCATATTCACACAATATGCGTCATGAAAGCATTTGTCAAGAAAGCAATCGCCAAGCAACTCATTCCTTACTCAGCGCCAGGTGTAGGCAGTACATGTGGCATCTGTTCCATTACTGTGGTAAATTACAAATTAGAATGCTGTCCATACTTCCCATCCCTTCACCTCATCCATCCCCAGTAGCCTTTACTCACTCCCACGTGCGTCCCACCTACGCCCCATCTTCCCTTCCCCTCCCCTCCTCAGAAAGAGCTGCCAGCTGTACCCCGACTGCCCCTGCCTTGGCGAGCGTGCGCCCCCTGGCTCCACCCCCGCTCCAGCCGGCAGCACCCCCTCCTCCCCCTCTCCCTCCTCCTCCTCCTCTCCCGGGCCCTATGTGTTCATGACCTACCGCGAGGTCGCTGAGGCGGTGGAGGCGGTGGCGGGCGGCTACGTGGCGGCGGGTCTGGGTCCGGGTGACCGCATCGGTGTGCTTGGGGCCAACTGCAAGGAGTGGATGATGGCCATGCAGGTGCGCGTGCTGGGCGTGCGCCCCCAACTCCCCCTCACACCCCACCATCACCCCTCCCCTCACTTCCCCCCTTCAACCCCCCCCCAGGGCATGAACCGCATGTCCATGGTGTGTGTGCCGCTGTACGAGACGCTGGGCGACAGCGCCGTGGAGTTCATCATAAAACACAGCGGCACGTGAGAGGGGCGGGCGGGCCGGGAGGCGGGGAGGGAGAAGTGGCGGGAAGGGAGGGAAGGGAGAGGGTAGCTGGCGTGGGGAGGTTAGAGAGGAGAGGGAGGAGCGGCGGTTAGGTTAAGGATGGCCCGGGTAAGAGGCATGTACAGCCGGCTGGTAGCGGGAGGGGAGGGGGCAGTGCAGCGCCGCTGTCGGGTAGGCTGCTGAGAAGCACTCCAGACTACCACCCCTACGCTCTCCTCTCTATTCCTCCCCCTCCTCCCTCCCCCTCCTCACTCCCTCCTCCCCCACCCTTCACCTCATCTCCCCCACCCTCACCTCCCCCCCAGCCGCCTGGTGGTGTGCTCCGCCGCCAAGCTGCCGGTGGTGGCTCGGGCGCTGCGGGGGGAGGCGGTACGGCAGGTGGCGGGGGCGGGGGTGGTGTACTGGGGGGCGGCGGCCGAGGAGGCGCTGCAGCCGCTGCGGGCGGCGGGCGTGGCGGTGCGCAGCTGGGGGGAGCTGCTGGCGGCGGGGCGGGCGGGGCGGCGGGAGGCGGTGAGGCCGGCTGCGGGGGACCTGTGCACCATCATGTACACCTCAGGTGGGGGGGAGGGGAGGGGGGGAGAGGAGGGGGGAGGTCAAAGACCTTACCGGGCCATAGGAAGCCACAGGGTGCAGTAGGGATAGGGGACAGCAGGGTGCCACAGGGGCAACGTGTTGGTTAGGGAGGGGAGAGGAGGAGCTGTCCATGTGACAGCCAGGTGGGGAGGACTGGAGGAGGGGAGGAGGTGATGGAGGGGAAGGCCTTGGTGCATCCTGCATGACAAGGGAGCTTGCAACGCCGAGGCAAAGGGGGGCTGCCCAAAGCCTCTCCCTCCCTCTCTCTCCTCACTGCATGAGTCGGGATTCGGGATTGAGACTCCGTTGATGCATTTATCTATGTTTTTCCCTCTCTCTCGCCCCCCTCCCCCCCCTCCCCACAATCCCACACCCCCAGGCACCACGGGCGACCCCAAGGGCGTTATGCTGCCCCACCGCGCCCTGGTGTCCACCATAGCCGCCATCAAGGCCTTCCTGGACCACTGCGACGAACACATAGGGCCCGACGACTCCTACCTCTCATACCTGCCGCTGGCACACATATTCGACCGGTGGGGGGGGGGCGGGGGGTTGGGAGGCTGGTGTCGCGTGCCTAAGGGAGCTGCGCTGCTGCGAAGACATGTGGTCAGAAAGGTAGATAGCGCAGCACAACAACAGCAACAACAACAACAGCAACAAACCCCTTCGTGCTCTCCCCCTACCTCCCCTCCACCCCTCCCCTCCACCCCTCCCAATCTTCCCCCCTCCCCCCCCCAGTGTTGTTGAGGAGCTGATGCTGCACGTGGGCGGCAGTGTGGGCTACTGGCAGGGCGACATCCGCCGACTGATGGACGACGTGGGCGCGCTGCGGCCCAGCCTGTTCGCGGGGGTGCCGCGCGTGTTCGAGCGCATCTACAACGGAGTGAGGGACAAGGTGGGACAGGGGGGGGGTGGCAGGGGGGGGGTGGCAGGGAGATGGGGGCAGGGAGGGGGTGGCAGGGGGGGCGGCGGGGGGGGTCTGCATGGGGTGCTGCTTGCAGCACTTTGCTGCTGATGGTGAGGGCCCTGAGGAGGCGTGTCAGTGCTGCTTACGCCACCCCCACGTGGTAACCTAGTATACACAACCCCGCCTGTTTTCTTAACACACCCCCGCCCCCTGCCCTCCCCCGACCCATCCCCTCAGGTATCCAGCGGCAGCCTGCTTGCCCGGCTGCTGTTCCGCTGGGCCTTCAGTCGCAAGGAGCACTACATGCGGGCGGGCTGGAAGCAGGACGTGGTGAGAGGAGGGGAGGGGGTGGCGGGGTACGGTAGGAGGAGAGGGAGGGGGCAAACCCCTGCCGCCTTGTGTTGTTCGCCTGCTTGCATGCCTTACCCAACAGCGCAGCATTAGGCGGCTGCTTTGCCTTGCACCCCTTACCTCTCATCCACCTCCCCTCACCTCCCTCCCACCCCCCTCCCCCCGCCTCCAGGCCTCCCCCCTGAGCGACCTGCTGGTGCTGCGCTCCATCCGTCAGCGGCTGGGCGGGCGGGTGCGGGTGCTGGTGAGCGGCAGTGCGCCCCTGGCGCCGCAGATTGAGGGATTCATGCGCGTGGTGGCGTGCGCGCCCTTCGTACAGGTGAGGGGGTGTAGCCAGGGAAGGGGCAGGGTACATGCATGGGGTACCGGAAAGGGGTGGAGAATTAGGGTGGGCAAGAAGGATGGAGGTAACCATGCTAGGCCTTACTCGCTCACCTCCCACCTCCCTCCCTTCCCCTCCCCCCCTCCCCCAGGGTTACGGCCTCACCGAGACCTGCGCCGCCTCCTTCATCGCAACCCCCGACAACCCCACACACCTGGGCACCGTGGGCGCCCCCATGCCCGCCACCGAGCTGCGGCTGGAGGCGGTTCCGGAGCTGGGCTACAGTCCCTCCCAGCAGCCGCCGCGGGGGGAGGTGTGCATCCGGGGGCCCACGCTGTTCAGCGGCTACTACAAGAACGAGGAGATGACGGCGGAGGCGCTGGGTGAGGGGGGAGGTGGGGGATGAGGAGGAGGAGTGGAGGGAGGGAGGGACAGAAAGGTTTTGCCGCTAGGGTTTTGCCGTACTGGTGGAGAAGCATGGAGTTCCAAACCCACCCGCTCCCCTCAGTCCCCACACACCCCCCTGCAACCCCCGGTCTGTGTCATGGCAACCCAGACGCTGACGGTTTCTTCCACACGGGCGATGTGGGCGAGCTGGCGGCTGACGGCAGCCTGCGCATCATCGACCGCAAGAAGAACATCTTCAAACTGAGCCAGGGTGAGGGGGGCTGGGGGGTGCGAGTTGGGGGGTTAGGGGTAGGATCGGAGAGGGGTATGCAGGTGGGCAGAGGAGTAGAAGGAGGCGTCACTGAAGACGAGGGAAGAAAACGCATGCACGCTCGCGTTACGCAAGCACATGCGGCGAGGGTTGCATGGGGGTTGCGGGGAGCCCCAAAGGGGGGCGTTACTGCTCATCGCTCTCATTTCCCCGCCCACGAGCCACTGCCCTCCCTCCTCCCCCCCCTGCTGCTGCTGCCCAGGCGAGTACATAGCGGTGGAGAAGGTGGAGAACGTGTACAAGACGTGCCCGCTGGTGGAACAGGTGGGTTGGGTGGAGTGAAGCGGAAAGCACTAACTGGGGGGCAGGTGGGGGCTGGAGAGGGGCAACCATACGCATTCGGGTTATCCCGGCCCTGTCCGAAACGTACCGGTACCGGAATCCAACCCCCTTCCTTCATCCCCGCCCGGGCAGGTGTGGGTGTACGGCGACTCCACGGAGTCCTGTCTGGTGGCGGTGGTGGTGCCGGCGGAGAAGGCGCTGCGGGCATGGGCGGCGGAGGCGGGGGTGGCGGCGGGGGGAGGCGCCGCACCACCCGCAGCAGGGGCGGAGTCAGGCGCGGGGGCTGCGGGGGCTGCCGGCGAGGCAGCTAAGGGTGCGAGTGCGGGTAACACGGGTGCTGCTGGCGAGGACTTGTCCTCGCTGTGCGCCTCCCCCGCGGCCACCTCCGCTGTGCTGGCGGCCATGGTGTCCGTGGGGCGGGCAGAGGGGCTGAATAGCCTGGAGCAGGTCAAGGCGGTGACGCTGGTGCCGGAGCAGGTGAGGGGAGGGGGGTCAAAGTAGATAGACCAAACCTTAGGAAACACAAATTAAGGCAGAGTACTGGAGGAATGAGGCGGCAGGGTGCTAAGAGGGAAAGGAAGAGGAAAGATGGGAGCATGGTCGGTGCGTCGCACCGGTAGTCGGAAAGCGTACACTAAGAATTGGGTGCTGCGCGTTTGTTATCTTGTTTTTTATCCTCATCCCCTCATCCCTCCCCATTCGCTTCCCTCCCCCCCCACTACTCTCACCCCTCCAGTTCACGGTGGAAAACGAGCTGCTGACGCCCTCTTACAAGCTCAAGCGCGCCCCGCTGCTGCGCCGCTACCGCCCCCTCATCACGGCCATGTACGACAAGCTGGCGGCGGAGGCGGAGGCGGCGGCCAGGAAGAAGGCGGGGGGGTCGGGGGCAGCGGGGGCGCGGGGGGGCACTCGGGAGTGAGGCAGGCGGGGGAGACGAGCTGGTGGCGGCACCGTGAGAAGGCGTGTGAGAGAGAGAGGTGTGCATGGTGCATGTAGGGAGGTGAGGGGTCGTGAGGGGTTATGGCCGTGAGGGGGCTGAGGAGCCAGGTAGGGCGGTGCGGCCACCTGCGTGGTGTGGTAGAAGGGGGAGAGGAGATTGGGAGAAGTAGGGACCAGGAGAGGAGCAAGGAGCCCTACGACGGTGCGGCATGGGACTGCATTAGGAGGGCAGTGGGAGTTGGGAGGGACGGCCGGGTCTGTTGTTTATGCGGCAACTGGGCTAGTCGCGTAACTGGACTAGCCAGAGCTGTCGACCGAGGATAGTAGATGCACTGGAGGCTGTCCTATCGGGGTAACCGGTGACGACGGGAACGAGGTGTGCGTGTGAATGTGTATAGCCGTTGGAGGTGTGCGGTGTGGTTAGTTGAGATGGGGACGCAGGCGGTAGGAGGTCTCACGCGGAGGATCCAGCGGATTGGGGTTTGCAGCTGCTTGAAAGATGTTGTGGCTGGCGGATTGTGTTGTTGTTGCTGATGAAATGTGTTTTGTGGTTCGGTGCAGCTACCGTTGTGCTACCTGCCCAGTGCCATGAAATGCAGACCACCCGTGGCTCATGGACTCGCCCCGCACTGTGAGCAGGGCTGAGGCAGTGTGGGTGGGTTGTAGGCTGGCGGGTTCAGGTGAGGGGGGCTGTTGTCTAGCGGGAGCAGAGACAGCTCGCGCACCCCCGGGCCTCCCTGGGCCGTTGTTGTCCGGCCATGGATGTAATCCGATGGGTCCATGTCAAGGTGACAGACCACCCGGCAATGAAGAATCCGCCACACCTGCCACGAGGCGTGGTGTGCTGCCCACGACCTGTTACATACTTTTACAATGGTACAACGCACCATGCGATGATGCGCACAGTACGAGCCCCCACCTGCACCGGCAAGCCAGGAAGGCCGGTGCGTAGATCCCCCCAGTGATAAAGCAGGAGGGCGGGGAGGGCTCCCAACGCAGTACACACAGCATACTACTACATAGCCTGAACGCAGCCAAAGCACACAACTCCCTCTGCCCCAGGCGGCAGCATACATGCGTATGAACTGTCAGCCAAACGTGCAAGACACCTCACACGCAGCGTCAGCACACCCAGCAGGCAACGTCAAGGATTCCCTGGGCAATTCCTAATACCGGTACAGTCGACCCCTCGACCGCTGACAGCAGGCCACAGCGGCTGTCAGAACACGGCTCTAGCCGGCAGGACGGAGGATACAACTGCTGCATGCCGGATGGGGCGCGTCCATGAATACTCAATTTTAATGGCATGTGTTTTTGTGGATCGTGGATCAAAGCAAGCCAGGAATGCAGCCTAAAATTGTGCCAACCTAACAATAACAACAAAACACCGCCGTTTTCCTCAAAACCCTACACGCTAAACGAAAATTGGGGGCTGCTTTCGGCGATACACCACCACCAAAGCCGAAAGCCACATATGTCTCAAAAATTGGCAAACTATGCGTGCGCGGGGGGAGGACACGAAATGACACCCTGGGAAATCTCATCGACAATTCGGGAATCCATCAAACCTGTTCTCTTCTCAGCAAGCAAGTAGCTCCGCCGCCCTGCCATAACAGCCCGACAGGGCCGCACATCGAAACACCCAGGCCCCCCCACCTCCCAGCCAACTTGAACAACTGAATATATGAAGGATCACATAGAGCATTATTAGCAGTGCAAAGACAATTTCGAAAGAACGCGCGCGCAAGTAGACACACTCTCTGGATGAGTCGCAACTACACATATGAGGTCATGCCACCCAACTTATTCTGGCAGGGCGACAGCCAACCTGAGGCACCATCCTGCCATCCCAGTACGACAACAAGGACCCGCAGGGAAGGCGCCTGCCCACATGGCTATACCCGTGGCTCCGGCCACGGGCGTACGACATACACCGACGGGGCTGGAATCTAAGTACGGGAATCCCTTTGGCATTGGCAGGTCAGATTTGCTGTCGTGTGTGCGGAGCATCATTGCTGTGTCCCGCATGAAACACGTTGGCCTTCTCTTGAGCCGTCATCGCTCACGCGGGATCATAACACCGCATCAGCCTTACTCAGCCCGCTGAGCAAGTTCATTAGTGTTCTTTCAAATAAGCCGCCACCACCTGCCGCGTCAAGCACCGCTCCTAGCATCGGTAACAAGCACCCAAAACGTGGTCGCTGACCCAGATGATGATGGGTCCTTCTGGGTGTGGTCTAAACGAAGGCACCCACCTGCGGACCCTCCTACGTCACGCAACGTATACAAACCAACGAATGAAGCCGTGAAACCCCTCTCCTCGGCATTCCAGCTACCCGTCAACACACCCAGCAGCAGCGTCCCAGCATGCTGCCTTGGTTACATGGCGACAGCATGTTTGGGGGTAGCGCCCAGCCGCACACCACCGACATTGCCCTACCGGAGCGAAAACAGAATCTTACTGCTGGATGACCTTACCAGCGTCCAAGGAAAGCTTCTTGGATGCTGGTGGCGCTGCGCTCCTGGGGTCCTTCTGGGGTCCTGGGGTAACGAAGTTAGGGTTGTAAGGTCAAGATCAAGATTGCGCGCGACCCTGCCACGCCGATGGGCGGGAGGCGGAGCAGATCACTTTAGGAAGACGCCCATCACGCCTGCGGGTGGAGGGAGGGGGGAGGGGAAGTGCGAAGAAAGATGGGGACCAGGGATGCGGGTGTACGGGAGGGCCGGGGGAAAAGGGCGGGAAACGGCTGCAACTCAGATGCATGGCCCCTCAGGGGACAAGGGACTTGGGCAGGCGAAAAAACGGGCAGGCAAAGTCCCAACCCACATTAGAGTGAGTCCCTCGACCCACCTATCCAGCGTGTGATGCTGGGGTCCAGTAGGTTGGCCGGCACCGTGCTGTTGTCCACTTTGCTGCCCGTCAGCACCAGCGTGCCGCTGGGGGTGTGCACATGCAGCTGCGCGGGCGAGCCGGACAGCAGCTTGTAGCCCGTCACACGCAGACCCAGTTCCGCTCCGTTGGCACCCAGCACCTGCAGGCAGAGCGGGCAAAGCAGCCGGGGTTGGGGTTCCAGAGCGCAGGCAGTGGGAGGTAGGGTTCCGGAGCACAGCCAGCGGCACTGCTAAGCGGATTGCGTTGACGCGAACACCTAGGTGTGAAAGCTTCTCCTCCATGCAGCAGCAAAGGAGCAACAGGAGGGGAAGGCGCGCGCCAGCCCCTTGTCCTCCTCCTTCCCATTTCCCCACGTGCCGCCGGCACACTCACACAGACACGAGCGAGGTAGGTGAGCTCCTCTGACGTCATGCTGGAGTTGAGCATGCGTTGCGCGTAGTAGGCTCCGGTGGCCACCGTACCGGCGCTGCTGCGCGACAGCAGCAAGCCGGAGGGGGCCACAGTGTAGTTTGCGTCGGTGGCTTGCACGGGTTTGTTGGTGCTGGAGGACAGCAGCACGAACTTGTCGTTGATCTGGGGCGTCGAGGTAGGGAGGGGGGAGAGGGAGCGGGGCAGTAGTGGGTACGGTACGTGGGGTTTGCGAGAAGTGGGTCACCAGGGCTATGTAGGCTGCAAAGGGGAGGCAGGTAGGGAGGGTAACAGCCCGCAGGATGGGCTGCGAAGCGTGTGCCTAGTGCGCCATGCTGGTACCGGTATGGGTACGAAAGGCATAGGTCGCATCCAATGCGCAGGTATCCACAACTCAACCTACCGTGGTGTCCTTGTGTGCGAGCACCACTGCCCAAGTCAACCTGTGCGGCAAGGCGTGCAGTACATCGTGTAAAACTCCACGCCAGTGTCACGTCATGCAGTTCTACCAGTACTGCAAGACTTACCCAAACCCCGAGCCAAGGAGCAGCACCAGGCTGAAAATCACCATTATCATTCCAGCCATGAAGAGCCTGAAATATACAAGGAAGGACGAGTCAAGGTTGATGACACCCTGCATGGCTTCGACTGCAAGTCACCATCCGGGCCCCTCCCCCAGACCTTCCTCTGTCCGGCACGCACGCGGGTTATGCGATGGCGACATCGGGACAGCCCAAATCAGCGCGGAAAGGAAAGATATATACGCTACAAACCAGAAGGTCCCGGACGCGCAAGAAAGGACGCTCGCAAACCACTGATGAAAGAACCCCAATGGCATGGCATGCAAGACACAGAAATGTAGGCAAACAGAGTGAAACCTTGCCTGCTTTTAAACTGGGACTTGACAAGCTCGTCAACGACCTCTTCAAGCTCAGACGGGTCGATGTCTCCGTCTCTGTAGGGGCATGGGGAATTATGGGGGCACGCTTGCAATGAAGTATCAGAGGTCATTAACAAGGATATCTTTTTCCAAGACCGACATGCCCAAGGAGCGCGCGAACTTCTTGTGAACTGTGTGAGGGAATTCCCGGACCTCCCTTCAGCCTTACCCATTCCGGTCGAACTTGGACAGCACGGTTCGTGTTTCCAAATTCAAGGCTGTGTGGAAAGAAGATTCGACGTAAGTGTGGTCGGCCGGAAATGGGCGGGCGTGCAGCCAGAATACTGGGACTAGACTAACCCATGAGGTGCACAGAGCCATAGCGAGGGCACGTTGAAAATTCCGGGTGGGGAGGGTCTAGGATTGCTGTCACGGTCGGCTCGTTTGAAGGTGTTATTGGTGGAAGTTCCATGTTCAACATGGCGTTATAGTTGTCAAAAGAGCCAAAGGTAAGGTCGGTTTTCTTTTGCATGAAAGCAATATTTGATGCGATGAAGTGCACAGTCTTGATAGAGAGGAGCAACCGTGTACTGCACGACGAAAAGTGAGTCGAGCAGAAGTCCACATAGCCACAGCTTTGACTTTTACGGCAGGATTGAATGCGGAATGTACATAAACACCTTTTTGTTAAACTAAAATGTAAAACTAAAATTTAGGCACAGGGCTGTTCCATCTCCTCTTTCGCACGTAAGTTGGTCCCGGTTAACCGCAAGACGACTTGGTCTTTTGCCCTCCCCTGCAAACGTTCTCATACCTCTCGGCTTACTGTTGCAAGTGCAGCATGTCGAACGTGCACTACTCCGTGTTTACTCTTTGCTGGCCGTCCCAAAGACAACTGCCGCTTCCCTGCTCTAGGTTGATCACACCGTCCCTGTGGGATAGCTCCATCTCTAAGCACTGATTCCCTCACACGGGTACCTGTGGTGAAGTTGTGGGCAAAGATGAAGCTAGCAGGAAGTGAGCACGCGACCCTGCGCCATAGTTCTGAGAGAGAAAATAAGTGATAAGTGCAGCAACGGAGCCCCAATCCCCAATCCTGAGGGAGGGTAGTGGTAGCTCTAGTTCTGGCGGGGGCCATGAAGACTAGGGAGGGGCTGTTGCTCAAATACTGTCGCATCACATGTGTTTGCTAACCATTGACGACCCACGGGCCTCCCATGCCCTTAGCTTGGGCAAGGGCATAGGGCGAGAATCCAACGAACTTCCACCAATAAGGCCAAGGCAGTACGATATAGGCTCTATGCGCGCGGATGAAGAGGCGCACTACCGATTCCGAGGCTGCCAGGATAGCTGCTGAGCAGGTATGAAAGGAATCCATGCTCGCTGACTGAGTTATTGCATGGGGAGAGGTCAGCGCCGATACCGGTACGCGTAAAAACCCATCCCGCATATATGTATCCTTACATCCAGGACAGAATGCAAACCCAGCATCCCTAAAGGCAGTGCACAAATCTGGCCCATATGTATGGCCAGCGCCAACAGCGCGGCTAACATGAGAAACAGACCGTTTTCAGAAGCATGCACCCTACGCCATGAGGACAACACCGAAACAAGAATATTTGTTAAGATGGAGACACTGTACGCGGCATGATAACTGCCCACGATGGACTGGTTGAGGATAGGCACGAGTTAAGCATTGTAACCGCGATATGGCGATCACCAAACCGAGTCTGCTCACGGGACTGCGCTTGCCACATGGACCCATGGTCGATAACCAGCCCGCCAATGACTACGCCTGACACCCAGCGACCTGCGACCGCGGTTTAGCGGCTACAACCAGGGACGTGGAGCATGGAGCCGAGACTCCAGACAGTGAAATCCCTCCCCTAAGAAACTGCATCCCGAAACACATGCACGTTCTGTGCAGTCCTGAAACACACAAACCCGCGCCATGACACCGCGCCAACGCCCGGCAACCGGAGCGCCAGGACACGTGCAAACGCGCATGTGCTACGAACACGTGACACACGTCATCATACTGCATTCCCAAGGTTCGCTTGGCTGCCGTTGCCGTTGAGGGCTGCTGGGACTGGAGCCACCGGCTGCCGCACCATCTGGGTCGCCTGCGCCTGCGCCATCATCTGGGCCATGTGCAACTGCTGCTGCTGCTGCACGGCCTGTGTGTTAAGGAGCGGCATGACGTCATGCTGGTATCCGGCTGCGTACACTCCTCCCGCCCCTGGCGCCGTTCCCAGCGCTAGTTGCGTTGCGGCGCTGTCAACAGCTGCACGCTGCGCTCGGAGCAGCAGCTCGCGTTCGCGCTTGGTCTTAGCAAAGTCCGCTACGGCGTTCATGAGAAGGAAGCTGGCGCCGACCCACATCAGGAAGGAGCCCGCCACAACGCTGCCGAGGGCGTCGTAGGCCTTGTTGGTGTGGTCCAAGCTCAGTGCAATCCGGCTCAGATCGCAAATGCAGTCTTTCTGCAAGGACATAGGGCGAGAGTCCAACGAACCATACCCTTGCTGCACCCGTGGATTAAGCACGCACCCAAATGGTTTTGGAACCGATGCCCTGTTGGCTTGATGCTTAGGTTACGGTGCCTTCCCCTTTCCAGCCAAATGCGGAATATGCATTCCTAGTGATCCCCCTGTACAAGTGTCCCGCCTCTTTAATGGGAAGCCCCATGACGCACCTGAACGATAAACTCGAAAATGGCCAGGTTGAGGCAAGCGTTGCTGCAAACACCCGTCGTGTTGCTATAGCTTTGGGGAGGCGACGGAACGACTGTTGAGTTGCTCGTCCTGTTGGCCACGTCCAATGGAACCTGAAGCACGCCCCTGACCGTGTACGCGGCGCCATACCACAGGCAGCTGCCGAAGATGACAAATACTAGCCAGAACAGGATGAGCCACCAGATGGTGCACAGGATAGCTCCTGTAGCTAGCCAAAGCCAGGAGCCGCATACAGCCTTGCCTGCACGGTTGCAGGAGCAAATACGTGTTTGCAAGAGGGAATGAACAATACGCACGCCGATTCATCGGTTGCACATGTTCCCTTCTTACCCCTTTGGTCAACTGCTTTTTCCAGGCACGTCCGGCCGCCAGACATGAGGACCATTACAGCAGCCATAATCGCGCACACGGTAGCGGCACCGACGGCAACGTTATGGATGGTATCGAGATATCTATCTGCCTCCACGTAAACAGCAGCAAGCGCTTTATCCGTGTTGGAAAGGGCTGTCCGAGAGCCGGTTGCCCTGCAAGCGCCAAAGCACGCATCACCGGGGCGATTCTTTTTGCCGGCAGAACATAGCCGAATTACTTTCTTACCAAACAATGATGCCCACAAAGATGAAGAGAAAGGCTATGAGCGCTACCCAAGGCACGTAGGCCAGGGCACGTTTCCTGCACGTAGGCGTAGATTCTCAGAGAGCGGATCTATGCTGCGGGTGGACTTATAGGTAACTTGCCTTGTTTGGATCATGGTTTGGCTTCACCCAAGGGTGCAGCGATAGCCTATAGACAGGTATTCAGTAAGTTATTCAAGGGAATATCAACCTGCTTGTGAAAACAAGTAAGCAAGTGGCGCTTAGTGCTGCCAACGCATGTTAAGATATAGCTGTCATAGCAGCGCACCGACCATGGCATGCGCGATCGATGGAGGCTTGGATTCAGTACGACATTCCGGAGAAGGTGACTCGCAAGTAAGTTCCTGGGCTGTTATTTTGCTTTTTCTTGTTGAAGTCGACTCACTTATATATATAATGCCTCTCCAAAGCTGCTGTGTTCCTGGCTCCACCTGGAAAAGGACTTTACACATTTGCTCACAATGCTGCGTTGGCCCTGCATGACCCCTACAAGACTGCACATCTCTGAGATAATGCTGGATATATTTAGCCATGTTATCACGCCGCAAGTCCATTGAAGATAGCGATGCCCCGGCGAACAAGGGAAAGACGCAGAACATATTATTGAAGTACTCCACAGCCAACGCATTTGTTAACCGTCTTTCGAAGGTATGCCATAACCCGGTAAAAACCGGATGCATACCCTTTGTCAAGATGTTGACGCGTGCCCCTAGATATCTTTTGTGCCGCTGCCTAATGGGACACTAGCAAGAAGCTAGATCACGGAGCTGTTTGGTGGCTTCATGTTTGCTTTTATGTATTTAACTCGCGAGGACGTTTCATCTTACCGTATAAAGTGTCGCCACTTTTGGGCCATGCGGCCATCCAACCGCCCAGACGTGACAGGGGTTCATACCACAAGCTCCTGATGCACACGGGACCGTAAACTTACGCAATTAAACAACAGATCCACAAAACACGCTGGCAACGCCAGGCCTTCCCCAACTTGTCAGCGCCATCGGCAAAGCATTCACGCTCTCTTTCACGATCTTGGAACGCAGGCCTCGTTCGCAAGATCCCGCATCGATGGCGCCTCCTCAGCTCCATCCGCGTCTTATTGGGACGTGCACCGATCCCCGGGGTCCTCCTCTGCCACGCCACTACCTCCGGACTCTGACCCCGCAGCTGCCTTCCTGGATACCATGCCGCCCGCCACCCCGCCAGTCCGCGGGCCGTACTACGGCATGTATGCGGAGTACGATGAGGTGATGGACGTGCTGCACACCGGCGTGGTTGCAGATGGGAGCTCAAGGGTGAGGGGTGTGGGATGGCGGTGGCATACGCTGAGGGTACACGGCTAACGGTAGGAACGTGGGCTCACACACCATATACCCGTTGTTTCCCAGGGGTATTCCGCACTAGGCTTTACTGCTTCTTTCAAGCGCAGCCCACGTCGCAGTTCCTAGCTGGAAAGGCAGTCACAGCCTCTGTCACAACACGTGAAGAACCACGCCCTTCTCCCCGAACCTCCCCCTGCTTCACCTTACCTCCCTCCCTCCGCCCCTCTCTCCCTAGCGCCTGCTGGCCCATGTGGGTCGCGAGCAGGTGGTTCACGTGGCGCACCTGGGTCTAGGCGCCTGCTGCTCCGTGGATCTGGTTGCCGTACACTGCACCGACGGCAGCCGCGTGCTGGCGGCCGCCAAGTCCTGCTACCTGCCGCCCAGCGACCCCCGCATGCGCGCCTCGCTGCGGGAGGCGGAGCTGCTGCGCCGCTGCGCTGACTGCCCCTTCATCATGCAGCTGCTGGTGGTGCTCCAGGACCAGCCGGGGGAGGCGACGGGGCGGCCGCTGCAGCACCAGCAGACATGGCAGCCGAGCACCGGTGGCGCCAGCAGCTGGGGCGTGTACGGCACCGGTAGCAGCACTGCGGGCAGCGATGGCACGGTTCCAGGACCCATGCCGCGCTGCATGAGTGAGCTCCGGGCCGCACCGGACGCCTGGCTCGGGCGGAGCGCCACCATGGGAGGTGGCGTTGGCTACGGCGGCGCGGATAGCGGCGTTGAGCTTAGTGGCCAGTCGCAGTCAGCCGGCGGGGGTATTGTTGCCTCCATGGCGGGCAGCGTCGCCTACCAGGCATGGGCTCAGTGGCGGGGCGGCGGCGGCGGCGCAGAGGAGCTAGAGCGGCAGCTCTGGCAGCGGCTGGCGGCGGCCTCTGCCTCCTACTCGGGAGGCGGTGGTCGCGGAGATGACGGTGGCGGTTTTGGGCTGCTTCAAGACGTTGTGGAGGTGCGGGGCAGCGGCACTGGAGGGGCGGGCTGTAGCAGCTGGGATTGCGGAGGCGGCGGCGTGTTCTCGTTGCACAGTACCTTGCTGGACAGTGGCTGCAGCAACAGCATGGCTGCTGCTGCGGCGGCGCATGGACACGGGGGAGGCGGGGGGTGGCAGCATTGCGGTTACCCGGAGGGCAGTTACCATACCGGACAGGGCTACACGGAGACTACGCCACCCGGGACTCCGCGCCGCAGCAGCTGCATGCGCCGCCGCGGATCGCTGGAGATCATCGACATGTACGGGGGCTGCGTCGGCATCTGCGGCGGCGACGCTAGCAGTGCCGGCGGCGGCATCCCCGCCTCGCAACCCTCCGCCCCCGCCTCCTCCCGCCCAGAGGCCCCCGTCATGTGCACGCTGCTGCTGGGCTGGGCTCGCTGCGGCGACCTGCGGCGGCTGGTGCAGGTGCTGCTGGGGCGCTCGCCTGCACACCGGCCGCAGAAGCACCACTCGGCCGCGGAGCCGGGCCACAGCAGCCTGCCGCCGTTGATGAATGAGGATGCGGCGCGGTTCTACATGGGCTGCATGGTGCTGGCGCTGGAGCACCTGCACGTGCGCCTGCACACCGTGCACCGGGTAGGGTGGATGCAGGTTAAGCGGTGTGGGGTCGAGGGATGGAGGCGAGGGATGGGTGCGAGGAGAGTTGTAGCTCGGATGGGCGTCAACACGCTTACTGACAAGATCTCTAGCCCCCTCCCTCTCGCTCATGCCTGCCTCCTGCTGTTTCCTCCTCTCCACCCCACCCCGCTTTCCCTGCCCCCGCCAGGACCTCAAGCTTGCCAACCTGCTGCTGCTGTCCAGCGGCTACGTGGTGGTGGGCGACCTGGGCACCGCAGTGGACCTCTCCACGGTGCCGGGGGGCAGGCTCAGCTCGCGGGTGGGCAGCCCAGGTGCGACCGGCGAGAAGCTGTTAGGAGTGCTGTTGGGCCGGGACGGGACGGGGCCGGAAACCAGGCGTTCGTGGCGCATACGTCATACGCTCATGCCCCCTACCTCCTCTTCCTACACAGGCCACATGGCTCCCGAGTGTCGCGACCGCGACGAGGCCGGGTACGACACCTCCGCCGACATGTGGTCGCTGGGCGCCTGCCTCTTCGCGCTGCTCACCGGCCACCTGCCGGCCGGCACTGCGGGCCCGCCCGGCCGCAGCTGGTCCCCGCCGCTGAGCCGCAGCTGGTCGCGTGAGCTGCAGGACCTGCTGCTGCGGCTGCTGGCGTGGGCGCCCAGCCAGCGGCCGACGGTGGGGGAGCTGCTGCGTGACCCGTGGTTCAGGGGGTTCAACTGGGCGGCGCTGCGGGCGCAGAAGATGCCGGCGCCGAGCAGCACGGTGAGCGAGGTGGCAGTGGCGGTGGGGGGGGGTTAAGGTTTGAGGGAAGGTAGGGGAATGTCTTGGGCGCACGACACTAGACGTGCTAGTGGGGCGGCGGGACTGATTGCTATCTAGAGTTAACCCTAGTCAGGGGTCAGTGCCGCAACCAGACACTCCTCGTAACCACGGTGTGCTGTAACGTTGCCCCCTGCATGCCTGCTCCTGCTCTCAGCCCTGGAGGGAGCTGCTGTGGTGGCCCAAGGAGACCAAGCAGGCGCTGTGACTCGTGTGACACGCGGTGAGGTGTGGGCTCCGGCTGCCGACCCGTCCGTCGTGTGTGAGCAGAACGGCTACACAGGAGTCAAGAGGCACACAGAGGGTGAAAGGGACACCAGCCCTGTTGTCAGCAACAACCCTTTTTACTCGCATTTTGGCCATCCTTGACTCTCTTTCCGCCTTGCCGCAGCCGTCGCAAGGCCCATGTGAACGCCTGTGACCGTACTATGTAGCAATTGCGGTGTTGCTGAGACCTGAAGCGCTATTGTATTGTAACTAAGCACCTCCTCGTTTGGGGCAGGAGGGTTTCATGTGACGACCGATCCTGTTTGCCTTCTGCTGCTTGGGGTGCGTGCATGTGCGCATAACTGTGAAACCAGGACGGGAGGCGTGTGTGCTAGCCTGACTGTCTCTGCTTGTCTCTTGCTTGGACTGTGCATAATAGAAAAGGATAGGCGGGCGGAGCGACTCCTGGAGATTGATTTTGGCTGCAGGGCCGTATACTTGAGGGAGAGAAGCGACGGTGTGCTGCAGGATGCGTCTATAGGCTGTTGGTGTACCGTTTGTAGATTGGTGTGTGATGTGTTCACACTAGGACGCTGCCGTAATCCTGGTTGCTTCAAAAGCTGTAAGTCTGCGGGTGTATTGCGCTCAAGGACGTTTTTGCTTGACGCACTGCCGTATCGTCGTGGCTATAACAAGTTTGTTTCCGTACATAGAGGTTGTTAGTTGTGGACAAGTATCAGGGTTGGGGGGGGCATGGTTGAGGTTGGGGGGGTTGGCTTTTGCTGTCCTGTACGGAAGATGCAGCAGCTGCCACTGATCGGGGGGATAGGTTGGTGTATTCGATCATGCAGCGGGTGATTGTTGATGGCGCACATTCCCACGCACGCGTTTGCGCACGCCATCCTTATTATGTATGATACACACCAGAAGGTTTGTTGCCTGAGGGCGGTGTTGGACGGCAGAGGCGACGATCATGATACCTGCCCTTAGAGTATATGCCTATCCAGCATAGCATATCTAATACCGGTACTCAGACAGTTTTTGGAAGTTGGTAGCTGTCTAGTATCACTTGCAGGGGCTTTCCGGCAGCGTTTTGCCTTTTGGTGGCACCCTGCAATGTATTCCAAGCAGCGGGGCGTGTCCCGTACGGTTAGTTGCAACGCCCTGTTGAAGCGTGTGTGCTGTGCCAACATGCAGGGCACGCACATGAAAGGGGCTTTACATGCACGTGCATGGCGTCCATCCACTCCGTTAGCGTTAATGTTGAGCGCAAGCAGCCGACGTCTGGTGGCTGCCTGAATGGAGTGTACCTGGGTCTGCATTACTAGCTGCAAGAGCGTGCTTGAAGTTGCCTACACCACCGTGTACTACCACCATGTAAGTTACGCCGTCAGTGTCCTCATGCCACCCGGCTGTTTCTCGCGGCCCATGCGTTGATGCCACAACACTCAACGCGGCCCCCCCCCAACATCTTCGCATGTTAAAAGAGGTCCAGAGAGCCGACCAGGTGGCCTCACAGTATACGCTCCGCCCTCCCTCCACGCTCCGTCCCATACCCCTGTTAAGGACCTTGGCCATAGCCAACAGCTACCCAACCCCCTGTGCCTCTCTTCACTGCAACTTCCAAGCACATGCCGCTATCACCCACTCGCACCCTTTTTCACCGGTCTTCATCCCAAACCACCCCCTCCTCATGGCTTTGCTGCCCTCCCATACCCGCCCCCCGCATCCCCCCCTCCTGCGCCTCTACTTCTCCTTGGCCAGCCGGTTGGTGTCGTGTGTCAGCTGCCGCAGCTCCTCCGCCTCCCGCCGCAGCGCCCCCCACACGCCGCTGTCGCCCAGCCGCCACCGCCAGTTGCCCGCCGCCGTGCCGGGGGTGTTCATGCGCGCGGTGTTGTCCAGCCGCATCACATCCTGATGGCGGAGAGAGGAAGGGAGGGCACACGGAAGGGCACACGGGGCGGGGTGTTTTAGGGAACATGGTCGCTAATGTACGCGGTATGGTGCGGTGTGCTAAGGAAACTCGCCACAAGGAAGAATGGTGTGCTAAGAAAACTGTGCGTGTGCAACAGTCAGGCCGCTTGCGGTAACGTTTTGTGGCGTTTACGAGGAGGATATGCGTACGGGTAAGGGGATACGCCTGGGGCGAACCCAACCCTTCCCGCCCCTGTTCCTCCACCCCTACCCCCACCACCCCCTACCTGCATGAGCATGATGCAGGTACGCGGCACAGCCGCCATGCAGGCGCGAATAAAGTCCCACGCAATGTCGCTCCCATCGCTCCGCAGGTACGACCGGATGTAGGCCTTATCCGTCTCATTGGCGCTGCCCCGAAACCAGCCAACCGCCGTCTCGTTGTCGTGTGTGCCCGGATACACGAAGCAGTTCTCGTAGTGGTTGTGCGGCAGGTGCACGTTGCCCGGGCCGCCGCCCCATGCGAACTGCAGAACCACCATGCCTGGGGCGCCGATGGCCTCCCTGTACGGCAGTAGGGGGCAGTAGGAGAGGTGCGTCGTACGTTACGGTATCGTACGGCATGGTGCGGAAGTAGGAAGGAGGAGGATGTGGAGCGACAGGGTTCAAGATGTGGGTTAAGGAGGGCGAATGAAAGCGTGGGTGTGATGTTTAGATGCCAGGGGTGGCGCGGTAGAGCGCATGGATTGCATGGCCAGCAAGTCAAGTTCCCATTCCGCAGTGCGGCACCTCCCCTCTCCTCCCCTCCTTCCTTCTTCCTCCCTCCCCCCTCCCGCGCCCCCCCTCCACCTGAGCTCCACCACATCCTTCGTGATGACCCCCAGGTCCTCAGCCAGAATGGGCACCCCCCCCAGCGCCCCCCGCAGCGCCTCGAACAGCTCCAGGCCCGGACCCTGCCGCCACACGCCGTTCATGGCGGTCTCCTCGCGCGCGTCCACACTCCAGTAGCCTGCCAGGAGGGGCGCGGTGTTCGGGGTTGGGCTGAGAGGTACCGGTAAACCTACGACATCATGTCAGGGTCCTGATGCCGTACACAGTACACGCCCCCCTACTGTCGTACCCTACCCGCAAAGCCCCTGAAGTGGTCGATACGGCACTCGTCGTACAGCTCCAGCGTGCGCGCCATGCGGGCGGTCCACCAGCGGTAGCCCTCCTGCCGGTGCGCGGGCCAGCGGTACAGCGGGCTGCCCCACAGCTGGCCTGGTGGGGGAGCGGCAGGGGAAGTGGGGGCGGGAGGCGGGAGGTAGGAGGTAGGAGGTAATGGTATGGGGGTAGGTAGAAGGGGGGGATAGAAGCTGGAGGGGTGGTGGGGAGTGCCGCGGACCACTGCGATGATCACTGCAACTCCCGCTGCACGACGTGCGGTGGTTTCTTCCTGCTACATCCCAGCCCGAACCAGCCACGCCCTTACCGCTTCCCCCCACCTCACCCCACCGCAGCCCCCTGTCCCGCGCCCCCACCTGTTGCCGAGAATGCGTCCGGCGGCACCCCGCTGACCTGCTCCGGCAGCCCCAGCTCGTTCAGCTCGAACAGGTGGCGGTGCGCCCACACGTCGGCGCTGTGGCCGCCCACGTAGATGGGCATGTCGCCGATGACCTGGATGCCGCGGCTGTTGGCGTAGGCCTGGGGGGGGCGGAGAGGGTGAGGGGGACGGGAGGGCGGTGAGGTAGAGGGGTGAAGGGGAGAAGCTAAATTAAGATGGCTGCGAGGAGCAGAAAAGCTGAGGTCATTATGGGTGCTAGGGATGGGGGCAGCTTGTGAGGAGTGAGATTGCCAGCCCACGGAAGCCCCTCCAAGCACCCACTCCCTGCCTAACCCCAAGCCGCCAAGACCCTCAGCTTCCTCCCGCACTCCGCCCGCCCGCCTGTCACCGCCTCCTTACCCTCACGGCCTTCCACTGCCTCTCAAACAGGAACTGTATCGCAATGAACTCCTCCATGGCGGCCGCGTGCTGCTCCCGGAACGCCTGCAGCGCCTCCGCCTGCCGCAGCCGCAGCGGCTCAGGCCACTGCCACCACGCCAGGTTGCAGAGCTCTGGCAGGTTGCGAGCCACGTCGAAGAGCGCCGAGTCCTCCACCCAGGGGTGCTCCCGCCGGTAGGCCTGGCACTGCTCACGCAGCTCGGAGAAGCGCTCCTCACGCAGCAGCCGCTGCGCTGCGAGCTGCAGCAGGGGCTGCTTGGCGGCGGCGACTGCAGGGAAGTCGATGTCTCCGGCGGGGACGGGCGGAGGCAGCTCGGAGGCTTGCAGCAGGCCCTCGCGGACGAGCTCTTGCAGGGAGATGACCATGGGGTTGCCGCAGTTGGCGTCGGTGCCGGAGTAGGGGGAGTAGTACATGGGGTCGGGGGGGACCAGGGGCAGCATCTGCCAGCACTGCATGCCGGCGTCAGAGAGCCAGTCGACGAAGCGTTTGGCCTCGTCGCCTAGCTCGCCGATGCCGTATGGGCCGGGGAGGGATGTTGGGTGCAGCAGGATGCCCGCCCGCCGCCCCTTATCGTAATTGGGGATGTTCTTATCATAGTCTTTGCTTAGTATGTCACCGGGGGCCCCCATGGTGCCGCTCGGCTGCTCGCTTGTCGCCAGGATTGAAGTTGCGCGCCTGCCCCGGCTGCTCGTCTGTCGAGTTGTGCATACGTTACGCAAGATGCTGTTGCGCGATGAAATGCAAGGAGGCTGTAGCTGCTGCGATCTATGAATACGCACGCCTTGCGGCGTTTGAAGAGGCAGCATGTGTGCAGCGGTAGGTCTGGTAAACCCTACCAAACCCAACGAGCAGATGATGCGTCCTATTTCCCGATATTACAATTTTATGTACAGATTGACGTTTGCGTCATTGGATCGACAGGATCGATGCCCAGCTGGGGCCGTACATTGCGGGAGCCGGACAATGCGTCCGAGCCTGTGCTATCTCTCTACAAGAACAGTTAGTGCTCTATGATATTAATCACAATGTTTGCAGAAGCTGCAGCACTAAAATGGCAATCAAAGCGATCAGTCCCAACAGAAAAGGGCTTGCGCGAGCGGCGTTTTCTGCGCTCTCTGAAGCCACAAACGGATAGAAAATATCTGCTGGAAGCGGCACAACTAGCGGGGGCGCTGGCTTCTTAACCTCCACAGCCTGTTGCGGTAACCGAATAAAAGACACGTTGAACTGAAGGTAGAAGCGCTGCGCCGACGAGGAGGGTACATTCTCGGGGAAGTCCCATACGCCAGTCTTGAAACACAAGTTGGCATACAGCACCTACAAAAGGGCAAGATTACCAGGGTTTGGACATGTGGGCATGGCGCAAAGAGGACGAACAGGCACAAGCTCAGACACGCATTGATCACGAAAGGGGTGCAAAGGGCAGTCGCTATTAAAGGCATGTGGTGCTTACGCACCTTTTGCTGCAAATTGTTGGACGAAAAGGCAACTCCGGTGACAATTTGTAAGTCAAAGCCGGTGATCACTCCTGAGCAAGCTTGATCGGACGTGGAGAAGATGGATGGGTTGAAGGGGTAGCCAGACACTTGCACCTGAGGAGAGAGCCAGGCAGTTGCCGTTACACTATCGTGGCCATAGGACATGCAGGATACGCTAAGCGGCCCACACCCATGCATGCGAACGCAACAAAGGTCAATCCTCTTGGTACCCAGCACCCCTGGACGGCCAACTGCAGCGCATACCTCTCCGTCCCTCTCCGGCCCGCCCCGCTCCCCCCTCCTCCCGCACGCCCCCGGCCCCCACCTGCAGCCACTGGTTGACGTTGTTGTAGTCCGAGTCGCCCCACTCGCCCAGGTAGAGCTTGCTGGCCACCACCGAGCCGTACAGCGAGGACATCACCTGCTGCACGTAGCTCTGCGGGGTGCTCTGACCCGTGCTGCAGGGCAGGCAGGAGGGGTGCAAGGGGGCAGAGAGTTGTAAGGATGTCAGTAAGATGGCACGGTTGAAGCCTGTACGAAAGGGCCCCACAGCACGCTCTGCAAGTATGAACCCCTACAGCTGCCTTCACCTTTCCACGTCCCCAAGCCTTCCATGCAGCCCCTCCTTCCACCCGGCATCAACCCACATGCGCTCCCACCCCCTTTCAGCACCCCCCCTCTTTCTTCCTTACGTGCAAAAGTCCATGAGCTGCGTCGCGTTGAGGCTGACGCTGCAGGTGGAGCTGGTGTTGACGCCGTACTTGACGGTCTGCAGCGCGGCGGGGCTGCAGGCGCCGCCCGGCCCCGGCGCCGGCAGCGGCAGCCCCGACACCATGCGACTAATGGCGGACTTGGTGGTGACGCCGTCGGAGGCGAGGGAGGTCGCCAGCGTGCCAGCCTGGGGATGGGGGTCGTGGGGGGACTGGGGGTCAGCGGGTGGTAGGTGCAAGGGTGAACAGGAGAACTGGAGGGGGGCGTGAAACGGAGGATTAGGAGAGCTGGTTTACGGATGCTTGTAGAGCAGGGCAAGAGGAGGCCCGCCGTGGAGATCCACGCGCAACTAGGAATCAGCCAGGTAACCGCTCGGACGTCATCGGGACCTCGCAGCCATCGGTGCTGGCCCACTCCCACCCCCGCTCCTCTCGCCCTCCGCCCTACCAGCAAGGGGAAGCCGGTGATGTACCCCGGGTTGCCGCTGGTCACCACGTCGATGGGCTGCGGGGTGGCGGTGGGCAGCCAGCTCACCCGCACGCCCTGCTCCAGCGGCCCGGCGGAGGACAGCACGTCCGTCAGCACGAACGACACCTCGATCTGCGGGGCGGTGAATGGCACGTCATGGAGGGGAACCCGAGTGACAGGCCCCTTGGCTGGGCATGTTGGGGAGCCATGGCTGGAAGCCGACGTGGACAGGAGCTTGGCTGCCGGCGGGCTTACTGGGTGCAACCGATGGGGGCTGCTCGGTGGAGGGAAGGCAAAGACCAAAACCTTGTAGGACCCTACCCTACTTCACCACCGCGCGCTCCCACCTTGTCGATGTACCCGGGCGCGTCCTCCGACGCCTCGTCCGTGAGGCTGTAGTAGACCGTCATGTTAATGTAGCGCACGATGTTGCTGCAGACGCCCGTGCTGGCGTTGTAGGAGGCGGCGGTGCTGTTGGCGGTGGTCAGCTCACCCGTGCTGGAGTTGAGGTACTGCGGTGGGGCGGTGGCAGGGGAGCGCCAGGGCAGGGTGAGAGCTTGGGTTGCTGGTGGGGGAAAGCCATGCGTGTAAACCGGCCGTGGCAAGGCCGATACTGTTATGCTGCTTTCCGTAGCTCAACAGCCCATGTGCAGTGAAGCATACCTGCCATCCTGCTAACCCGGTACAGACCACCTCTCAAAGCCCCACGCACCCCTTAAGCCAGCTTGCTGCCTAGTCATCATACCGATAGTCGAGGTTTCCCTTTCCACGGCGCCCCTGCCCCCCACCCCACCTGCACGGTACCCAGCGTGAAGGGCTGCCCCAGCGCCGACCCGGTGCCCGTCTGGAAGTGCATGCCGCTGTAGTACTGCGCGGTGAGCAGCCCCGACCCCGAGCATGCGGAGCTCAGGTTGAGGGCGGCCAGGTCGCGCTGGCAGCCCGCATAGTACTCCTGAGGAGGAGGGGAGGGGAGGGAAGGAGGAGAGGGAGGAGGCGGATGGTAGGGAGGACGGCGGAGGGGAGGTGCATGAGGCCAGGGCGCGGTAGAGGGTCGGTTAACGATGCCCAGGCTAAGGCAGCTTGCTTGCGCGACCAAGCTGTACCGCCTGAGCTGTACCGGCATGGGCATGGCCTTCCATGTGCGGCCACCTCACAAACGTCGACGACTGCAGTCAATGCCGCTCTACCATCAATGCCATGCATGCAGACCCCAAGGACATTCCCGTCGCAAGTTTGCTTGCCGCTAGCCACACCAACCTCGCATCCAAGCCCCGCCAAGTCCCGTCCCGCCCACCTTGTTCCCGGCGGGCACCGGCAGCAGGAACCCAACCGTGTATTGGTCATTGCACTCGCTGCTGAACGCCGGGTACGGCACCGTTAGCGGTTGCATGGAGGTGGCCTGCGGGGGCTGCACGTAGATGTAGTTCCGGAACTGGTAGATGGAGGGCTTGGAGGGCGGCGAGGTGGCGGCGGGGCACTGCGCCAGGTTCACGTTGTCACCCACGGCGCCAGCCGGAGGGTCTGCAACACACACGCGTTGGAGGCAGCGGTAGAGGCAGAGGGCAGAACATGAGCTGAGGAAAGAAGGCGAGAGAGCTTCCATGTCGGGTTCTGAAACCGGGCTGCCCCCGAAGGAGTTCGTGTTACCCTGGGGATGTGATCTGATTGCCAGACGTGCGGCATACAGCCCTTTCCTGGCTGTGGACACGACAACACCGTCTGGACCCTGTCCTGCAGCCCTGCTACCCACCCGGGTAGGTTGCCCCCAGGTTGGGGTTGCTGTCCGACACGATGCAGAGCAGCTCCGAAAAGAACTTGACCTCCGCGCGATCCTTCACGATGGTGTAAAAGTCGCTGCTTGCCGGCAGGTTCACCTGCGGCGGGAGGGGGCGTGGGAAGGGGCATGAGGGTGCGGCTGGGAGGGTTGCTAGAGGCGGCAGCGCCCGGCCCAGCCTGGCCTGGGGTAGCAGCTAGTGGCAAGGCCATCCTTGCCGCTATCCTTGCTGGTAGTCGGTATGCTGCTGCGCTCTGCTCTGGGCATGTGGCCCGGGGCCCCCACCTTGTAAACGTAGTCGCTGGGCATGCAGTACGTCAGCGTCTGCTGGTCCGCTTGCTGCGGTAGGCAGACGCCCTCCGAGGTGTACCAGCTAGTCAGTCCAGTGGGGCACATGGTATCGCAGCAGCACCCGAGGTCGCAAGCATCCTCCCGGAGGTCGCACGTGCATTTGGCTGTCAGGTTGCGGGTAGTGGGTGGGTCGGCTGGTACCTCGGTCCAGTCTACTGCGTACGTCTGGAACGTTGCTGACTGCCCAGCGACTCCACTTAGGTAGTATACTAAGAGCAGAATGCTGCATAATCTTATTGGTATGCGGATGCCCGAATTGCATGCGCTGGATAGCGTTCTGCAGCCCATTGTCATGGCAAAGGCTGCCCGACGCCCGTAATAGCAAACCTACGTATCTATAATGCCATGGTTCTTCAAGTTGAAGTCTACGGTTGTCACCCTTCGCGGGGAAGGACTGGTATTCGCAGCTGCTAGCAGTTGAGCGCGGACTAAATCATGTATTCCAGTTGTATACTAGTGGATTTAGTAGCTAGCTATGAAGTAGCGAGGAATTAGAGGGGCCGTGTTACACCCTCCAGGAGGAAGGCTCCACATCAGACGGTTCAAACTGTGGAACCACTCTCATGTGGGTACTATGGTTAGCCTATTACATCAGCTGTAGCCCTTCTTAGTATTTCAAGTGAATACATCTGTATTGGCCCAGTTTAAGAATCATCCTGATTACGATGCACCCTTTGTCATAGAGCAATGTTCTCTGCCCCTCTGCGCTGTGCTGACACCTAACCGAGCCGGACGCAGCGATGCGTACCCTTCTTATTGATAACTATGACAGTTATACATACAATTTATTTCAAGTAATTGCTGAAGTGGATGGAGGTGTGCGCTGCAGGGCGAGGACTTGGGCGTTTCCGCTGTGTACTTTGCTGCGATGTTGTTAGACGTAGTGAGCTCCCTATTAATCGGCAATTTAGGACGCCGCCGCGCCTGGTCGGCGCATGTGTGTGGCGTGCTCAGACACCTTGCTCAACCCACGCGCAGAGATACCTCTGGTCTGCTACAATGATAAGATTTCATTGGGCCAAATTGTGTCTATGGTCGAAGCTGGTACAATTCACAGCATCGTCATATCGCCTGGCCCCGGCACGCCGAGTAACCCCAGCGACATAGGTACGTCGCCACGGCTGCATCACCTGGTGTCTTCATACGCTGTCCTCCTCCCCCATCCTCGCACACCACCTGCACCACAGCTTGCTGCTGGCCGGCCACCTCGTCCCATGCAACGAGCGTGGGCTTCACGCCCACACATGTACCCATGAAACGCCAACCCTTGCTGCAAACCCTCCGCAGGCGTTTGCCTGGATGTACTGCAGCACCTGCCCCAGGTGCCTATCCTGGGCATATGTCTGGGCCACCAGGCGCTAGCGCTGGCGCACGGGGCCGCCGTGGTGGCGGCTCCGGAGCCGGTGCACGGCCGCGTGAGCCGCCTGCGACACAGCGGCCACAAGCTCTTCCGGGACATTCCCTCGGGGGAGGGGTTCGAGGTGGTCAGGTGGGCTCGTGGGGGGGGGCACCTGACAGGGCGGAAGGCCGTTGGGCAGGGAGGTTGCAGGCTGATCTGACCCACATGGGCCTGGAGGTGTCCAGGTTGGAGCATGGCTCTTGATGAATGAAGCTTGCAGAATGTCAGCCTCGAGAAAGAGGGCTCTGTGGAGAAGGCATTGCTTAGGTGGATTACCGATTGCTGCTAAGGCATGCCGAAGACGATCTTCCTCCCCTCCCTCCCTCCCTGCCCGCAGGTACCACTCGCTGCTGGTGGACGAGCGCTCGCTGCCCGCCTGCCTGCAGCCCGTGTGCTGGACGGCGGGAGGCCACTGCGCGGTCAAGCTGGCGCGCGACGAGGCGGCCCCCGCGCCTGCGCCAGCAGCAGCTGAGGGCACCCCTGAGGGAGGGGATGAACACGCAGCCCATGAAGCCGGCAGGCCACAACAGCACCAGCACCACCAGCAGCATGGGTTACAGCAGCCTCAAACCCAGCAGCGGCACCAGCAGCAGGACCCCTCAGGCGTCTGCAGCACCTCCTCGCCCCCCTCCTCATTGCTGATGGGTCTGGCGCACCGCTCCCGGCCGCACTACGGGGTGCAGTTCCACCCCGAGTCGGTGGCCACGAGGTACGGCATCGCGCTGCTGCGGAACTTCCGAGATCTGGCGGTACGGCACATCCGGCAGCACGGCGGCCCGGCGGCGGCGCAGCTGCCACCAGCCAGGTAAGGAAGCCCGGGCTGCCTAGTATGGCCGGAGCCTATGCGGAGGTGAGGAAACATTTGGAGAGGAGGGCACTAGCCGTAGGGGCCTTGACGTGGGTAGTGGAAGTTGGTATACGGCTCGACGCTCAGCTTCCCACCTTTCGCCCTTTGGCATCCCACTTTCGCATCCCACCTCCCCAGGCCTGTATGCGACATCGCAGGGCCGCCGGGTCGCCTGCCCGCGCTGCCCGCCTGGCCCTCCCCCTCGCACCAAGCGGGCGCCCCGCTGCGGCTGGCGTGGGTGCGGCTGCGGGGGCTGCTGGCGCGGCTGCCGGGCGGCAGTGAGGCGCTGTTTGAGCTGCTGTACGGATGGGGGCACGACACGTGGTGGCTGGACAGGTGGGTGGGGGCCGGGAGGGAGGGTGGGAGCGAGGGATGTAGGGGAGGGAGGTTGGGGCGGCTGCAACCACGTAGCGAGAAGGGAAGGGAAGGGCAGAGCTTGGGTTGCCACAGGAGGGTAGTTACCCTGTGTCCCTGCTGCAACCGGTTGGCTGGAGAGCGTGCAACCATGCCATGCCGTTCCCCGGCTGGTGGTGGCGGCCTCATCGCCTGACTGGCCGGACTGACACCCCGCCCTGCCCTCTGCCACCCCGCCCTGCTCCCTCAGCGCCGCCAGCGACCGCGGGCGCTTCTCCTACATGGGCGGTCGCGGCGGCCCGCTGTGGCGCAAACTCACCTACAAGCTACCACCACCACCGCAGCAGCAGCAGCAGCACCAAGAGCAGCAGCAGCCACAGCACCCGGCTGCGGATGCCCAGCTTAGCTCCAGCACTGCAAGCCTGCCAGCGGCCCTGACTGCACCACCACCACCAGTACCACCAACACCGCTACTTGAGCAACCCGAGGGCCGTACGGCCGGCTGCACAGGCGCCGAGGAGGCGTCGCAGCCGCCAGGCCCTCTCTCCTCTCCCCCCAGCGCTGACGCTCCGGCGTCCCCGCCCGCCGCTCTTTCTGCTGAACCACCGCGCACCTGCTATCACGACCAACACCAGCCGCACCCACAGCACCACAACCAGATAGCAACCGGGCGGAGCTGCGGCACCGCTTCCGCCGCATGTAGCCGGGGCCCTAGCGGCACCTGCGGTAGCAGCAGCACCGCTGGCGCCGGTGGAGGCTGTAGCTGTAGAGGTGGCAGCAGCGACGGCGTCGCACCCTGCACACCCACCTCCGCCTCCTGTTCCTCCTCATCCTCCTCCTCCGCAGCCACCGTCCCCTCATCAAGCCTCGCACTCTCCTCCTCCTCCACATCCTCCTCCACCTCCACCGCACCCCAACCACACCCCACCTCCCGTTCTCCCCCCACCTCCACTCCCCCTCCTCCTCCCCTCCCGCCCGGCACACTCACCCTCGAAACCCCGGACGGCCGCACCACCCGCCACCCCGCCCCCTCCGGCCTGCTCGCCTACCTGCAGCACCTCCTCGCCCGCCAGCGGCTGCTAGTAGAGCCCCATGCAGCCGCGCAGCTGCCCTTCAACTTCTGGGGCGGCCTAGTGGGCTATCTAGGCTACGAGCTGAAGGCGGAGTGCGGGGCGGCGCACGCGCATGCAGCCACCACCCCGGACGCGGTGCTGTACCTGGCTGACCGGCTGGTGGCGGTGGACCATGCGGAGGGGGAGGTGTTCTTGTTGGCGCTGTACGACAGCGGGGAGGAGGAAGACAGGGAAGGGGAGAGGGAAGGAGGAAGGGGGCAGGCTGGGGAGGAGCAGGCGCGGGCGTGGCTGCAGGAGACGCAGAGGCGGTTGGAGGAGGCGGCTGAGGGGGTTGCAGCCGAGCGGTGTTCCGGGCCGGGGCATGGCAGATCGGAGCCACGTCCACAGGCTGCTGAGGCTGCTGCCGGGAGCTGCATGCAGCCGGGATGCCAGCGGAGCTGCTCATCACACCCCGCAGACTGCACCACCTCCTCGTCCTACTCCTCCAACTGCTGCTGCTGCCACCCCACGCCCTCCTCCACAGCCGCTCCTCCCACTGCTGCGGTTACACCCCAACCCCAGTCTCCCTCCTGCCTCCTCCACCCAGCCCAGCACCCGCAAGCGCCTGCAACTGTGACGTCCGCAACCCCCCCGCTCCCTCCCGCCTCACCCCTCCCTGCGCCTCCTGCCTCCTCGTCCCGCCCTGTGGTTCCCTTCCGTCTGGCGCACGGTCGCGAGGCCTACCTGCGCAACGTGGGCAGCTGCCAGGCGGCGCTGCACGCGGGGGAGAGCTACGAGGTGTGCCTCACCACGGCGCTCACACGCCCCGCCGCACTGCACCCTCCGCAGCTCTACCGCACGCTGAGGAGGCTGAACCCGGCGCCGTACGCGGCGTGGCTGCAGTGTGGGCCGGCAGGTGGGTGGGAGGGAGGGAGGGCTGAAGGCTGCATGTGAGGTGGGTGAGGTGTAGGGTGGGTCAGTGTGCCGCGCTGGGTGACGGGACACTTGCGATGGTGAGGTGCCGGATCCTCTCCGACAACCCAACCAACCACACACATGCTGCCGGCCCCCTCCGTCACTGCCGCGTCCGTCCATAGCGACCCTATGTGCTCCCTCTCCTCCCTCCCCCTCGGTTTACGGTACGCAACGATTCGGTAAGTAATTTGAGATGCATGCTTCTAGGCTAGTGGCTCCGAATGCGCTCACTGCATGAGTCGAGATATGGGATTGGGACTCGTTGTTTCACTTATATACTTTTTTCCCTCCCCCTCCCGCAGGACCCACCATCTGCTGCTCCTCCCCGGAGCGCTTCCTGCGGGGCGACCGGGGCGGGCTGCTGGAGGCGCGGCCCATCAAGGGCACCGCCGCCAGGGTGGCGGCCGACCCAGTCGCTGACGCCGCTGCGGCCGCGGAGCTGGCGGCCTCTGAGAAGGAGCGCGCGGAGAACCTCATGATTGTGGACTTGCTGCGGAATGACCTGGGTCGCGTGTGCGAGGTACGGTAGGCGGGGCACTTTGAGAAGGACGTGAGGAGGGCGGTTGGTCTGGGTAATTTAGCCGTCGGCAGTTAAGGGAGCCAGGAGCCAGGGCAAAATGGGGGTGTGGACACGGGTTGTGAACCTGTCGCCGCATGTCCTGTTAGCAGTGGCTAAGCTAAGCTTGTGTTTACCAACGGTGCATGTTGTGTTCCCGCCCGCAGATCGGCAGCGTGCACGTGCCGGGGCTGATGGACATCGAGTCGTACGCCACGGTGCACCAGATGGTGTCCACCGTGCGGGGGGTGCGGCGCGAGGGCATGAGCGTCGTGGACTGCATCCGGGCGGCCTTCCCGGGCGGGTCCATGACAGGTAGGAGGTGGGGTGAGGAAGGGGAGCGGCAGGAAGGGGCATGTGTGAGGGGAGTTGATGTGGTGCTGCCGGTGCCTCGGTAGCAGAGCAACGGCTGCACAGCTAAGGGCGTCCTATGATACTGTTGTGGTCCACGTGGATAAATACGTTGTTCAGATGCAAATGCCAAAGGTCTGACAACTTCCACACACCCGTTCCCCCCGCTCCCTTCCCCCCCGTCTGCCCCCAGGTGCTCCCAAGGTGCGCACCATGCACATCATCGACGCCCTGGAGGGCCGAGCACGCGGGGTGTACTCGGGCTGCATCGGCTTCATCTCTCTCAACGACACCTTTGACCTCAACATCGTCATCCGTACAGCCGTCATCGAGGGACCGGAGGGCGCGCACGCATTCCAGAGCACCACTACCAACCCCAGCCCGGCGGTTCCCGCGGGCGCGGCGGAGGGGCCGGGTGATGCACCGGCGCGCAGCATGACCATTGGTGCGGGTGGTGCCATCGTGGTGCAGTCGCAGCCGGTAGCGGAGTATGAGGAGATGAGGCTGAAGGCTAGTGCATTGTTGCGAGCAGTGGGATCGTGTGAGGGTGGCGGGCCGCCGGTACCCGTCGTGGAGGGGTGAGGAAGGCGCGTGTGGGGGGGGGATACAGCAGCTGCGGCGGCGCTGAGTGATTGGCAGGATGGTCATGGGCTCATGGCGCCGTAGTTGCATAGTCTAGGGGAGGAGGGGTTATTAGGCATCGCAAGGCGTACAGGGCAGGGCTTGCCGTGAATGTCCAAAACAGGCAGATATATATGGGTATACGGTAGGTTTCAGCTGCGAGATGGCTGTGCAGGAAGGGTTTCTTATGGCACCCGGCTAGGATGCTGAGTTGCATGGTAGTAGCTCTGCCCCATGCATTAACAATCAACAGACAAGCAATGAAGACGGCTTCTGGTCTGGAACTCTTACACGCACCACCCAGCCCATCTGTAGAGGGCGGGTTGCTGCTCCGATAGTACCGTACATACACTCTCTCACACCTCGTACCCTCTAGCACGCCCATCATGCACACTCCCCTCCAGCACCCACTCCCCTGTCCTTGGCCCTTCCGCTCGATGTTACCACTCAAGCCGAACCACCACCCGCATCCCCACCTTCCTCTCCTCCTCCACCTACTCCTATCGCCCGCATCTGCTCCGCGAACCGCTCCTCCGCCCGCCCGTACAGCGCCACGTCATGCGCGTTCGCCGCCTCCAGCTGCCGCAGTACCTCCGGCTCCACCGGCTGGTAGCTCTTGGCGTTGTTGTGGTAGTGCAGGTTCTTCGGCCGCTTGTCCGTGGGCAGCCCGAGCGCACGCTGCACGTACAGCATGGTGTCCTGCACGCGGCTGGTAAGGCCCACCACGCAGAACTGCTGCAGCCGGGATACAGCCTTGTCGTACATGGCAGCGTCTTCGTACACCGGTGGCGCACCGCCTTTGCAGCAGAACTCCCCCGCCAGCACGCGCGTCATGCGGTTGCGGGAGATGGCGACACCCAGCGGGTTGTGCACGAAGTAGTCCATGATGGAGGAGTTGAGCGCCAGGGGTTCCTCGTGGCGCCGGAGCATGTGGTAGTGGCTGACGGCGCGGCTGGAGGGCTCGCGCAGGTTAACGATGAGCAGTGTGGTGTTACGCAGGTGCTGCGGGATGGCTTCGATGATACGGAAGTCGTGGTGGCTGGACGTCAGCCGGCAGCCACGGCTAAAGTGCTTCCCCGTGACAATGGAGTCTTCGTAGTAGCGGTAGTTCCTGGCGTTGCAGGTGGTGTTACCGCCGTCGGTGCCAGCGGGCTGACATTGGTACGGCATGTGCCTACAGGCCAGGGGTTGCGGGAGAGCAGCATGTGTTTAGGGCACCTAAGGTATGGACAGTACTTCGAAACATGGTTTAGCAGGTATTCTTAGAGAGAAGCCTTGCCAATGAGCTGTGGTTAAGGGACGATGTGGTGCCGTACGTAACTCTGTGTCGTGTATCATTAGAGCAAACACAGCGCAACTCGCAACCCGGTTATAAGCAGCGGGTATAATGCGGGGACTCGTAAGGGACATACACATGAGGACGGATGCTCACGTGCCCTGGACATGGCGATGGACAAGGTCCCCCAAACGTTCACACCCATACGACCCGGACAAGCTGCACCCAGGTCGCCCATAAGCAAGCCGTATCGACAATCCCGAAGAACCCCTCACAGTGTATGAAGTAGCAAGCGCTGCCGCTGATCAAAGCAATCACCGTTAACGCACTTGAGGTAGTTGCATATGGCTCCATGCTTGAAGCGTCTTTTGACGGCTGACTGAAGGAAGGTCCTCAGGGAAGTTCCACCCGTTTTCTCTATATGTAACAGTAACACATGCTCTACAGTTTTGGGGCAGCAACCCGGAAGCTCGGGACGGCAGTAGTTTGGCTTCATCGGTGACTCTGCCCCTAATGTCGTTTCCAAACATAGTATCCGGATCCAAGCGGTAATTATAAAGAGGAAAACCTGTGTTTGAGCGCGGCTGTGCATGGAGCTGCTGAAAGTAGAACACCGGGAAAGATAGCATGCGAGAAAGATACCGGTACCGGTAGCATTCGAACCTAACTATAACATTTTGCCGGGTATAACAAATGAGGAAAGCAAATTACAAGAAGGAAAATAAGCGTAATAACTACAGAACTGCAATCCGGCATTGATGTGTTTCAGGTAGAAATGTATATATTCACAGTAAGTGCGTTGCATGTCAGCCCAACAAATACGAACTGATCATCAACATTAGCATAAACGGTGTCGTATACTATCTCCTACGTACGATCGAGGGCCATGCCAACTGCCGCATTTTCACATACCAGCGTTCGAGGTTATGGCGAGTTATGAATGAAGAATGATACCCCAAATGGACTCCGAGCTGCGCCCCTTCCCCCCTCATAGGAGCACCTCCCACTGCAGCCACGCATCGAAGTCGCGCACTTTGGCAAAACACCCCCACGCAGTTGCAGCCGCCCGACATTATACACCACGCCCCCCATACGATGGCTAACATGCTTCTAATTAGTGTTGTGTTCATTAAGTCCCTGTCCTTCCGGTCCTCTTTTACTTTCCTGCCGGAGCCGCCAATCTACACCTGCCTAACCATCTGCCCAAAGCCTACCATCGCCCACAATTCCTCAATAGTAAGTATAACAAGACGACAAACGGCCATCGTGTCGTACCCTTGGTAAGCGTATCTTAATCCTTAACTGCAACTCCGCCGGCGTGTCCCCCATGGTTCCGCTCGTGTTGAATGACTAGGAAACGCCTGCGGGCAGCCGCCTGCAACATAACCGCAAGGCCCAACCCCAAGGTGTGCGTGATCAGCCCTTGTCCGAAGGCCAGCACCGTATACAGGGCAGCAGAGGACCAGTCCGCAGGCTCCCAGGCCGCCAACGCCATCACAGCGGTCTCTCCCACAAGCGCAATAGCCGTTGACGCGATGTAAGCCTCCGTGCGGAGCTGCATGGATGCAGGGAAAGGGCATCGGGGGCGACGGTACCAGGTAGGCATATCGGTAGTCCTTGGCAATTCAGCAGCAGGTACTCTAGGTTACTCGGGGAGTGTCGACTCCGTAGAAGCGAACAACAAGATCTTTATGATGAAGGGAAGCCGACACCCCTGCATCCCTGCATTTAAAAGCCATCAACACAACTCAACCTTCCCTTCTGCTCCCCTGCCAGCTGGCCCCATACGTATACCCGCCAGCTCATACCTGCACCGCCATGGGACGCATAGCCACGTTGTACACCACATCCAGGCGCAACTGCACCAGCCGGCGCCAGGTGTGCGGGAGCTGCAGCAGCCCCGCTGCCATCGCCAACATAAGCAGGGTGCGCACTGCTTCCGTAACGATCGCCCTGCCCTCACGCGTCACCACACACCACCGCAAGGCGGCGCGCACAGGCCTGGCACCCACGTCGTCACTAGCCTCCTCCGTTTCCGGCCCCTCTTTGCGCCCCCCCGGTACTGCTCCGCGACCCGGCAGAAGCCACCGGTGCAAACCTGCCGCGTAGCCCGAGCAAAGCGACGCCGCGGCCAGAAGGAGCAGGCGCAACCCCAGCAGCAGTACCCCTACTGCATGCGTGGCAAGGAATGACCGGCCCTGCTTGCAGACCTGTGTTACGCTGTAGGCAGCGTAAAGGGCCACGAGCAGGTGGTCCGCCAGGATAGTGCGCCGAGCCAGCCACGACTCGTAAGACGCCTCCAAGGACGGCAGGGCAAACGCAAGCGAGGGCGTCACATAGTCCCGGCCGACCTGCAACAGGCCCTGCGGCACAACGCGCCTCCAAAGCCCGGCAGCGACGCGCCAGATGGTCCCGATGCCCAGCATGACTGCCGCGTCAACTGCGCGCTGCCTCCCAACCATGGCGCTGGGGCTCCGCGCCATGGCTGCGAACTCAGCTGGCGACGTAAAGCACCCCTGTTGCGGCGCACCCCTGCCGCGCCATGCTGCGTGTGCTGCTGGCCAGCGCACCTGCACCAGCGCTGATGCGCTGCTGGATTCCGGCGCCACCGCAACAAGGTGCAGCGGCGTCAGGCCAGAGGGGCAGCTTGCGTTCCAGTCCAAAGCCACACCCCGCTCTTCAAGCCACCACGCCAGAGCCGCCACTGCACCAAAGGTGCTGCTACGCGCCGCATGATGCAGCAACGTCATGCCCTCGGGGCAAACGTATCCGGCCACTAACGAAGCGGGCATGCCGAAGCGCTCCTGCAGCACGTCCAGAACATGTACGGCGCAGGACCCCAGCCCTGAAGACAAAAAGTACTGCAACAGGTTGAAGCCCATGCGGCTGCCAATAGTCGCTAGTCCCCGCACATGCTCACGGCGCTGCTGCATGGCCCACAGCTCTGCTGCCGCGTCCTCCGGGGCCGCCGTACTCGTACTCATGGTGGCTGCATCCGCGTCAGTGGGGAAGCGGTCCAGCCCCGACTCGTTTAGAATGATGTGGCAGGGAACGGGTACAGATCCCGGTATGCACGGCTGTGCCATTGTCCAGGCGATCACGGTGCCGGCTTGCATCATGCTGGGAACGCAAGCGCCTGGGGTAGCTGCCGTCGATGCCCCATGGCAGTGCGCCAGAGAAAATGAGACGTCCAGAAACGTCCCAAAGTCCCGCAGCACATTCTGTACCACCGCGTTGTTGGGCCCTTGCTTGCTGGCAGCAGCAGCTCGCACTTGCTGCAGCTCGTTGGCAGCAGCGCGGTTAGGCAGCAAAAGGACGTTCGCTGCCATTGCGCTGTGAACACCTTCCCGGCATAGCTCCACCTGGACGAGTCCCTCGCGCCTTGTCGGCATGAAGGCTAGATGGCAAGCCCCTAGTCCCTGCGTTTCCCCGCCCGTGCCCCGCTGCTGCTCATGTACAGGTGCTGGGGAGCCCTGTCCCTGCTGGCACCCCACGGCTGCTGTTACAGCACCCTCCGCTAGCTGCTCACGGCAAGTCCTGAGCCCGCCGCCGCGGTGCACGTGGTGCCCCAGAAGAGCCACCGGCAGGAAGCTCCCCTGTTGCCGCGCCGTGATCTGCAGCCCAGCGCCCTTGGTTCCCGACCCGGCGGCAGCCTCCACAGCAGGATCTGCGTGCCATGAGCACGCCACCACAACTTCCCTCGCTTGCTTCGGCTGCTGGCACTTGCGCAGCCTGGCTGCGACCCCACACGCCCCTGCCAAACAATCGTAGCTGCCACTCGTGCAGACTACCTGGGGCCAAACGGACACGTCGGGCGGAAGCGCAGGCGGGGGTCCGGCCTCTGCACGCATGCGCTGCAGCTCCTGTTCTAAGGCACCCAGGCCGCTACCAATGAGTGCCGTGTCAGCAGCTGACATGTGCACCTGACTGACGTTGGGACCGACCTGCACCGTGAGCGTACGGCCAGCCAGCAGACCCTCGTCGTTGATAGCACGCAATAGGCGCTCCTGCACCACCGCGCCAGCACCCTCAACACCGCTGCAGCGGCTGGAGCCAGGCTCCCCACCCTCTACAAGCTGCGTGCCTTCTACACCACAGCCCATATGGCGTCCTACACCTGCCAGGTCCGAGCCACCAGCGCCAGTGCCCTGCCCGGGGTTGCCGTTGCTGCATGAAGCTGCGACGCCACCTCGGTCTGCGACGCCAGCTCCTCCAGCAGGCACGCTGAAGAAGACGTCCATAATGAGCTGCACACAGCCCCTCCGGATGTAGGTGAAGAGCACGAGCGCTGCCTCCCGGCGCCCATTAATGCGGAGCTTAGAGTCGCAGCCTGCCGGCAGGTCCTCTGGAGAGCGGTCCGGAATCTTAACGCTCACACGCACTTTACGTGCGGCAGAGGTGTAGCTGCTGTTGCTGCTGCCAACGGCGTTGCTGCCAGGGTTGCCGCTGCCGCTGCTAGAAACCAGTCGCCGGGCCAATTCGTAGGCCTCCATGCCCCCAACTACTGGGGCCGCCGGTTGTAATGAAAGAGCCGGCTCGCCACTTAGCCGCTCCAGACGTACAGGCTCCAAGTCCTGCAAGATGGCAAATGAGCCAGCGAGAAGTAGAACTTCGGAACTGAGGCAATACACGCGTCTAACGAAGAAACAGCGGGGCCGCAAGACGACACCCGGCCAGTCGCGTGCTCTGAACAGCAAACCGACTACCCACCTTTTCCGAGTCCGCAGTGATGCGCGAGAGGATCGTCGGATTGTTGCAGCATACCATGGAGCTATGTACAGGCGTTTGTGAAGACAGCAGGTTGTAACTGACTTCCGCCTTGGTCGTTTGGGAGCGGGGAAACCACGCTCGGGCAAGCTTCTGTAGCCAACCCAAGTTAGCGCTTTGCTGGAAGTGGTTAACGAAAGCTGAAATTGAGAGCCTAAGGAGTACGTATGCCGCGGCAGCGCGGTGGGGAGGCTCGTCCGTCAGGGTGTAGACTGCGCTCCAAACGGCCGCTGTGCACAGGACGTCAAAAGCAGCAGCCGGCACCATCAAGTGGACTGGAAACTGCAACACAAAGATTACGTAGTGCCTTCATGAGCGCTCAACATAAAGTGAGGCAGGTTAGCGGACGCACCGTACCTCGTCACAAGTGTAGACAAAGGCTTCAGCCATAGCCCGCCAATACCAGCGTTGCCAACAAGCTTCATTTAACCATGTCGCTGTCGCTGGGACAAAACGCTCTGCCAGTACTTGTGCGACGAGGCCCAGTTTGGGAGCCACGCGGGAGGCGCAGCAAAGGTATCTGGTACATCTGACCCGCAAAGTGCTCGACAGGATCCAGCAAACATGGCATGCCACGGCTGCAGCAAATCCCCAGTCGCGAGCAACGAGAGACGCTGGCCCAATGAAGAAAGGCCGTCGCTCAACTTGCTGTGCAGACGCATACGATGCAGCGCGTGCTTGTAGGAACACTAGCAGGCATCCAAGTCCTGCTCTAACCACGTCTAAGCTGGGCGAAGAGCGTGGTAACCACATGACGTGAGACCCTGGCTTTTATTTATCAATTGTAGCCATCAGATATATTATGAGGCATCCTTAGGACCACTCCCTGTCATCGGATCTACGCGCACGTCGGCGCTGACCTTAAATGCCTAATTACATTACTGTACTGTTAAACCTAGTATGCAACGTTGTTTTGCTACTAGTGCGTAATCATTAGCTGTAAACAGAGCTTGAGGACGTAAAAAAGACGTGGCCAAACGCTGCCTTCCGTGGCATGGTTTTTGTACGACGATTAAAGCAAGCAGTGAAATGCAATACTTTTGGGCGAAATGTGTGTTTAATTTCTGGAATAAGCTTGTTAAGGCGGAAGGCACTCTAGCTAATGCGGCTTTTCGGGATAACGTTGCCCTAGCGGCTTCTGGTAGCTTCATGGGTTCGTGCTGGGTGGCGCAAGTGCTTAAGGTGTGCCGGAAATTAGGGTACGATTGGAGGGAAGGGCAGCCAGCTGCTGGTACCCCGCAAGTTATAGCCCCCTGGTTAGCTAATCGTGAGCTGCCTGTGTAGCAGCTACTGGCTGCTTTGCGTAATCGGTTTTTGGCTAGCTGGGGAAGCGAGCGGCTTGTGGTGGCCCCCCGATCCTTTGTGTCGGATGGTGGGCAACCCGGAGTGAAGATGTGTCGTTACAAGCATTGGATGGGATCTCCCTTCAGCATGATGAGTTGGCCCCCTTATGCCAAGGCGTATATCCCCAGGCATCACCTGTCTTCCCTTATGCGTTTTCGCATTGGCTGTTGGGATATTGCGGTGAATCGCCCTGGTAACGGGGCACAGCGCGTAGCTAGAGAGCAGCGTTTATGCCGTTTTTGTGATACGGACGTCGTGGAGGATGAGTTCCATGTCCTGATGGAATGCGTATGTTACGCTCCTTTGAGAGCGGCCGTTGGCTTTCCTGATTTGCCGCACCCCACCGATGCAGATATGGCTAATATTATGTGGAATTTTGATGTTGCTAAATGGGCGAGCCTTCTACGTGCTATTTATGCGTGTAGGTCCAGTCGCGCTTAATAGGTGACCACCTTCTACCACGTTCTGTCTCCCCGCGAACTTCTGTTTGTTATTGCACCTCTTGACCGGAATGGTTCGTGAGGTTGTGCGGTAGGGCGGGAGGGCCCTACACCGTACCATGTAATCGTAATCGTAAGCAGTGAAAACAGTTACAAATTCTACTCCGCTAAATGCCTTTCGGTAGCCAATTTAAAACCTGGAGGTCTGGTGCTCACTTCCCATGGGCCTTTCTTGCTAACGGCGGTTAATCTCTCTTTGCTAGCTTAAAGCGAAATTAGCCTAACGCCCATGATGCATCTGTCCATCCTGGCCCAAACTTACAACTTGAATAACGTAGCGGACTATGGTATGTTTAGAATGCCCACGTCCTCTGGCTCTCATCGAGAAAGTGATCGGTCGTGCTCGGGTACAGCGCATCCTGCCATGTTTCTCTCAACGCGTGGATGCTTATGCATAAGCAACAAAGTATATAGGCTTTACGCTGACCGGTACGCGCTTTGGGGTGTCAACATTTGACGGTTGATACCGGGCTCATGGCCGGTCGAAGCGCAAGCCACGGAACGCCATGGCCGTCTTCCTGCCATGCCCAGCAAAGCCCACGCCCCTGATACACCTGCTATGCCTAATGCCTTTTCGGGTGGCGCCCATGCCGTGTGCAGGCAGCGGAGCGCTAGAGTACCGCACGGAGCACACACACGCTCACCAGGGTAAACAGAACCGCACACGCACACCGTATGCTATCATAGGGCCTGCAAGGACCATATCAGAGAAATACCCTATCCGCCGCTACTAACGAGTATCTGGCCTACCGAGTCTCTGTATCCCATCTTCCGTTTCTAACAAAATCCAGACATGCATGAACACCACGAGATAGGCGCTTAGGCCTGACAGACAGCGGGTTTCCGGTTGCCTGTCCTCCTAGACCAGGTTTAAGCATGTCCTCTAGAGCAAGGTAACACTGTGACAGTCACATACGTCGTGTCCAAGTATACAACAATAACCACCATTCCAGCCCTTACTCTACAGGGCGTTCAAGTGCCTACAGACCAACCGCTGACCCAGCTATGCATAACTAGAGCTCTACCGACGCTTACACATCTGCACTCCGGCAGGCATTCACGCTGTGTCTATGCAGGGTCCATGTACAGTTGTACACCTATCATGCACGTCCACATTACACACTACACAATCTAGCCGCATCTTGTATGCGGGACAGCGTAAGAAGGACATAAATACCTTGAGCCCCCGCCAACAACATCTTGCGAAAGCAGTACCAAACACAACTACCCATGCTGAGCGTGTGGCGTCCAGCCAAATAAATCCTTCCGGTTGCGGCCCAGCCCATCTTTCAATCCGCCTCTGCGTCGCTGCGGTGTCAGAGCCGCCCAACTGCCTGCGGCTCTCCGATCTGCGACAGCACGGGGTCCGACTGCTGCATCCACTGCAGCCCCAACTGGAACAACGCGGCGCGCTGCTCCGGCGTGAGCTGCGTGCGCAAAAGGCTGCGGCCCGGGGGCTGGTTGGCCGACGACTTCATGAGCTTGCGAGCACCTAGCGTTGGGAGGAAAGGAGCAGGTAAGGGGTGCAGCGAGGGTGAACAACATGGTCGGGAAGGGGCTAACAAAAACAATACCGTTATGCCACTCTGGCGGCAGAGGACATGGGTACCTCGGCTGAAGGCGTGGAACCAATCGTATGCTCAGCGTCTCTGCGCCATCTGTGGCCCCAATTTATCATGCGGCTTCCCTCCATGCCGCAACAACACCCAACGCTACCGATCGTTCCATCCTAGGCGCCTCCGCCCCCCATGCCTTGCCAACTCCAAACCCTCACCAACCCACCCGCCGACTTGGCGCCCTGCAACGTCGCCTGCATGAGCGGACTCGTGTCGTTAAAGTGCTGCCGCTCCGTGCCACGCCGCTGCGGGTGCCGAGTCACCGCCTCTATTGCAGAGGGCGTGCTCTGCAGCAGGCTCAGCGCGCGCTCCAGGTAACCATGCGGATCGAACAGCGCCCGCAGCGCCGCGTCCATGTCCTCTAGCGTCTCCGCACCCTCCGGCATGCGCGTCCACAGCGGGTAGAGGGTGCTGAACAGCATGTTGACGCATAACCGCATGGCAAGCAGCAGAATGGGCAGCGTGAAAAACATGCCGGAGCGGCTCTGACGTAGCGCCTTGAAGCGCGAGGCGAACTCCACATGCAGCGCAAAGAGCCGCTCGCGCTGCAGCGCCGCCGTGTCGGCAGCGTCAAGGGAGGCGTGGATGGAGCGCGCGGTGCTGGCGGCGGAGGCGAGTGCGAATGAGGGGCTGTGGCGCAGCGCGCGGCCGACGCGGGGTGGCAGACCGGGGATGGGCGAGGAGTCGAGCTCTGAGGAGCTGGCGGGTGAGATTGCGCGGCGGGCGTTGAAGGCGGGAGAGGAGGCTCCGGAGCGGGAGCCAGGCAGGTTGAGGGGACCTAGCAGGGAGGAGGAGGGGCCGCGTAGAGGCAGCTGGGGTGGGGAGATGGGGCGGCTGTCGTGCTGGGGACTGCTGGGAAGGGAGTTGTAGTGCGGCGCGGCGGCAAAGGAAACGCGTTGGGTGTCTGTGAGGCTAGGACCAGTTTGTTGTTGTTGCTGCTGCTGAGATGGATACTGCTGGTGCTGTTGACCGGGGGTGTACGGCGTCTGTAACCGGTCGCCACCCATGCTATCGCTCCGGCTGCGGTACCCCATGGTCGTCTCAGCACTACGCAGCGACCGAGGTCCACCTGCGGAGCTGGAGCCGTGTGTCTGCCGCTGCTCCAGCTTCTGCCGTACATAAGCTTGGTAGCCTAGGTCGTACTTTTGCAGGTTGGTCATTTGTTGAATGCTAATGTTGCTGGGCAATTGCATGCCGCCCCGAAGGGTGGCGCTGCCGGTGGCACTGCGCCGGCTGCTGCCTGCACTGCCGCCGTCGGCCGCCGCACTGCCTCCTCCCGGCAGCAGCCCGCGCTCCCCCAGGATAGATTCCTGGCGGCGGCCCTGGCTGGAGCGCGCAGCCTCCCGAGAGCTTAGCCTTGCAGGTGGGAAAGTAGGGGAGAGGTGGGATAAGGTATAAGACCGCGGGCTGAAGGCGAGGAAAGCAGACAGCTCTGTTGGACTGCAAGGAACCTTGCCCACTTCGCCTGCTCTAGGTGAACGCCGGTGAGGTGTCAAGCATCACGTGCGCACGGTGCCGTAACTCCTCCACCAACAGACCCATTTACCATACCCCATCCCATTCACACCTGGGCTCCAGGTGTGCCGGGTAGGCTGGGTGTCCGCGTATGAGCTCCTCGTGCAGGAAGTTGACCAGCGTGATGAGCAGCTTCACCATGCCCTCGCTGCTCAGCTCCTCCTGCGTGCGCCGGAACTCCTCCGCCGTCAGCCGCCCCTTGAGCGCCTCGGGCGCCTGGTGCCGGTGCCAGTCAGCCAGGGCGGCCTCCAGCTGGGCCTGAGGGGAAAAAAGAAATTCCAAAGTGTGGTGTGATAAGGGGAGGAGGAGGAAGGAGAAAAGGAGGGAAGGCATGCAGGTAGTTCTGGGTAAGGCGTACGCGTAGGGCCGCTCGCCGACGGGGGACCAAAGCTTTGACTTAAACGAGCTCGATGGCCCCCCGTGTAGGACTAGAGCCTTGGCCTTAAAGAGCTCGATGGCCCCCCCCCATCGGGCAATACTCGCACGTTACGCCCGCTCGCCTGCCCCACACCTGCAGCGTGAGCACCACCTCTGGCGTCACCAACAGCGGCTGCAGCAGCTCCTCCAGCACCTCCAGCTTGGCAGGGTCGTACGACAGCCCGCCGTACTCCCGAGATGGCTGGCTGCCAGGCCGCCGCCCGCCGCGCTCCGACCCCGCCCGCCGGCCGCTCGCCGTCAGGCTGCTGCCGCAGCTGCCGGTCTGCGCAGCCGAGGTGGTCGAGGGCCGCCGCAAGCTGCTGGAAACGCTGCCGCCTCCGCCTGTCGTACGAGTATCGTCGCCGAAATAGAGTTTATGTCGTCGAACGGCGTAGAGTGCAGCGATGTTTTGTCGTGCGAGTGTGAGGTCCATGTTGAAGGGGTGTAGGTAGCGTGCGGCCATGTCTAGGAAGTCCGTGCCGCCGGGCCCTCGGGACACCTGCGCGGCCGCCCCGCCGCCGCTGCTGGAGGCGGTGTTGTCGCTGCTGCGGCTGGCAGGCCGGTGGTCGGGGCGCCCACTGGAGGAGGCGGTGGTCGCGGCCAGGACGGACTGGGGACCCTGCGGTGCGGGGTAGGCCAGTGGAAGGGAAGAAGACGTGATTTGGGTCGGACCGGCAGGGTGGAAGCCGGTGAGGTTTCCTAGACGGAGGTGGACACAGCTGCGTGGGAGGCCAGGCATGGTAAGTTGGAGGCTTTGTGCTGGAGGCGCTTATGCGAAAATTTGCTGCTACATGCTGTATAGAACCCTGTCTGGTTGCACCATTAGGTACAGATTGGCGACTTGCAGCCAGCGTGAGAAACCTTGTCGCTAGAGGCCAAGACATGCACCTGGCACACGCTGACCAGCATGCCGTACTCCTGCTGCTGTGATGGCGGGCGCCTTCCAGCTGCCACTCACCTCGTGCTCCGCCGCCCCATCTGGCCCCAGCACGCTGTTCCCAATGCCCAGCTGCAGCACCGCCGCCGGGGTGATGAAGACCGGCACCCGGTAGTGGTGCGTCACGGGGGGCACGCTGATGTGGATCTCGTCCTCCACGTGGCCCTTGGCCTGTGGAAGTGCGGGTGCAGGGCAGCAGCACTCGTTACTGGGCTACCGAGGTGGCAACAGAAGCTGTAAAACAAGTACTGGGCATAGTGGTAACACGTAGTGCATGTCTGACCGTTTCCCTCAACCCGCGATGGTCCAGGCACAGTTCGTGCTTTCGGAAAGCAACCAAGCTCTAGGTCCCGCACTGCACCTATGGAGCTGCCCCATGGTGCCCCTCGGGCCCTCTCCTCGGGCTACCTTGCCGTAAACTATCCCATCCCCGTCCGTACCCTGAGCGTCGTCTTGATGTGTGCCTCTGTGAGCGGCACATTACGGTTGACGAGCTCCATGGTCGCCTTGCTGGGCCGCACGCCCACTGACTCCAGATAGCGGGTCGCGAACTCCCGTGATACAAGCTGCGGGGACACCGGTAAGTAGAGGAGGTGGGCAGAGAGGGGTAAAGAGGAGGCGGCGGACAAGGGTTCGGAAGAACTCTACAGGCCGCCTGAGTTACCACGGGAGAGCTTGGGAGGTATACTGGCATCGGCAGCCACCCAATGCGGTATGGCAAACCCTAGATTCAAGGGGAATGCTTCATGCCGCTTTGGGCACGGCAGGGAACGCTGTCTTTGCCTTGATAGACGTTTCCACCCCTCGCAGCATGTAAGCAACGTACTCCATCAACCGTGTCCTTTCCCGCAGGCCCCCCGTCACCTTGATGTCAAGCATGCTAGCTGTGTGCCACTCACTCGCCCTCTCGACTTCCTACCTACGTGTACCAAACCCACCCACCTGCACGGTAGGCTTAAAGCTTTCCGGCTCCTCAAGCGGCCTGAGCTGCAGCTTGAAGACCGTGGGCTGTTCCGTTGACTGGGAGCCAGGGACATCGTCGGAGCGCTGAGTAGAGCTTGGGCGATTTCGCAATGAGCCGCGCCTAATACTGCTACCCGATATCGGCATGGTTCATTAAAGGGCTCTGAGGTGTACCCTTTTGATTTCCTAGGTTGCATTGGGAACCTGGATAAGGAAATCTAAATACGCGATTTTAGGTTTCATTGCCTGCCTGGGATTAAGCAATTTTAAAGCAGCAACACGACGCCGCACATGCTCCTTTACTTGAAGGAAAACATTGCTAGCACACTTGGCCCTTCAGAACGTGTTGTACGGGAAGTACGGAAACCCAGTAGGTTCTAAGACGCGCGCTTGTGCATACAAGTGCTATTCACAATCCTTCATTCATACCCGAACTCTTCCATAACCACCTGATCCATTCCTACTAATAACCTGCAAAATGGCGTCCGGTAGCTCCAAGGCTGTTATCAAGAACGCGGACATGTCCGAGGAGATGCAGGCGGACGCTGTGGACTGCGCCACGTGTGCCCTCGAGAAGTACAACATCGAGAAGGATATCGCTGCGTACATCAAGAAGGAGTTTGACCGGAAGCACAACCCAACGTGGCACTGCATTGTTGGCCGCAACTTCGGCTCCTACGTAACACATGAAACCAAGCACTTCATCTACTTCTACCTTGGACAAGTGGCTATCCTGCTATTCAAGTCGGGCTAAGCTGGCGAGGACTTGTGGCGCGCGGCCTGGGCATTATTCCCGCGCCTGGGGAGGAAGTTGGGTGCGTGTCAAGGGATAGCTTTGTACAATGTTGTATCTTAGCTGAGGGCAGTACATATGAGGAGAGCTGGCTAAGGGTGCCGCTTCGCGCGAAGTCGATCGCCCTGGCATCCGTGCGGGCGACCTTCTAGATGTTTTGAACGAATACTGAGGGATCACATGATTGTGATCTTATCTGCACTGTTGTGCTGGAACTGTTAGGGAGGTGATTTTGGGCGTTCTGACCAGTATAGTCGCTTGCGTGAGACAGGCATGACCTTTTACCTGTATCCTATTAAGCATAGCTATGATGTAACCCGCAACGTGATGTATGCTCTCGTTTGTGCCGATCCGTGACTGTCGCCCTCTTGAGGACTCGCTGCCCACATTTCAAGCGCTGGTCATACTACCTCCCGCAAGCAGGCAACAAGCTTTCTCTTTCTTTAGTGCAAAGCTTGCAAGCATTCAGCCAACAGCGTATCTTCAAAACAGCATTGTCCTACAAGCAGATAACCAGGACAGTGTAGACACTAGCCCAGAGGCGAAGCTGCTACCCAACGGCCGCAAATGTTCGACCCCATGCAACGTGGCAAGCACACCGCTCGGTGACTTAGGTACTAAGCGAACTGAGCACCGTTTGGCCAAGTACACGGACAGGCCTCGTTCCAACCCCGCAGGGCAGCTGGGGTGTCGATACCATCTGCTTACGCCGGTGCGCCTGATACTGCTACCAGCTGCCACCCATCCGGGGTTGCAATCAGACAATATGAAGAGCGCAGACCAGTTAGGCTGTGCGCATACAACCTGATCAAGGTTTCCAGTGGCCAGAATTCGTACGGTCGCCTGCTACCGTTCCAGCATCCTGAAGGCTGATGGATGCTGGAATGGTTGTTGCCACTTGTTCTTATCACTGCAGCAATAGGGAGATGCTGTTGTGATTGGGGGGCTTTCCTTCCGGGGCACGGTTGAGCAACAGCCAACTGCTGGCAACCGTTGCAACTGTTCGGCCCATCCAGTGCGTCCGCCGCGTCCAATCCCGGGCGCGTCTTAGAAAGCCCGTCTCGTTGTCGGGTTGATCCGTACTCGTATGTGCCAAATACGAATGTTAAGGCCTGCAACACTTCGTCATCGTCAAAGTAGTGATCAGTGTAAAACACTGAGGCACATTCAAACAGTAGGCGGTGCTAGCTTACTGACGGCTACATATAGGGTGGTGCCCAGCAGCTCAGGTTGCACGGCGTTTCACCTAGGATGGCCCCCGCGCCGCCCCGGATGGGCGGCGCTGCTACCCTGCTTCTGCTAGTTGCGCTTGCAGCCCTTTGCAGTGGCCCTATCGGTGAGCGGTTGTTGTGCAGTTGTGCAGTACACCCTAAACCCAACCTGCGACCTGTAGTTCTAAACACACCGACACAAACCTGCAGGTGCCACCGCTCAAGAAGTAGACCCCATAGACGGCGGTTTGCTGCGGGCACCAAATGACCAGCAAAAGACAGAGAAGGTAGGATCTTAGGCCGGTCACGTAGCGGTAATGCTATGAATCAGGTCAGCAGCTGTGCGTAAGATGTAGCCAGCATTGCAGCGTCTCATGCAGCACATCTTGATGGGACCTTGCACTGCGTCGGACGTACCTTGCCTAATACGGTATTTGATCCGCCAACAGCATGTCTCCTTACTCCCTTGAATTTCCATCATGTCCGTGATTGCAAGATGTCACATCCTGCTTTGTGCGATATTGCAGACAACGCCACAGACGTTAAAGCCAAGCACGCAGCCGCCATCGCCAAAGGAGAAAGTCCCTTCACCGCCCTCGCCCAAGCCCCCGTCGCCCAAGCCCCCCTCGCCCAAGCCCGCAGCACCCAAACCGCCCTCCCCCAAGCCCCCGTCGCCCAAGCCCCCCTCGCCCAAGCCCCCAGCGCCCCAACCGCCTTCGCCCAAGCCCCCAGCGCCCCAACCGCCTTCGCCCAAGCCCCCAGCGCCTAAGCCACCGTCGCCCAAGCCCCCCTCGCCCAAGCCCCCAGCGCCCCAACCGCCCTCGCCCAAGCCCCCAGCGCCTAAGCCACCGTCACCCAAGCCCCCAACGCCTCAGCCGCCATCCCCCAAGCCACCCTCACCGCAGCCCCCAACTCCATCTCCGCCGTCACCCTCTCCCCCCTCACCACAGCCGCCTTCACCGGTCCCTCCGCCACCCTCACCACAGCCGCCTTCACCGCAGCCGCCACCGCCACCTCCTCCGCCCCCAGTGCCATCCCCACCGCCCCCTCCGCCGCCTCCTCCTCCCAAGCAGCCCTCTCCGCCTCCACCCCGGCGCCCTGCTCGGTCGCCTCGCCCGCCCCGGCCGTCGCCGCCACAGCCAAGCCCGTCACCGCCTCGGTCGCCTCGGCCCTCACCCCCACAGCCAACCCCACCTCCGCCACAGCAGCAACCCAGTCCACCGCCGCCCCGGGTAAGGGGATCGTATGGGCCAACATGCCGTATGCGCTTCTCCCTATATGCGCCTGGGGCTAGCGGCGTCCTGACAACCCCCCTTTCACGCTGCTGCCTTGCAGCGGCCCCGGCGCTCCCCCTCGCCACCTCGCCAACCCATCCAGTCTCCCCCGCCGCCACAGACCCCCTCCCAACCTAAGCCTGGTATGTCCGGCATGGGACGTGGTGGCGCAGGCAACTGCTGTAGATATGGCCCCATACCCACCAGGGTTGGTACTACACAATTGCCCATGCTGGTGTCACCGTGTGAACATTCCCCATGGCCGTGCAGAGAAGCCCAGCAAGTTCTTCAAGCACAAGAAGTACAACATTGTGGTGTCCGGCAAGAAGTACAAGTACAACGAGGCGTACAACTTCTGCCAGCAGTACGGGTACAACATGGTGCCGTACAGCGACAAGATTGCGTACGGTGAGGGTCTTACGGCTGCCCTAGCAACTGCTTTTACCTAACTACTAGCTGCAGACATGTATGAGCCCGTTATCAATGGCCCGTTTCCTTATCTATTTCCGCTTGCAGCCAAATGCGTAAAGGATACTAGCTGATGTGACACAGCTGACACGTCCCCTCCGCCTGATGACTCGCAGAGCCCACCTACCAAGAGTGCTACGCGAGCGGTCAGGGCTGCTGGGTGTGGGGGCAGCAAGGCAACTACTGCGCGTTCGTTGACCCCCGCGGAACTGGTGGGCCCTACGCGCGTGACTGCAATGAGGAGCAGTACGTCATCTGCTACGGACAGGGCACGCTCTTGCCCTAAAACGTATGCCAACAGCAACCTATCGCGGTTTGCTATGATATGCCGTGATCTTCCGTCTTTGTAGGTCGCCGTGATTTGCCGTACCCATGCACCAGTGTTGCGATCTTGACAAATTGTGACGTTCTGCATTGCGGTTCCATGTGAAGCTAGCGGGAACTCGCCGGGGTCTGGTTGCCTGACGCACGCCCAGCCCAGTTCATTGGCGCTTTGAACCGGGAATGGACATCTCTGGATGATATGTCTGTACTCTAAAACGCACGAACATATGGTGCTCACTTTTGACGGATTGGATTGAACTTGGATCCTCTGACCCACCGGGTCTCTATGCAGTGTAACACGCTGTTCCGCTCTGTTCCTGTTCTTCCCTGGAGGCTCTGCATTTGGCACGCTTGCGCAGGGCAAAGTACGAGGGGGTGGTACATGCGCCGCAGGATTACATACACTCAAACAGTGCTGATCCCGTATCTTCGCTTAAGCCTATCGGGTTGCTCCCTTATTCCCGCGTTAGTAAAGTCCTGCAGCTTGGGGTGCCATCATGCATTCAAAGCCGAAAGCTGCATGCTGTGCAGCAAGCATGCCAAAAACCAGTGCCTGGAGCATCTCTTCTCGTACGGCATTCTGTCAGTCCCAAAGTATCTTCCGTCATCCCGACCCATGGGTCGCTGTAGAGGGCAGGTATTGGATGAATGCGTCATGCCTCCCTACACGCCAACATCACGTTGGAGTGGGCTTGTATACGTAAACCCGGGCACTACTACACACTACCCCAGAGCATTACGGACGCGTTCACATAGCATGCAGTACACCATACCCCGGCATGCCTAGATGTAACTGGAGGACGCATGCACTGTTGCGTGCCTGTGTATCCGCTTTCCGTAATGTACTTAGTGCTGCAGCAGCACATGGGCAGTTTACCCTTCCCGTGCATCAGTTCCCATTAATAACTTGCTCCACAGAAGCTAGGTACACGGTATTCTGCTGATTGTGGCAAGCTCCTAAGGAAGCCATTACATGGAAGCCGGAGCAACCGCGCGGTGTGTTTCCGCACCCTGCTATGTGCATCATGCTCCCATTCTGAAGCATGTCAACTGCTGCGCTTGCAGCACGGCAAACGTCATTCTACCGCATGCGCTGATCGGATAGGGACGGATGGGGAAGTATGTGGTATTGAGCATTGCGTAAGTGTTACAGATGGGAAATCCGGCAGGCGTATTTGAGGAACAGAAATGCTTGACGGGGGAACAGAAAATGCTTAATCTTGGCGAAATGAAAAGGATGCACATTCAGGAGGAACAGAAAGATGCCGCTTAGTACCGGAAACTATTGCCTCATTAGTCATGCCGCACGGGAGATTGTACCCGGCGGCTGATCTGTGGAATGCATTTATTGGTATATTCATCTTGTTCGATGTGCCTGCTGATGGTATGGAGCGGCGGCCCCGCCTGCCGAGGTCGTGCAACTGTCATCAACCGTTCGGCCGCGGCCCGTCCGATACATCCTAACCTGGACGCATCAAGAAAGCCGTATGCAGCATGTGCGCGCGAAAGTACGCTTTTCTACGCATCTTCGGAGAGAGCTATATAATCCTGCGGCACATAGTGAAGCACGGCATTCCGTTCCTATCAGCGGCGCGCCCGCATAGGCAGCGCGTGTTTAGGACGTGAATTAAGGTCGCCTTCAGGAGCCATACATACAAACGCTCGTGCCTTAGCCTTTGCCTCCGGTGGCCGTCTGTAAGCTATCAATTACAAGACAGCCTGCAGCACAAAGGCAAACAGCAGGGATGGCGCTCGGACAGCGCCGGCTGGGCGGCACTGCTGCGCTGCTGATGCTCACGACAGTGGCAATCCTTGCTGCCATGCCGCTGGGTAAGTGCACAATGGACGAGAGACCATCACGCACGGGTTGCAGCCTAGGTACACTCGGCACCAAGGTTAAAGATCACCTGCTGGCATGGACGGGGTGCATACATAGCCCTATCCTGAGGAATGGGACGAACCCTTCCGCCACACCTTTCAATGACCAAAAAGATGAAACCTTTCAACGAACACCCACAGGCGCCTACTCCCAGGATGTACCGGCCCCCGTGTATGGCGAGTTGCGGGCACCCAGTGAGCAGCAGAAGACGGGCACGGTAGGGCTCCGGACTTCCGTCTAGGCAATAGGGCCCAAATGGGTCAATCCGCTTCTCTTTATACCGTACCCTTTGAAGCCCTTCCCGGCTGCGGCCTTCCCTGGCATGTGCTCCCCACGGCGCCGCTTGCCACTACAGTGCGTCTTGCTTAGGGCCAAGAGGATCTTTTGTACAGTCAGACTAACGACATAGTACGATTGCAGTTGCCTGGCCTGGTGGAAACAATCTGACGCTCGTTGATGTACCGCTGCAGACGCTAAAGCCAAGCAAGCAACTGCCCTCGCCAAAGGAGAAGTCACCTTCACCACCTTCGCCTGCCCCGCCCTCGCCCAAGCCCCCCTCGCCCAAGCCCCCCTCGCCCAAGCCCCCCTCGCCCAAGCCCCCCTCGCCCAAGCCCCCGTCGCCCAAGCCCCCGTCGCCCAAGCCCCCGTCGCCCAAGCCCCCCTCGCCCAAGCCCCCCTCGCCCAAGCCCCCCTCGCCCAAGCCCCCCTCGCCCAAGCCCCCCTCGCCCAAGCCCCCCTCGCCCAAGCCCCCCTCGCCCAAGCCCCCCTCGCCCAAGCCCCCCTCGCCCAAGCCCCCCTCGCCCAAGCCCCCCTCGCCCAAGCCCCCCTCGCCCAAGCCCCCCTCGCCCAAGCCGCCCTCGCCCAAGCCCCCAGCGCCCAAGCCGCCGTCGCCCAAGCCCCCAACGCCTCAGCCGCCCTCGCCCAAGCCCCCAGCGCCCAAGCCGCCGTCGCCCAAGCCCCCAACGCCTCAGCCGCCATCCCCCAAGCCACCCTCACCGCAGCCCCCAACTCCATCTCCGCCGTCACCCTCTCCTCCCACACCACAGCCGCCTTCACCGCAGCCGCCACCGCCACCTCCTCCGCCCCCAGTGCCATCCCCACCGCCCCCTCCGCCGCCTCCTCCTCCCAAGCAGCCCTCTCCGCCTCCACCCCGGCGCCCAGCTCGGTCGCCTCGCCCGCCCCGGCCGTCGCCGCCACAGCCAAGCCCGTCACCGCCTCGGTCGCCTCGGCCCTCACCCCCACAGCCAACCCCACCTCCGCCACAGCAGCAACCCAGTACGCCCCCTCCCCGGGTAGGGGGGCTCGTATGGGCGATTGGGGCCTAACTGGAACAGTATTCTTCATATTCCATGCTGCCTAGCGCTGCCTATCGTTGTCCTTACATACTCCTTGAACCCCTGCCTTGCAGCGGCCCCGGCGCTCCCCCTCGCCACCTCGGCAGCCCATCCGGTCTCCCCCGCCGCCACCGACCCCCGCCCAACCTAAGCCAGGTATGTCCGGCATGGGAGTGTAGAGCCGCAGGAACCCCTTCAGGTGCCTCCAGTATGACCCACTGCTGTCCCCATATCCGCATGTATCCTGGCCGTGCAGAGAAGCCCAACAAGTTCTTCAAGCAAAAGAAGTACAACATTGTGGTGTCCGGCAAGAAGTACAAGTACAACGAGGCGTACAACTTCTGCCAGCAGTACGGGTACAACATGGTGCCGTACAGCGACAAGATTGCGTACGGTGAGGGTCTTACGGCTGCCCTAACAACTGCTTTTACCTGATTACTAGCTGCAGACATGTATGCGCCCGTTATCAATGGCCCATTTCCACAGCTGACACGTCCCCTCCTTCTAATGAATGACTTGCAGAGTCCACCTACCAAGAGTGCTACGCAAACGGTCAGGGCTGCTGGGTGTGGGGGCAGCAAGGCAACTACTGCGCGTTCGTAGACCCCCGCGGAACTGGTGGGCCCTACGCGCGTGACTGCAATGAGGAGCAGTACGTCATCTGCTACGGACAGGGCAAGCAAACGCTCCTGCCCTGAGAGCTCTGTTTGCAGCCTATAACGGCTGACAAGTGATTCACGCGTGGCTGGTTCCGTGATACGTCATCATCCTGTAAGGCTTCGTGATCTGTAGCCTGCACAGCAGGATTATGCCTTTGGAGTCGTGATTCTTACTGGTGTACGGTGTTTGCATGGCCGTACACGGTGATTGACGTAATTCGTTTTGTACGGCCACATGTCCGGCATTCGGAGGCCAATTATTCAAGGGGAAAACGGACAATTGCTCACAAGTAATAAGTGGCCGTTCTATACATGGCATCTGTAATGCAAACAGTTGTAACGCAACAGATGGCTGCCCCCTTGGTCTCTTACAACCCGTCAAGTAGACTACAATCCATCCTTATGACCGGCATTCCATTCATCTGGGCATACCCGTATGCAGAACCCTACCTATGCACCTTTTGAGCCGGTGCACGCATGCCCCTTGCGCAGGACTGAGCATCCCCTTCCATCTGATGAGCCTCCTGACCAGCTGATCTTAGTAGCATGGACGGATTACCGGAAGTAGCCTGCTCCATAGGGTTAGGTTTTGCAAGAGCTCGTGTGTGCCTGCGCGTGCAGTGATGATAGCACTGTCCTCGGTAACCTCAAGTGCTTGCGCAGACCACTAGGACCGCATTCGAGGGGACACGGCTCACACGGGGTTCTCCATGTCCTCTCGCTGTTGTGTAGTTGGTAAGGGTAAGGGTTATAGATGTTGGTATCACAACTCATACGCATTGGAGTGACGGACCCGTGGGCCGCAGCAGGTGCCTGGTCAGGTATATAGGTGGTCAGGTATGTCACTGCTGTACATGCACAGTTGTACCCTATAAGTGCGATGCGCTCAAATAATTGCCCGTTGCACGCCTAAAAGCATAAAGTGGCACATACCTACAACAAACCAACTGAATTTCTGTGGATGAAGCAGGGGGGGGGTAAGAAATTTTCTTATAAACCCCAACCCGAAATTTCCAAAGAGAAGGCCTCGGAGCCACCCACCCACCGCCAAGCGTGTCGTACAACCTGTAAACTATGCCAAAACGCCGGGGGAAAAAGCGTCTAGGTTCCTCTGCGCAAGCTCTATTAAATGCAGTCGAAAAACCCCAAACCCCCTGGGACGTTAATGTCACAGCGTTGCACTATGGACGGCTAAGGTAACCATGTTCTTGGCCCCAGCTTGACTGATGTTGTGTATTTGGCGCCTAGGAAGCACCATGGTCCTCCCATTTGCACCCTACCGCCGCCAGTTCTGTCACCAACCTACACGACGCCACCACCACGCACGTCCCAGGCCCCTGCTCCTGCCT